CTCTGAACTCTGAACTTCAATGACGAACAACAAAGACTAAATTAATCTGGATGAGAAGCACAGAACTGAGGATTAACAGTGTGGAAACTGGGGTGGGACTGTTGGATTTGGATTCCCATCCTAGGGGGTCGATCTCTACACTGCAACTTACGTGGATCAGCCTGGTCATAAATAACGTGTAGGTGATGTATCATATAAACTTCTAAGATCCCATCTGGCACAGAGACTGTTGTTACTGTTTTTAAAACCAAGGGTTTTGCAAGTGCTCATGCACTCAGTAAATACTGATTGAACATCCATTATGTGCTGGGCACTGAGATGGGGGCTGGGGTCACAATGGTGAGCATTTCAGGCACAGTCTCTGTTCCTTGGACCCATGCCCTAGTCCACTGGTCTGGGCAGGATGGTGCACTAAGCATATGTGGACAAAATATAGATACCAGTAGATGGGTAGGAGCTCCGTGTGCTTTTCATGTATGCTGTTTGACAAAAATTGTTTGTAGATATATCCAAAATGAGAAATAAATTCAATGAAAGAGGAAGCCCTGAAGTCCAAGAACAAAGTATCTCAGCCAGGAATGTGCTAAGAGCAATTTGAAGCTGATTGTTGTAGCATGCAGTTCAAATTAGGGACTCCAAGAATTCCCTGCAATAAATATTCTGACTAGTAAGTTTGGAAAAAGTGAGGCCTATGCATGTATTGTTAACATGGAGAGTGGGAACCAATAAGGAATGTGAGGAAAACCAGCAAGATTCATAAAGAATTTATAATCCAACCAGAAAGCAAAAGAAAACTTAGAATAATTTTAAGCAAGTAATAGATTATAATCTGAGAATCCATTTATCTCCTACTATTGGGTCGTTCTCTTTTAAGCTTTGCGTAGTAATAATGAAATACTTTCTTTTTGAGTCATCTCTTTAGTAGGCTTTATAGTGAATAATTTTATGTACACCTGGTGGTATGCATATTGTTTATTTTGAAATAAAATAAACTCAACTTCTCGGCAGAGCATACCAGATTTAATAGTGCTATGTGGTAATGCATGATGTAATGTGGTGATCTGGGCAAGAGAAGACAGTGTTGTCTAGCTGTGTAGGAGAGACAGAAGGGCAAGGGAGTGTGGGTGCCTGGGAGACTTTTCACGTTACATTCTTTTACATCTACCTAAAACAAATAAGTATATGTATTTGCTTTTATGATACTAAAGGTAGGCTTGGCAAACTTAGCAAATACAAATACAGGATGTCAGTGAAATGTAATTTTCAGATAGCAATTTTATAATGTGAATGTGTTCCAAATCACACGGGACATACTTACACTACAAAATAATGTGTTAACTTGAGACTTACTGGGCCCTATATTTAATCTGGCAGCTCTAAAGGGAAAAAGAATAAATGTGTTCATATAATGTGTTAACAGCATTAAAAGCACCAATAAATTTGACATGTCTTTAAAATCTCTGGTGACTCTTCTCCCTAGTATTCAGAATCATGCTCCTGATGCTGGATGCCTACCCAGTATCTCTTGAGCTTCTTCCCTTTCAGAGTCACCAGGTTTGGGGAATGGAGATCTGAATTAGCATGTTGCTGCTTTAGTGAATGTACTCTGTCTGTTTCTAAGGAGTTCATATCCCAATGAAGAAATGATGGGAATTTAGAAAAACAAACCGGATGCTAATAACCACATGTAGAAGTGACAGAGAAGTGTTTATGGGAAGAAATTAAGGTGCAAGCTTTACCAACACAGGCCTGTAAAAGAAATCTGGGTCACATTTTAAAAACCATGACCAAAGATCTATGTCTGCTTCTAGGTTTATGAGCTGACTTTGCATCACACACAGCACCAAGACCACAATGTGGTGACGGGAGCACTGGAACTCTTGCAGCAACTCTTACGCACGCCACCACCCGAGCTGCTGCAAGCATTGACCATGCCAGGTGGTCTCTGGCAGCTTGCTGCGGCTCAAGAGGATGCCCGGGGCCGAGGCCGCAGCGGGAGCATTGTGGAACTTCTAGGTGTGTTCTCAGCAAGGTCTGCTTGTCAGCAACTGTGCATTGTGGAGTTGTGCTGTGCTGAGCTGTCTACACCTCATTCCAAACTTAAAATTCAGGCATCATCCTTTTTCTATACGTAGGAGGACTAGTGTCTAGAAAGGTGGCACAATGAGAACAAACGTTTAAAGCCTGACCTCCTAACTCTCTCTGATTTGACTTTTTGCACCTGACATTTCAGATGTCATGAAATTAAAATATTAGGGAAAGAAACATTTGTAGGACCACCGGACTCATTTGCCAGAGATGTATCTTTTTGCCTTTTTTGGGATTTTAGAGTTCCTTTCTGTTCTCTGGGTCCTGATTTTAGAAAACCCCTTCCATTCCCAGCTCTAAAGACACACCTGCCAGGCCCAGTCTCTGCTCTTCTCAGTGCTCATGGAAGTGAGCCCTAGAACAGGTGACTTGGTGGGCCTTGTCTACTGTGAGGTGCGCTTGGGAGCTAGGACAGTTGGGAATCCTGTGTCTAAGCCTCCGGAGGGACCTGGCACTCAGCAGGACTTTGACAAACATCAGCTGACTCCAGATCTCTCCCAGGCTGCTGCCATGTGTGTGGCGCAGAGCCTTTAACTCACTCTGTCAACAAACTAGAGTGAGTTTGCCTGGAAGTCTGATTGCTGCCTTGTGAACATAAATGTTTGTCTGAACCATGAGCAAAAAATGTTAATGTGCCTTGTCTGCTGCCCTTCCAACTAATGAGTGGAAATGCTCATGTCTAATGATCATTTCCAAGGAATATTGATAATTATTAATTACCAAATAACCTGCAATCTCTAATAACTTTTTTTAGGGGGGGCCCAGTACTGGAGGTGGGACTCAGGGCCTCACACTTGCTAGGAAGGTGCTCTACTGCTTGAGCCACTCCACCAGCCCTTTCTTGTGTTGGGTATTTCTTTGAGATACGGTCTCTGGAACTTTTTACCTGGGGTGGTCTCAAACCGCGATCTGCCTGATCTCTGCCTCACAAGCAGCTAGGATTACAGATGTGAGCTACTGGCACCCTGCTGATCTCTGGTATTTTTAATTTGATTTTTAAAGTGCAATTTTAGCTCTTTTGACTTTTTAATCATACCTTTTGAACTACATATGTGACTAGTACTTCAATTTTCATATTGAATTTGAAGTATTAAACTATAGAATTTAAGTACTTTCTGTAAAAATATATTCACATGCTGCCTGATTTTGAGGTTGAATCATAGTTTCTGAAGATTTTTTTAATTTCTTCTGTGTTTTAGCAGCTTGTTACCTTACTTTCTTCTATCACTTTCTGTGATTTACAGCCGGAGGGGGTTCTTCATGCAGCCCTGTCCTTTCAAGAAAGCAAAAAGGTGATTATTTCAATCTGAGTCTTGTGTTCAGTCTAACTTGTTTTCTCATATTTCCGTAATGCCCTGGACTCTGTGTCTCTGTTTCTTCCCAGTAGAGTGATTGCATGTGCAAATGTTGCTGGAATCTGCTAACCAGGCCTGAAGATTTCTGTGGGATTCAAAAAATTGTTTCTGTATCAGAATTTCTTCACCATAAGTTTCTAATGCTTGAGGTCAGGAAGTAACAAACATTTTCTATAAAGGGCCAGGGAATAAATATTTCATCTGTGTGGGCCATAGGATTTCTTGAGACTATTCAACTGCCCTGGGGTAGGAAGATGGTACAGGCATCAGGTGAGCTGCTAGGTGCTGCTGGCTCCAGTGAAATCTTACTTACAGGTGCCAGCAGGCCCAGTCCTACTTGAGGGAATGTGTTATTTTTATAAAGGACTTTCTTTTCCTGAGGAGTATTGTTTAGGATTATCAGGACTGTTATTAAATAGCTTGTTTGGTTAATTATTTTAATCTAGGCCTGGTTGTCAATTCTTAGCCACATTTAGCTCTGTACATATCAAAGTATTCTGATATAATTAATTTTTATCAAATCAAAGTCTTATCTGTTAATTTTCATATACGTCATTTCGTAACACCAATTATTTTCTTTCATGTTGAGGATTTCCATAGGAAATCTTAAAAGACTAACCCATTTTCTGTGTCATGACCTGAGCATTTGAGAACCTAATATTATCTGCAATACTGAATGAGAATTTTTAAAATTTAATTTTGAGACAGGATCTTGCCATGTAGTGCAGGATAACCTGAAATTCACTATCCTCCTTTCCACCTCCCGCGTGCTGAGATGTCAGGCATGCATCCCCATGCCTGGCTTTTGACTAAGATCTTAACAGGAATAATTCTAGTCTTCACTGAATTAAATAAACGTTTATTCAAAGAACTTGGAGTGAATTACATTTGGGAGCTGGACATGGTTGTGCACACTGTAGTCCTCGCTGCTTGGGATGCTGAGCCAGGATTGCTTGAGCCCAGGATTTCTGAACCAGCCTGGGTAACATAATGAGATCCACCTCTCTTAAACTCACGGCAGGACACGGGCCATTGCAGTGTGGGACATGTAAGTTTGAGATTTTAGGGAAGCAGTGAAGTTGTTTAAAGGGCAGACAGATTCTAGGACAAGTTCATCTCTATGTTCTTGAGTTAGGAGAGGTCTTGGGACAGCTGAAGAAGTTACTCTGCTGACTTACTTATCCCTTAGTCACTTTGTCTAGGGACAGTGTAGAAGATATTGTGGAGATAAGTTTTGTCTCTTCTATTTAACACATTGGATATTTCCTCAGTTTCTTTTTATTTCTCAAACCCCCCCCCCATTTAGAGCTGTTGTTTCCAAACTTTTTTGTTGTAACTGCAAAAATCTTTTTCTCAAGTGAAATCTGCCAGTTTAGAAGAAAGATGAAAGTAGAGTGTGTTGGGAGTGGACACAGGGTGACCGTGGCAAGGTGGCCTGCAGTCTCTTCTGCAGTGGCAGCCTGCTATTGTGTCTTCATGGAACTTGCCCTGGGGAGGGATTTAAGCAACATATTTGCAAACCACAGATTTGATGGATAGACACTCCTTTCCTTAAGATCCAGATTCACCATTGTGGAATTTGATTTGATTTCTTAAATCATATGTTCTATAAGGCATTTGTGCCAAGTTGCTGTGCTAATTTAATGTAGATTTTGGGTTTCCATTGCTTTTTTTTTTTTGCATTTAATGTCACAACATGTAATTTTGTGGATGTTATTACAGTTCTGACTTACTCTTTGAAGAACAAAAAAATTAGAAATTTGAAATTGCTAGTAGCTAGACAATGTCTCTGTTAGTTGGTGTGTGGCTGTGACAAAAATACGTGACACAAACAATTTAAGGAAGGAAAAATTTCTTTTAGTTCATGGTTTCAGAGGCTGCAGTCTGTGGTGGCAGGAAGGGTGTGGCAGAGCAAACCAGCTCACTTCATGGTGGGCATGATGGAAAAGGAGAGGAAATTGTGTTCCTCTGTCAGCTGACTTCCTTCTTCTTCCCTTTTTGTTTCTTCTAGCCTCTGGCCTATTAGGTGGTGCTGTCCACATTCAGGGCAGGTCTCCCTTGAACCTCCTTAGTTAATCCTTTCTGAAAATGACCTCACAAACACCCAGAAGTGTGCCTCACTAATCTCTCAGGTGTTTGTGAATCCATCAAGCTGACACTCAAGATTAACCATTGCATTGTCATTGAATGACATCCATGTGTACTGCCATAGTAATTTAATGAGTCTAGTTAAATCATATTAAAACTTTTGGTTTCTTTTTTTTCTCATTAATATAGAACACAAACTATGAAACGTATTTTAGAGCTTCGCAAATGAAATATCATTTAACCCCCTCAGATTATAGCATACCTAACTTCTGATTTGAAACATACATATGTATATGTATGGTATTATATGTAAGCTCTGATAGCCAGTGGAGATGGGATAGGGATACTCCAAAGGTGATCATATTGGATCTCTTTAGCCGTATCTTACCATTATTAAGGTTATATGGTAATATAAATTATTTAGTAATAATAAATCAGTAAAATCAATTATTAAAGTATTTTAATAAAAATACTTTATTTTAATAAATACTTTAATAACTGATTAAAGTATCAGTACAGTTGGAGAATCCTTGCTTTTAAACTTTTCTGCATATAGGTTTATTGATTTTCACAGTATTCTGAACATGTTTCTGTATTCTTTGTGTTTAACAGTCTAGAAGAATAAAATATATATATGATAAACTATGAGTGAAATTTAATGTGCTTATGATTTTCAACTTAGAATGTGCATTTATTCAACTTTTAAAGTCGTTTATTCTTAGCAAACTTAAAAAGAAATGTTACTGAATTATTTACTAGGCAAAGTGCTTTTAGGAGAAGAAGAAGCCTTGGAAGATGACTCAGAGTCAAGGTCAGACGTCAGCAGCTCAGCCTTTGCAGGTAGTTGTTAGTGGGCAGCTGGTGTCAGCCTTTGCTCACCTATCATTGCTACCATCTCTGCCCTCCCCTACACCTCAGCCAGCGGCCTGGGTGGGAGTGGGAGCCTGCTCAAGAAGGGGATGATTCAGCTACTTTTATAATGTTCACTTTGAAATGTATTGTTTATCTTCCCTGAGCCTAAGCCTTTTTGGGGGGGCCAGTAGGTAGTAGGATGTCATGAGTTGGGTGGGTCACAGTGAGGAGGATGGTATGAAGACTTGTCTATGGATAATTTGACTTAAAGGACTCTACTTTGTTTGCAGGTAGGTTTCTGAGTTCTTTGTGCACTTTATAAAAAGCATGCACATTAGCTTAAGACACTAATAATGGAAGTGAATGTGGGTTTCGTTGTGGAATCTTACCCAAAAGAATATTTTAACTTTTTTTAGCAAGATTATTTTTTACTGCACCTGTGTTTGCATGTCTGCTACTTCTGGGCAGCTAAACCTGAAGTACTGAGTTAGTTTCAGCCATTTTCCCATTAGCTGAATTTTAACAGTCAATGTGTTCCCCTAAGTTCATTTCCAGCACTAGAACATCAACCTTCCCAACCTGTCTCCGTACTGGAGCACAGATTTAACATTTGTTTAAAATTTAATTATTCAAAACAAACCAAACAGCATATTGTAAAAGCATTTTTTGCCTCTACACATATAATTCAGGCTCACGAAGCTTCTGACTATACAATACTATAAAGGTAACTGCAAACCAGCCCTCTTCCAAACTATTAAAATCTTACATATCTAATTAAACATTCGTTTTAGAAAATTTTAGCACTTTGAACCAAAGTATTTGGTAAGGAAAAATCTGAATAAAGCCAGTGGTATTTCTTAATTTGTTTTACAAAATAAACACACACACACACACACACAAGGAAAAATCTGAATAAAGTCAGTGGTATTTCTTAATTTGTTTTACAAAATAAACACACACACACACACACACACACACACACACACACACACACACACACACACACACACACACACACACACACGTTTTCCTGACTACCGCACACAGCTTGGCTCCATCTTAAAGTAATGTTTTTGAAGTGTAGGATTTTTGTCTATAAGTGTATTTCTTAATTTGTTTTACAAAATAAACACACACACACACACACACACACGTTTTCCTGACTACCGCACACAGCTTGGCTCCATCTTAAAGTAATGTTTTTGAAGTGTAGGATTTTTGTCTATAAGTGTATTTCTTAATTTGTTTTACAAAATAAACACACACACACACACACACACACACACGTACACACACACGTACACACACGTTTTCCTGACTACCGCACACAGCTTGGCTCCATCTTAAAGTAATGTTTTTGAAGTGTAGGATTTTTGTCTATAAGTGAGAATTTAAAAACTAAACTACAAAAATATAGTATGTATTTATCCTGCAGGAAACGAGAACTGGATTAGACAGCTTGAGCGTATTTGGAAGAAGGCAGGCCCATCCCAGAGACGATGAATTTACTTTCATTGCTTGGGCATTTGTGCTCACCTAGCCTTTGAGTTATACTCGTTCTGTATATTGCTATAGCCAAGGCTGGAGTAGTTGTTTAAGAACTTGAACTTTGGTTTTTGAGGTGAAACAGCATTGGAGAATATTCATAGCATTTAAAAATACCTGCTTATTAATACAAGTACTGTGTCGTGTTTGAAGGATATATTGTTGTGCTACTAGTTTGCATTTTCACTGCAGTTTCAGGGAGTTTGCAGTTAGAACACTTGAGTATAGTGAGCTTTGTGTTATTTTGCACACCTTTGATTCCCTAGTGACTGTTTCTTTTGGCCATTTGACAAATGGTGTTTCTGTGTGTTCAGCCTCTGTGAAGAGTGAGATAGGAGGAGAGTTGGCTGCTTCTTCTGGGGTCTCCACTCCTGGGTCTGTGGGTCATGACATCATCACTGAGCAGCCACGGTCTCAGCACCCACTACAGGCAGACGCTGTGGATCTGTCTGGCTGTGACCTGACCAGTGCTGCCACTGATGGGGATGAGGAGGACATCTTGAGCCACAGCTCCAGCCAGATCAGTGCCGTTCCATCTGACCCTGCCATGGACCTGAACGATGGGACCCAGGCCTCCTCGCCCATTAGTGACAGCTCTCAAACCACCACCGAAGGGCCCGATTCAGCTGTGACACCTTCTGACAGTTCTGAACTCGTAAGTAGGTAGCAGAGGGTCCCTCATTCCTTGACAGAAGGGTCTGTTGTCTTCCGAAGCTCTTTCCCTGAGACCCAGACTTGGGTTCCCTTTCTCATTTTTCTCTGCCTATCTGACTACTAACAGTGGTGCAGAGGTTACCAGCTCAAATCATTAACAGAGAACTGGACCTCATTTGATACCTTCACTGAAGGAAACAGCTAATATCTTTTGTGTTGATATTGGAGATCGTAAATCAGGTTAGTTGATAAATGCACTAAATGCACTTGAGATTCTTCTTCCTTTTTCTTTTTCTTTCTTTCTTTTTTTTTTTTTTTTTTTTTGCAGCACTGGGGTTTGAATTCAGGACTTCATGCTTGTTAGGCAGGCACTCTACCACTTGAACCATGCCTGCAGCCCTTTTTGCTTTAGTTATTTTTTAGGGTCTCATGTCTTTGTCCAGGTTGATCTGAACCATGATTCTCCTGTTTATGTCTCCTGTTAGGACAACAGGCACATGCTACCACATGCCCAGTTTTGTTAGATGGGGTCTTATGAACTTTTTGCCTCCCTCCCGTCATTATTTTTTTTTATTCTTTATTTTTTTGAGAGTGGGTGTTGCCATGTAGCCCGGGCTGGCCTGGCCTTCCTCCTCCTAAGTGCTGGGATTCTATACATGTATTGCTATACCCGGCCTGTATGCTGAATTTTATAACCCCCTTTTTGTGGTAAAGTGTGTGTGTATATACATTAATATTGCATTAATACACGCATTGTATTATATTAATAGGCATAAATTTTATCATCTTTACCATTTTTGAGTGCACAATTCAGTGGTATTAAATACATTTAAATTCTGTTGTGTAAAGTCTTTTCATCTTTCTAAACTGAAACTATTTTCCCCATAAACACTAACTCCTCACCTTGCCTCTGGATAACACTGTTTTCAGTCTCGTTCCCTCATCGTAAAATGGCAATAAGTTACCTGCAGTTTATGCACTCCTTTGCAAGTTGGCGTTGATCGCTCACTTTATAGAAATATGTGTCCTCAAAGCATTTATCTCATGTTAAACTGTGTCAGGCTAAAATGTCTATACTTTTTAAGACTGTGGATTAACGACGATCCGATTTTAGGGACTGGGCCCATTTTCCTTCTGGTTGACTTGTTCTAGTGATTAGTGCCTGGGCTCTTTTCCACTGCGTCAGCCATGTATGCAGCACAGTGAGGCCTTGGCGGTCAAAATTTGGGCATTGCCTGTAACCTGAACTGCGCTTTCAGGGTTCGTAAACATTAGCCTGCGAAGTTTGGATATTGTCTCATTTCTCTTATTGTCTTTATTATTTATTATAATTTTTATATTGTTTATATCTTTCTCTATGGTATATATCTTCATTCACTGATGGGTTTTAAAATTATCTCTTTGAAGCTCCCCCTTTTTAAAATTATGCATTGTTTATTTTCTCCTTTTCAAATAATGTAATTGGTATATTCTTTATTGTGTATCTATAAATATATTTTATCTTTGTAATGCTACAAAGATAGAGAGTGCTTCTGACATGTCCCACTATTCTGCATCTCTCTTATTCTGTTGTCTCTATATCTCTTTCATCTTTATTTTTTTTATTCTTCTAATATTTTCTTTCTTGTTTTATTTCTTTAGTCTTAGTCTTTTTTCTTATATTTCTTTCTTGTATTATTTTTTTTTTGTTGTTATTGTTTTCTCTTTCTTATTTATACTACCATCTTTTTTTCTTTCTGTTTATTGTTGTTGTCTTCTCTATTTTTTTTTTTTCTTATCTTTTTTTTTTTTTTTTTTTTTTTTTTTTTTTTTTTTTTTTTTTTTTTTTTTTTTTTTTTTTTTTTTTTTTTTCTGTGTCTTTTTTTTTAGGCCTTATGAGCTTATCCAGATCTTTTTATTTGTTCTGTTGTTTGTTCCATCTTTGTGTTAATAGTTTTTTGAGACCCATGGTAGTTCTATGGTTCAAAGCTTAAGGGTGTGAATGATGCTAATACCAATTCGCTCTCATTAAGCCCTGAAGGTTTTGTAGTTTGTTTCCATAAAGAGCCAGACAGGTAACCTTTTTGGCTGTGGGCTGTGTGGCTAGTTTAGCTTCTCTCATCTCTTGTGAACATGTGTGAAGGCTCCAACAAGTGTGTGCATCGCAGATCATTGCTCTGCTGTGTTCACTGAAGCTCTCTATTTTGAAAAATAATCCATTGGCTGGTTGAAAAGCCCACAGTTGCCCCGGTATTGCCTTGCCCTTTTTTACAGTTGTACCTTGAGTGCAACAAATCAATGAATGAAGTTCGAGGTAAGATGTAGTAATGTACTCAGATGGTGGCGGACAGGCACGCTGGGGACGCACTCACGGAGTGAGCAATTTTGGCCTCTGCGATTCCTGGGTGTTGGTGAGCAGTGGTTCTTTCTGTGGAAGATGAGGTGATGATAGCTCTTGTGATTAGGCAAAGGAAAGAGAAGCATTGAAGCTCACCAAGGCACGACCTGCCCGGTGTGCGCACGTGAAGTGTTGTGATACTCATGTGAAACTTCTCATTTCAGCCTGTTGACCAGATAAGGTGGAGGGAGGGGAAGAGGGTAGAAAAATTGATTTCTTGGTTACTTTTGATGATACAGCTTTTTTTTGGGTGAGACTGGGGTTTGAATTCAGGGTTTCATGCTTACAAAGCAGTCAGTCTACCACTTAAGTCACACTTCCAGTCCATTTTGCTCTTGTTGTATTTTTGGAAAATGGAGGTCTTGTAACTATTTGCCTGGGCTGTCCTTGAACCGTGATTCTCCCAATCTCAGCCTCCTAAGTAGCTTGGATTACAGGCGTGAGCCACCGATGCTTGGCTTGTTTTGTTTTTCAGTGAGGAATTTTGGAATGATTTTTAAAATGGTGAAGCAAAAGAATTACTTCAATAATAATTTTCTAGTGTTTTGAGAGTCCATTGGTCATGACTCCATGACCAAGGCTTATGGCTGAGCATGTGAAATACTATGTCTACAATTTACTGAGATAATTTATTAAATTGTTAGATTTTTGTCTAAAAGCTGTGTCCTTATTTCTAATTGTAATTTTTTTATGAGGACATACATTTTTTGTTTGTTTTTGTTTTTGAGACAGGGTCTTACTATGTGGCCCAAAATGGCCTGGAACTGGTTCTGTAGCCCAGGTGGGCCTCAAACTTGTGACCTTCCTGACTCAGCCTCTGGAGTGTTGTATTACAGGCACACACCACCATGCCTAGCCTGTTTTGTTTTTTTTTCCTTATATTAAAAATAAAAGCTACTCAATTGAAATTCCTGTATAAATGGTAAGAGGTAAGAAGCTTTTTGTAATGTAGTAGTGATGTGTAGTCAATATGCTCATAGCAGTTTGTGCACACATTCTTTTTTTGTTTTGTTTTGTTTTTGTTTGTTTCTTTTTTTTCTTAATAATTTTTATATTTTTATTATTCATATGTGCATACAATGCTTGGGTCATTTCTCCCCCCTGCCCCCACCCCCTCCCTTACAACCCACTCCACCCCCTCACTCTCCCCCCCACCCCCTCAATACCCAGCAGAAACTATTTTGCCCTTTCTCTAATTTTGTTGAAGAGAGAGTATAAGCAATAATAGGAAGGAACAAGGGTTTTTGCTAGTTGAGATAAGGATAGCTATACAGGGAATTGACTCGCATTTAATTTCCTGGTGCACACACACTTCTATGCATTGAATCAATGATCTTTGTGTCTGTATTATAATGTGCTCTGAGGTGTTTGTGGCTTTTCATATTGGAGAGTTTGTCCCTTATGACCACAATTCAGAATGCTCACAGCCCCCTTGATCTGCTAGGTGTTAGATGGCACTGACAGCCAGTATTCAAGCATGCAGATTGGACAGTCGCAGGATGAAGATGAGGAAGCTGCAGGTATTCTTCCTGGGGAAGCCTTGGATGCCTTCCAAAACTCTTCCCTGGGTAAGTCGACTTCAGGTGATGTGCTATAAATCGTTCTCGTTTCAGCCTAGGATATCTTGATTTTATCTTCACTGTTAAGAAAAAGTCTTTCATTTCTTTTTTTTCTGAGTTGTAAATAGCAGATGAAAATGACTAATAGAGGAGTGATCATACTTGATCTAAATCCTGTAGTTCCATGTTATCTTTGGGCAAATATGCACACAGGTTCTATTGGAAACTTGTCACTTAATCTTTATTTCTGTTTTTAAAGTACAACAGGCACATTTATTAGAAAGCACGGGTCACAGCAGGCAGCCATCTGACAGCAGTATAGATAAATGTATGTCAAGAGAAGAAGCAACTGAGCCAAGTGATCCAGAAAACAAGGTGAGTTGCTTGGAACTGTTCCTGAGCTTGTGTGAGGGTTGAAATATCCTGGCCTCTGTTGGCCTTGTTTCTTTGCAGTCCCATCTCTGGACTTGTTTAATTCCCCCCAGACACTAACCAGTCCCCAGGCTGCTTCTCTGGGAACTACCCAGATAGCTAAGAATTGCCCGAGTTCTGCCTCCTTTTAGTATTCTTCTCTGACAGGTCTGCCCTGCACTGAGCTTTACCATGCCTGCTTTCTCTGATCACTTTTGATGCTTACACATAGCCTTGCAACATTTCTTGTTTTTGTTGCATTGAATAGTTTAAAGTATCTCTCTTTATACCGTTTGCCTTTTACATGCAGTGTATTATCTTCCCAGTTAATTTTAAATTCCTTGAGGGCAGGAAACACATTTTCTGCTTGTCCTGTGGAATAACAACCTGAGCAGTGTTTCCTAAATGCCTGGTTTCAGCTCCTTCCTGCCCCATGCACCTTCCCTGCATGTTGAGCTTGTCCACTGCACAGCCTGTGGATCTGTAGCAGAGCTCTGACTTGTCGCTTCTGCTTAGCTCTGGTCTCTCTGGTAAACACAGGCATCTCTGTCCCTAGCATCTGGCATTGCTCATTTTATTGGATGAACTAATGAGTGGGCATATTGGCTTTTTTTTTTTTTTGTGATATTGGGGTTTGAACTCAGGGCCTTATGCTTGCCAGGCAAGTGCTATTCCACTTGAGCCATGCTCCTGGTCCTTTTTGTTTTAGCTTGTTTTTAGATAGGGTCTTGTGCTTTTGTCTTGCTGGTCATAAAGCCTATTTCAGCTTTAGGAGTAGCTGGGATTACAGGCATGAATCACCATCCCTGGTCTGTATTGACTCTTTTGTTGTAAGACAAATAAGTGTCTGCTTCTCTGTTCTAGCCTTGCCGAATTAAAGGTGACATAGGACATTCTGATGATGATGATTCTGCTCCCCTGGTTCATTGTGTCCGCCTCTTATCTGCTTCATTTTTGTTAACTGGGGAAAAAAATGGTAAGCACAGAATTGCAGGTGCAGAGTTGAGGAAATGTTTGAAGTTTCAGAGGTTAACTTGGTGGCCGTTTATTCCTTTGCTACTGGGGTGAGCTTTGCTTTCTACTGACTGATGGGACAAGGAAGGAAATGAGAGGGGTAGGTAATTTGTTGGGTCTATTTTGTTTATTTGAAAAGGCTGAAGGTGGCCTGGGTGGTTTCTTTGCAGCACTGGTTCCAGACAGGGATGTGAGGGTCAGCGTGAAGGCCCTTGCCCTCAGTTGTATTGGAGCAGCCGTGGTCCTTCATCCGGAGTCTTTCTTCAGCAAACTATATAAAGTACCTCTTAACACCACAGAATACCTTGGTATGTTGAAAGTTCACATCTTCCCTTAAGGAAAAAAACTATCTCAAATAGTCTTGGCTATTTTAGTTTTAGAGCAGTGAGTGTTCTGAGTTAATTTTGCATTTGAGCTGTACTGTAGCTCTTCACAGACATGTCAGTAGTAATATTCTTAGTTTCGTGGACCTGTTTAGATGTTGTGCTCGTAGTTGAAACACACAAGATGTACAATAGAAATCTGAGAACACATTGGATTTATACCTAAAGTACAAGCTGCCTCATTCATTCAAATTGTTCTAGACCACACTAGGCTGGGACAGATGTTCATGCAAACATCAGTGGGGACTGACTAGGACTGGCTGGGGCAGCAGGTCTGTCTTACACAGTCATTGTGGAGTAGAAATTATTTTATACCTTCTCTTTTTCTCGGGTAAGAGGGCAAACATGCACTTTTGAATTTGCATTAGTGAATGAAGTGCATAGAGGCTCGAGTTTTACCGGTCTTTATTTTGAAATAAAATCTTGGAATTTTAATTATTATCTGACAACCTGGAATTAGGAATTAGAAAATCTGTTGCATTGAGAAGCTATCAGCAATATGGTGAGTCTAGAATCCTTAAACCCCACAACATTTTTTTTTAAACCACTGAGGTTTATTGCAGCAAAGTCATTTACAGATTTGGAATGTTCCCCTTTGTTTCTTTTCTGGAAACTATAATTAAGCTTTTGAGGTGGAAAGTTGATGGCTGGGCAATATGTCCCCACAGAGGAGCAGTATGTCTCAGACATCTTGAACTACATTGATCATGGAGACCCACAGGTCAGAGGAGCCACGGCCATTCTCTGTGGGACCCTCATCTACTCCATCCTCAGTAGGTCCCGCTTCCATGTCGGGGACTGGCTAGGCACCATCAGAACCCGGACAGGTAGTGACCAATTTTTCAGTGATGACTTTTCTGGATACTGTTCCAGTATTCCCAGTTCCATGAAAATGTTTATCACTCGTTCTTCTGGTTAGGAAATGGATTTTCTCTGGTGGACTGCATTCCTCTGCTGCGGAAAACTTTGAAGGATGAGTCTTCAGTTACCTGCAAGTTGGCTTGTACAGCTGTGAGGGTGAGCACAGTCTTTGTAAACCATTTTACCATTGTTACAGTGACAGTTGGAGCTTAATAGGAAGTATTTCCACACAGCCTAAAGCTGGAAGCAATATATCATAATGCTTTAGAGAAAACATTGTCAATAATGGGAAAGCTTAATAAACTGTTAAGTATTAACTCCCACAACATTTACTTGAAATACACGTTTTCCTAAAGGTCTGTTTAGAAATACACCTGGCTAGTATTAAATGTAAGATCTGTTGAGTTAAATAAAATACTGTATTAGAATGTTGAGTTAAGGTGATCCATGAGAGTTCTTAAGTAGAAAAGCCTCAGCCCCTTCTGTGAGACCATGTGGAGCATTTACTTATCAGCAAGCTCATAGTCTCAATGGGCCAGTTAAAATAAAACAAAAACTTACAGTGGTCACATTTGTAGAATCTCTCTGTTTTTAAATTTAATACATGACAGTAATTTTTCTCTAGTTACAATTTTTTTTTTTGCCAAGTTTCAGTAACTTGTGTCTTTTCTTAAGCAGAAGTTGGTGTCTCTCAGCATAGTTATGTTGTTGGTTGGGAGTCAACATGTATCTGCCATGAGTAGGATGCTCCCTCGTGCTCAGAGGCTGCAGGGGACACAACAATGCAGTAATATCCATGGGCACTCATTGGCATGGGTCTCTTGCCCTTAGCCTGGGCCTGAGGTTTCTTTTAAGGTAGTGATAGGGCGGTGTTGCATGGTCTCCCTTGTAACCAATGAGCAGTGTTCCTGAAATTGCCATTTGGAGTCAAGGCCACGACATGGGTAGAAATAGGAAAAAAGAAACAAAAGCTATGTGAAAGGGACATATACTTTTAAGCTTGAGTTTACTGAGATAAAGTAACAACGGGGGCCGGCAGCATCCCCGTCGTAGTTTAAAAACCACAAGACAAGAGCATGTGTGAGAGTGCTGTCCTAAAACTGTTCATGCCCGAATGGGCTTACCCTGCTGCCTTGTTCCTGGACCCTGCCTTTCAGCACTGTATCATGAGTCTCTGCAGCAGCAGCTACAGTGACTTAGGATTGCAGCTTCTTATCGATGTGCTGACTCTGAGGAACAGTTCCTACTGGCTGGTGAGGACAGAGCTGTTGGAAACTCTGGCAGAGATTGACTTTAGGTAAGTGAACCAAGTCCAAATTTAGTAGTTCAGATTGAGATTTGAAAGTCCTGGGGTCCGTGATGCAGTTCGCGATGGCTGTGGTGTATCCTGTCCATCAGAAATCTTAGTGCTTTAGGTAGAAGACAGTGATTTTTTTCCCCTTCCCAGTCTCTTTTCACTGAACTTTGCCCTGCATTTGGAAATTTTAAATATAAATAGAGAAATAGATTTTTCTGCTAGTCTCAGTCAAGTTTTTTCGGTAGTAAGAGTAAATGAATCCTGAAATTTTTTACCTTTGTCTTAAACTTTAAAAGGAATGTAGATTGTATCAATTCTATTTGTTTAAAAGGAGTGTATTGATTCCTATTTTTTTGAAATAAAAAAAATTTTCTGTATGTTGCAGCTTTCATGTTTTCACAGTAAGTTTTGGTTGGAGATGTTTTCTTCCAAGAATTTCTCTTAGAAGGGAAATGTATGTACCTTTATTATCCAAATGTTTTTCCCCCTCTTGGGGTGCTGGGCAAGCACTCTGTGTCTGAGCTACATCCCTAGTCCTCCAGGTGCTCTGTTTTATTTTTTAGTTGGTTTTTAAAGCCACCGTAGACCCTGTGGGTTATTTTCTTCCATCTTCAGAATATCACTAAACCAGGGATTGTTCTTATAGCAGTTCACAGTAAGCACTCCACAGTTAGGGCCACAGAACAGGGTATTGGCTGGTCAGTGGGTGGGGGTGCTCCGCCTCTCAACCTTTGAATTTATTTGTGGGGCTCTTAGAGTCTTTTGGAATAGTGGACGTGTATTTTTATGGAAAGCCATTTACTGACCATCATCTTACTGAGAAGGGAATGTGAATCACTCCATTTAAGCCCATTTTTCTTTCTGTTATTTCAAGTAAGGGCTGCCTTGAAGAGCCTTCCAGGGTGTGCAGTTGAGCCACCTTCATGCCCAAGCTGCCAGAGTGTTGCTGGTTGGCACTGAATGTCTGCTGAGTGACTGAATGACTTTCTTGTTGAATATGTTCTTTTGTTAGGCTGGTGAGCTTTTTGGAGGCAAAAGCAGAAAGCTTGCACAGAGGGGCTCATCATTATACAGGGGTAAGCGTTCGTTTTTCGAAACCGTGCCTACCTTCCTGGCTACCTACCAGGAAGGCCCTGCTGAGTGTTAGCAAGGCCTTCCTGGTGATATGATATTTTCTGAATGCTTTCATTGTGTTATAGATATGTTTTGCAGTTAACATTGTGGAAATAACTGTATGATACGGACTTAAGATCAGTCATCTTGAGTTGTTCCTCACTAGCTTTCTGAAATGTTTTACCTAAAATTTAGACAAGTGCAAAGATTATGTTTATCTTTATTCTGCCTCTCTGAAGCTTTTAAAACTGCAAGAACGAGTACTCAATAATGTGGTCATCTGTTTGCTTGGGGATGAAGACCCCAGGGTGCGACATGTTGCTGCTGCATCATTAGTAAGGTATTTAACAATATTTTATCTCTTCATTCACTCTTTTGGTTGAAGTATAAATGATAGGAGAATAGAAAGAGTTGGAGGAAATCAAAGGCTGAGTCTTACAAACTAATTTTCAGCCTTTCCATTCTTAACTGTCAAAAAAATTAAGAATATACAATAATTTAAAAAACCAAATACTAAACTTTCATTGTAGAGTAGTGTACTTTCATTTAAAAAGTTCAGAATGTAGAAAATAGCACTAAGAAAGAAGGAACATCGCCTTCAGTTCTGCCTTCTGTTCGTAGTTTGTGTTACTGTTGTGATGGGTTTGGGGTGGCCACCTGGAAGGAAAGTGTTGTGAACACAGGTGAGTTTAATGTACCTTCTGAATAAATTCGCCTTGCTTTCATGTTAGGCTTGTCCCAAAGCTGTTTTATAAATGTGACCAAGGTCAGGCTGATCCGGTAGTGGCTGTGGCAAGAGATCAAAGCAGTGTTTACCTGAAACTCCTCATGCACGAGACACAGCCTCCATCACACTTCTCCGTCAGCACTATAACCAGGTATGCTCCCCATGCACCTTGACCTTGATGGCAAAATGGGCCTCTCCTAGTGCCTGCCTTCCTGTGAACTCTAACTTAAAACATTCTCTTTTCCAAAAGTAAAAGACTTTAGATCAGGCTAACGTCGGTCATCTTCTTTTGACAGAATGTCTGTTTTCTTTAGGATTTGCCATTGCCACTACAGCCCCACAGAGGTGACAGCGTTAGTCTGTATTGAAATCATTGCATTCCTCATACTCACAACTGCTTTTTTGGCGGGGTAGGGGGGTGTTACTGGCATTTGAACTCAAGGCAGGTGCTCTGCTGCTTGAGTCACACTTCCAGGCCTTTCTAGTTATGTTTCTCGCTTGTTTTGTCCCCTCTGAAGAGCACGTGTCTCTCACTTCTGGTAATGTTTAAGTGGATGGGCTATTGCTGTGTGGCAGTCTGTTCAGGGCCCCAGTTCATTGTGTCTTGTGTTGTGAGAACATGGGTGGTTCCCATTGGCCATGTTTGGGTCATCTGACCATCAGGTGAGCTGTTCTGAGACACTTTAGTGAAGGCACAGTTTCTATACAAAATCAGTTTGCAAAACATCCTGCAGAAGCAATATAGACTGCTGTGCCTTTAACTCCATCTTAGATATTATTTTAAAAACTGTGATTTACATGCTACCAGTTTTCTGCTGAGCGGCAGTTTAATAAAACCACTGACTAAATGACTTCTGAGTTCACATGATTACATGATCCTTTATCTGTCAGTTTAAAAATCAGCTCGTCAGATATTCCCAAATAGGTATCATTTTTTTTCTCATGGAAAGACCAATTAAAATAAACACACGCAGCTGGGGCCATGGCTCAAGTGGAAGAGCATCTGCCTCGCTAGTGCACGGCCCTGAGTTCAAGCCTAGTACTGCCAAAACCCAAAACCATGGAAATCATTTCTAGGCTTTCTTAGTATTTCCTCTCAGAGAATATCCTTTGTTTAACCTCAGAAGTGGTGTGTTTTTTCTTTGAAAAGATTCATCATAAACATTCCATTGAGTAGAAGCAGTATAAAAGTGTTTTAGAGATTTGATGAACTTGGAGTAGCCACTGTTTCTGTGTGCCACTTCAGAAGATGAATACTTAGATGCCAACAGAGATGAGTCTAACATCAAATTGAAACTGGCTGCTAATGCCTACTTCCATACTGCCAGCAGCAAGCTTTGTATGGCCTCTTGACCTTCTGCTCTGCAGAAGACATGCTTGCTGCACTCAGACATGGTTGCCAGTTGTTCTGTATTTCTGCTTCACATCCACTCGTTAGAATGTATGTGAGAAGATAAATCAGATTCTCCATAGTTTTGTTGCTGAGTGTCTGTGGACAAGGCACAAGGGACACTAGAGAGTCAAACGTGAACTCCACATGGGCTTCATTTAAATAGCTGGGAAGTTAGAATTTGTAGGGGTAGTAATAAAATGGTTGGCATAATGGAATATAGGAAAAATGCCTTCAGAGCTTGGTAGTGGATAAAGGGACTTGTTTCGTGTTGGAACCAGGGTGGTTCTAGGCACTCCCAGCATGGAGAAACTGCAGGGATGGCAGGCAGGCTGTAAGGAGAGCATGGCCTCAGTACTGTAGCATAAGTAGAGGGTGCCTGGGGGAGGAAGGGGGACATTAGCCCATTTTCCAGATGATGACCAAGTTTGTTTCTGGTCTCTCTCAGTTGGTTAGTTAGTGCTGGGGATAGAACCAGGGCCCTGGTGCATGGTAAGCAATTATTTTGCCACTAAGCTATATACCCAGCCCAATTTCACGTCTCTTTAACTGAAAAGTCAAGTCTGCTTTATTCTTTCTAGCCTTTAATCTTAAACTTTGAATGTCATTTGATATGGAAAAATGTACTTTTTAAGAACATATTTTTAAGTCTCCATATTTTTCTTATTAGAATCTATAGAGGGTATAGCTTACTACCAAGCATAACAGATGTCACCATGGAAAACAACCTCTCAAGAGTTATTGCTGCGGTTTCTCACGAACTGATCACATCAACCACGCGGGCTCTCACAGTAAGCCTTCCCACTTGGGCATTAAGGAGGTTGGCTTCTAGTAGTTCTGTGGCCAGTTGCGTGGTCATGGTGGGCAGACGCTGTATGAGAGCGCCTCCTCCTAAGGTACTTGCTAAGGAGGTGTGTTTTTGTCAATGGAATCCAAAATAATACAAGCTCATTGTAAACTAACTCAGCAAATTTAGGAAGACATGAAAATAAAAGCCACTGTAATCTGAGTTGGTAATTTACCAGAAGCTTAAAAGACTTCTAGTATAATTAACTCAGTGACCTCATTATACATACTGAGGGGGAAACCAGAAATGCCAACAAGGATTGTTATGTAATGTAACTGCATCATTATTTGTGATGCTGAAAGTAGAAGAGAAGTGTAACATCTGAGAAGCCAAAATGGAGAAGTTCATTCACATAGTAGTATGTTGTACACCTATTAATGTGGCCTTTTGAGGAATTTTTAATGACATGGAGAGAGAATCTTGATTTAAATGTTGAATGTAAAAAGTGGAATACAAAATTCTGGGGGATTGTATATGCTGGCCTCTGTTCACTGGGGTAAAATTGATCTTTTTGTTAACATGGATTCCAGTTGCTGCATCTTTCCAAGTATGAATGTGTCCCATGGTAGGGTATTAACCTGTGGTCATTCACTGCTCTCAGTTTTCTTTCCATTGCACTATCTCTAAATAGTAAAAGGAGATTTAGTGCAGCAGGCCTTTCATGGAGTTTGGTGTGATTTTTCTTTCTCTGTAGTTTGGATGCTGTGAAGCTTTGTGCCTCCTCTCAGCAGCCTTTCCAGTTTGCATTTGGAGTTTGGGTTGGCACTGCGGGTATGTATTTTCCTCAGCATTCAGGTGACTAACTGCACAGTATAACCCTGGCTACTGGGATCTGTTTCTTCTTTTCTTTCAATGTCTTCTGTCAGTTGGCTCTGGAAAAATACCTGATAGAATGCTTATTTCTGCCATTAGTTGCATGAAAACTAGTGAGAGGGGCTGTTGGGAAAGACTGATGTAGTTGTGACTCTAACAAATGCCCGTTGGTCTTTAGCATCTTTGGGACTGGGGTGTGATCTGCTGGCAAAATACTTCCGTAACCAGTGTGCTTCTTTCTAAGATTGCTGGGTATGGTATGACTAGCATATGAACTTGGGGTGGATGCAGGCGTGTGCTTTAAGAACCATGGCACTTTGTATTAGCAGCTTTCCTTAAAAATCATTTTCTTCCAGTAGCTCGCCTAGTGGTGTCTGAGAAATTGCTTTGAGTCTTCTGCAGCACTAAGGAGTAAGCTTCTGTCTGTGTGTTGATTCACAGACATGGTGATTCACCTCATGTTTGGAAGTAAATCTGTAGATTTCTGCTGTGTGTCAGTGTATGGCCAAGTAATACTTGCTCACGGTTGCCTGTGTTCTTGGTCTAGAATGAGTGCTTTCCTTCTTTCGTGAATACTGACTGAGCAATTGCAGGTTCTAGTCACAGGTCTAGCGGTAGACTTTACTTATGAGCAACTTCAGCATTGGAATAAAATGTGGTAAATCAAAATGCAAAGAGCGGTAAAAACTCCTCAGCACACACACAGGTCCACCTCTTCTAATTAGCAGTACTGCCTGATTGCATTTCCCAAGTGAGCTTTTTTCAGGAGCTGTGTTTTGCATGAAGGATGTTGGTTAATAACAGTAAATGAATTTCTTAGTTGGTATTAAGTGTCTCATGACATGCCTTCCTTTTGGGTTCATAGAGGAAGACTATTTGCTTGAAAGTTCCCTAAAATTTGACCTTGCACATTCCTGCTTCCAGAGTTCCCCCACTGAGCACCTCAGATGAGTCTAGGAAAAGCTGCACTGTTGGGATGGCCACCATGATTCTTACCCTGCTCTCATCAGCTTGGTTCCCATTGGATCTCTCAGCCCATCAAGATGCATTGATTTTGGCGGGAAACTTGCTCGCAGGTACTGACAGTTGAAGCAGAGACTCCAGGACTTTAGCTCTAAATTCCTCCTGATGGGTGGGGTGATGAGCACACAAGGGAAGAAAATTGTGAGTCATTGCCTGAAATAGTTGGTTCCTTCTGTCTGTATTTCAGATATTGCCTGCCTGTATAATTATGTGTGTTGGCAGCTGTTCTATGATGTGTGTTTTTGAGCAACCTTTCCCAGATTAGCCCCTCAGTTAACTGGGTGTAATTTTACTGGGTACTATGTATCAGGCACTGTCTTGAAAGAGAGAGCAAGCATATTGTATGGGCTCCATTCTCAAATTAGTTGTAGATTGGCAGGGAATACACGCAAACAAGCACAGTGGCAGCAAAGAGTAGCTGTGAACACTCTCCTTTGGACTGATTTATGGGTTGGCAGGAAAGGGTACACCAGATGAGGTACTGCACTCACAAAGGCACGGAGACTGGAAAGTTGTGTGACAATGGGGTAATGTAAGTCATTGCGGATGTTACGTGAGTTCAGAGATGAGAATGGAGAATATGGCCAGCCAGAAGGGCACAGTTCATTGAAACTGGATGGGAGAGGGGATACTAGTCCCCATTATGGAATCTGAATCTTGTCCTGTTTGCCATCAGTGAGTTTCATGGATAGGACCAACAGTTAGATTAGTGTCTAGAAAGCTCACTCAGCTGACTGAGGGCAGACTGGCAGAAAAGGTAGGGAAGTTCATTTAGGAGGTTAATTTCAAAGCTTTGGCCAGACACTGAGTGTGAACCAAGACTGTGGCTTTGGGATTACAGAGAGAGCGAATTGCTGGACCTTGATCCATAGCTGAGCCTCAGTTGTGAGGATAACAAGTTGGACTGGAGTAGTGGTGACATTTGTGAAAATTGGAACACAGATTTTGGGGAGATATCACTTTCCTGTGGGTTTGAGGCATATTTTGAGCTTAAGATACAGAGATCTAGAAGTCTGTCAGCACAGGTGGATGAGCAACTTATGTCCCAAAGTAGCTTTCTTTTCACCGCACCCACCCCTTGACGGAGGTGGGAGGTAATGTGTGTGCTTGTGTCACAGCCAGTGCCCCAAGGTCTCTGAGAAGCTCATGGGCCACTGAAGAAGAAGCCAACCCCACAGCCGCCAGACAGGAGGAGGCCTGGCCCGCTCTGGGGGACCGGGCACTGGTGCCCATGCTAGAGCAGCTTTTCTCTCACCTGCTGAAGGTGATTAACATCTGTGCTCACGTTCTGGACGATGTGGCTCCTGGACCAGCAATCAAGGTAATTTCTTCCGCAGGGTGGCCTTGTGACAGACTCTCACCTGCTCCCTGCAGCTCTCCCTGCTGCTTTCCATCAACTCCCTAATTACACCAATTTGTCCCAAAGTGCCATCTTCACAGATGAGGCTGCCATCACAAAATACCATAGCCTGGTTGGATGGCAGTTTAATTGTCACAGTTCTGGAGGCTGGGAAGTCAGAGATCAAGGTACTGACAGGCTTGGTCTCTGGTGAGGGCCCACCTTCTTGTGTCTTCACGTAGTAGACAGGGCAAGGAGCTCTTGGAGTCTCTTTTTGTAAGAACATTAATCCCATTTATGAGGGCACTTATGTGTCCTCATGACCCAGTGGCCCCATCTCCTAAATATTACCTTAGGAGTTAGGTTTCAACAAATGATTGGGGGTTGGGGGGCTCAGACAGTGAACAAGCACTTTGCTAAGGTCAGGAAGGGAAGGAGCAGTAAAATTAGGACTTGAAATGCCAGTCTGTGTCATCTCATCTTCTCTGTCTGCTGGCTGCTGCCTTCAGCGTGGGAGTCTGGACATTCTAGATTCCCTCATGGGTTATGTGTTAGAAAGAGTGAGCTATGTGTCTGGATTTGTTGACCTTTAGTTCTGCTGCTTATTAACTGGGACCTTGATTAACTCCATCCTGAACCTTGTTTCTTTACTTAAGAAATTAAGGTTGAATCATTGCTTTGTGCCCTGCTCATGTCGTGGCATGAATGCCCTGATTGTCTGCCATTAGAGGAACAGGAGATGCAGGTAGCCTCAGGTCCTTCCGACTCCAGTGCCCCTCATTCACCATGCAGGTATGAAGAGAGTTCTGGGCCATACCTACAGTGTACAGTTGTCCTGTTACAGGAAGGAGATAGCATTGTAGTGTGTAAACTCTGCAAATACAGGTTCAGAGAGTACAATGGGTTGTGTGGGTTGGCATTTTTTCAGTACATGGTAAAACTATGTATGGTAGACCCTTGGTATCTGTGGGTCTTTGGAAAAACCTCAAATGCTCAGGATGTCTAGAATTCAGTGCTGTACTCTGAAATACTTGATTTGTTTTTCCCACAATGCCACCCAGCTGCCACTAAAAATAAGCCACCTCTCAACAAACCTAAAATTTTCACTATATTACTTCATTTAAGCACATTAACATTTACCTTGTCTTTTGGACACCATTTGCTTTTTGGGAGGCATATTTTCACAAAATTAAAGTCAGGGAAGCACTTACCAGATCACATGATTGAAGCACAACTGACAATGATGAGGGTCTGACGGAGAACTTCTCACATCAACCAAATGATGTAATGCTCATGTAGGAGTTTCAGTTTTTTGTTTTTGAAATTTCTTTTCATTTTGTTTACTTATTTTTTTATTTGTGCTTGGTCAAAACAACCTGTAGTAAATTCACAAATAATGTGGCTTTTACAGTTTTAGTTACTAGTTTCTGTATTGGTTATATTTCTGTCTTTTTTGTGTGTGTCTATTTTAGGCAGCTTTGCCTTCTCTAACAAACCCCCCTTCTCTAAGTCCTATCCGACGAAAGGGAAAGGAGAAAGAACCAGGAGAACAAGCATCTGCTCCACTGAGTCCCAAGAAAGGTGGCGAGGCCAGTGCAGGTAAGCTGTAGTGCCTAGGAAGGCAGGACAGGGGCAGAAGTGTAGGACTTAAGCTTATACTGCTATTGGACTGACTGGACAAATTGGTACTTTATGGAAATCTAGTACATAGCAGTAAAGTCAGAAAGGTTTCCAGGGTGGCTTTAGATAATGAAAACTGGTGAATGTCTGCAGTCCACCCTTTGACCTTAAGTGTCTGCAAGTATCACTTGTGGAAAAGCAGTCACTAAGCCGGGTGCTGGTGGCTCACGCCTGTAATCCTAGCTACTCAGGAGGAAGAGATCAGGAGGATCTGTATGGAAGCCAGCCTAGGCAAATAGTTCGAGAGACCCTACCTTGAAAATACCCAACACAAAAAAGAGCTGGTGGAGTGACTTAAGTGGTAGAGTGCCTGTCTAGCAAATGTGAGGCCCTGAGTTCACACCTCAGTACTGCCAAAAAATAAAGCAGTCACCATAACCATCTGGCATCTGGCCATGGCAGGAGCCCGCTTCCTTCCTCTTCCCCTTCTCCTTGCAGAGGACTCCTGATTTTTAGTAAGGGAGGTGGTATTGATGGTAGGAATAGATGCTGGGGGGTTAAAACACTAATTCAGGAACACTTCTGAAGCAGGAAATGGAAAATTTACATTTGGAAGAGCTAATAAGAGATAGTGGGAGCTGGACATGGTGAGCCAGGTATGGTGGTACACCTCTATCATTCCAGCACTCAGGAAGCTGAGGCTGGAAGATGGAGAGTTCCAGGCCAGCCTGGTTACAGAGCAAGACCCTGTCTCACTCCTACCTCAAAAAAATAAAAAAAGGCAGTGGAGACAAGTCACCTGAGTTTGAGGAGACATTGGCAAGGGATTCTGTACCTGTGGAAATGGCACAGCAGAAGAGGCAGAATTTTGGCATGGCAGCAGTAACTGAATCCCCATCTGTGCAGCTCTTGGTGGGCACTGGTGGGGGTGAGAAGAGGAGGTGGCCTCTGCCCTTGTATGGGACTCTCCATTGCCTGTCCTCTCAGTCTTAGAGTGCACAGCACTGTGAAGTATGTGCAGTTGTTGAATGGCTAGTTAACATGTGTTTTGCTCACATGCTTACCTTCTTTGTGGAGAGAATGCTTAAAATCTGCGCTCTGGTGATTTTCAGTAAATGATACCTTGTTAGTTGTATAGTAGGTTTCTTGAACTTGTTCTTCCCATGAATAACTTTTTGTATCCTTTGACCAACATACTAAGGCTTTTTAAATGGTGCTCTTTTCAACTACACGGTTTATCTATTTAAAAGCACCAGACTTTACAAGCACACAGTGTATGACTGGTATTCTCCTTGATGAGTTAAGTAAACCAAGCCCTCCAAGGCAGAAGTTCTTGAAACTGGAGTTGACTAATTATACATGGTGCTCACCATGTATATTGAGTATCAGTTTAATGATAATGTTTACAGTTTCAAAACATGTTCACATTACTCTGTTAATTGCTTAATGGGTCTATGAATATGGCCAGGGATCAGCACCATGTGCCTCAAGTAGCCTTAGGCTCAGAAAGGTTGTGGGATGAGGTTCTGGACTTGGCTCTGGTCATGAAGTCAGCAAACTGATGCCTTTCGAGGGATTTTTATTTTGTTTTGATTTTTCCTCTCTGGCATTACTGGGGTTTGAACTCAGGGCTTCACACTTGCTAGGCAGGTATTCTGCAGCTTGAGCCATAGCATCAGCCCCAACTGATGCCTTTCAAAGCAAACAAGCATTCAATCACAAGCTGATCTTTTACAAAACAAACAAGGATTCAGTCAGCAAACTGACACATTACAAAGCAAGCAAGCAACTGAAACCAGAGAATTGAATACACTGCTGATGCTGTTGTTTTTATATTATTTATGTTATTTTTTTAGGCCTCAGAAAATCAGGAGTGATTTGAATTTGTAAAAATCATCATTGCCATAATTTTGTTTAAACTTAGCAAGTTTTTTCATTTCGTCTAAAAATTTATTTTTTGTGTATTTTTAAAGCCTCTCGACAATCAGATACCTCAGGGCCTGTAACAGCAAGTAAATCCTCTTCATTGGGGAGTTTCTACCATCTCCCCTCCTACCTCAAATTGCATGATGTCTTGAAAGCCACTCATGCCAACTATAAGGTACTGACCCTGGCTTCGTTGTAAATGTGTGTGCATATGTACTTGCTTCTAATGAGTTGTTGATATTTTTCCTATGATTTGAAGAGTGTGCATAAATACAGGTGCATGCAGACATATAAATAAGTTAGCATTTTGAGATAGAGATTACAGTTAGTTTTTCTAAGTCTGTCTTTCTGCTTGGTTTATGGTAGCCTCCCTCTAGATACTTTGGAGAAATGTTCTTGTGCCTTATGGGTATTGTTTATGGACTTCCCAAAACTTCCTCGTGTTCAGAGACACACCTAAAGGACTCCTGGGGCTCAGCACAAAGTTGTACCTGCAGCTAGGGTTTACCATAGCCACGTCCTAAGGACACACAACCAGGTTACAGGGCATTGTGGTCCCTGTGGAGTTTGGAAGACTCCACCTGCAGGCTTTCTGTCCCCTTTTCCTCTGTGAGGCACACACCAAAGTGCAGCAGAGTACAGGTCTGCCCAACATGAACCATAATTCCAGACTCACAGAAGAAAAGCTGGTGTTCAGCATATATTTTGTGTTTCAGTTAGTCTAAGCATAATGAGCCCCTTACCAGCTAGGGAAGGTTTTCTGTCTGTGTAGGGAATCCTTTACCAGATGGTCCCAGGGCCCTCCTTGCAAACAGGTCTCTGAGGGATGGCCTTCTTTGCTGTAGGGGTATGTTCCAGTTCTTTGATTCTTTCCCCCCCCTATTTTCTATGCCAGCCATTTGTTAGATACTAAGAATGGGTTTAACTTAATTTTTTTTCCAGTTTCCTAACCATTTGTCCCCAACACTACTGAATAGTCCATTTCTCTGCCCCGATTGTTTTTTGTTGTTACATCAGTTTGTTCATTTATTAGAAGCACATTGTTTAGTTATAGTAGTGTAATGATCCATTTTTGAGGGGATCATTTCCCCTATTTTTCTTTAGAGTTTTCTGTATATTCATGTTTGTCTGTTTTTGCCTGTAAACAATAGAATAAGCTTATCTAATTCTAAAGAATCTGGAGATTGCCTTCAGTGAGCTCCTGTTGAACTGTGATGAGGAGGTGGCCAGTTCAGTGCACAGGATGCTTTTCTATTTATTCGGAAGCACATGAAGTTTGGAGAATTTTAAAAATAACTTTAAAGATTATTTCACATAACCCTTGTTCATTTCTTAATGAATGTGTCCCTACATGTTCATCTTTCTTTGTACTAATAGTTACTTCACGGTTTTTTTTTTGAAACCATTTATTATCCTTTTGTAACTACTTTTCTGAAGTATGTTGATAATTTTGAAAGCTAAAAATCTTCAACCATATTTTACAAAAGATTTGGAGCCTTTGTTTGACTGCATGTTTCTCCTGTCAGCCCCACAGCAGAGGATGGTACATTTGAAATGCCATACGAGAAGGTGTTTCTTTTCTACCTGTCTTTAATTAGACGATACCTTCCATGCTCTGCTTATCACTCTCTTTGCTGATACTTTGGTCTCCAGGGTAATTTTTACTTCCCTGGTGCCTTGCACTCCTGCTTCCTTTATTTCCAGGTTCCACCTCCGTAACTCTTTAGTTTATGCGTGTTTAGAGTGGCTGGCCTGTCCTGCTCTGTGTCTTGTCATCATCTCTCCCTTTCTTTCATTCTTTCTGCTAAGCTGCTCACTTAGCATCATACTTCCTTATTTATTTGTTTGTTTATACATAGCCTTGTGAACTCCTCTGTGATCCCTTTTCTTTTATGGTGGTGCTGGGGTTTGAACTCAGGGCTTCGCAGTTGCTAGGTAGGTGCTCTACTGCTTGAACCACACTTCCAGCTCTCTTTGTTCTGGTTATTTGGGATATAGAGTCTTAATTTTTGTTTGGACCACCCTGGATACCTAGGATGACAAGTGCGTGTCACCACACCCAGCTTTTTTCTGTTGAGATGGAGTTTCGTGAACTTTTTTTTCAATCCTGCAGATATCAGCCTCCTGCTTAACTTAGGGTAACAGGCATGTGCCACTGCACCCAGCTGTTGGTTGAGATGGGATCTTGCTAACTTTTTGATTAGCCTGGCCTGGAATCACAATTTTCCCCATCTCAGCTTCCCAAGTAGCTAGGATTGCAGGTGTGAGCCACCAGTGCCTGGCTTGTGATCCCTGCTTCACTTCTTTGGTTTCCAAGTTTCCTGGGATTTCCTGAGCGGCCTCAAGCCCTGAAGCTGCCCGTTTCATCTGAGTTCTCACCACATGACCTCCTGTTCCCAATTTAGAAGCAGACCTTCCTGGGGTGCCTACACTTTGCAGAATTCCGTGTCTTTCTCCCTGTTGTCTTGGGGAGGAAGGACCATTGTGCCAGTTGGAGGGGCTCTGAATCTCGATGTGACGCCGTTACATCATCTCGTGCCTCAGATTGCCAGTGGTCTTGCTGTGGAGTGCTCTCTTTCTTTCCCTGGTTTATAGAAAGCACACTCAGGTTGACCCCAGGGCACCATGGGACTTAAATCCACTCTTATTTTCCTTTCTGTGTCTGTCTCCTGCCTTTGCCCACAGGTGGGTAGATTCTTTTCTGTCTGCTGTAATGTTTGTGCCAGTATTTATTTTCATAGGCGATTGCCCCTCACCCTTCCTCTTACACAGTGTGTCTTTGATCCTGCCCTATCCTCTGAGTCTATAAATTGAGGAACTGCTATAAAATTTACTTAAGCCGAATCCTTTGAACTTAACTTAATAATTCTAAGACTGACTTACTATTTTGTGGCAACCAAACTAAATGACTACATCTGAAATTGGTAGTGAAAAGACACACCCAAATGATGAGTCTTGGGCCGTACTCTTGAAGCCTCTCGCCGCAGCACACGGCGTTTGTGTCTTTGTTGTAGATAACTAGACTGCAGTGGTGCCAGTAACCCTGTGCTCTCTCCTTCCACCTTGCCAAGGTCACCTTGGATCTTCAGAACAATACTGAAAAGTTTGGGGGGTTCCTGCGCTCTGCCTTGGATGTTCTTTCTCAGATTCTAGAGCTGGCGACACTGCAAGACATCGGAAAGGTTTGTTTCTCATTTCCTCACCTTGAATCTCATGGGCACCCCTGGGCTGGGACATCTGGGATGGGCCTGGTGCTCTAGGGACACATAGGCGGCCACACTAAGCTTGGAAGACTGCTCCCCAAACCCACATGCTCATGTCTATTACCTGAGACCCATTTTGTCCTAGCCATGAAGCATCCTTTCTGTGTGTTACTTTGTTACCATCTACTCTCCAGGACCTAGTTTGTTTTAGAAAATTGGTTTTAAAACCTGCTTACAGAATCCTTTATTTTTTCATTTAACCTTTTTAAGTGGAAAGGGGAAAAACCAGCAAGGGTTGGTGACAGGCCTTTTCCATGCCTTAGGAAGTGGCAGAGTAGGGGAACTCATGTTCTTTGTTATAAGTGCAGTAATGTTCTTCTCTCACCCCATTTTATAATGAAAATCCTCAAACATGGAGGAAAGTTTTCTGTGCTGGACAGCCATGTCACATACTCACTCAAATTCTACCATTATTAAAACTTTATTGTACATACCACTCCCCCAGCCCTCCACCAGAACATTTCATTTAAAATACATTTCACAGTGAGCCAAATGTGTCTTCAAGTGAAATGCAGTGCAGTCGTCCCTCAGTATCTGCTGGGGATTGGTTCTCGGGCAATCTACCCACCCAATGTACTTGCCAAAATCTGCTACTACTTACATCCCTTATATAAAACAGTGCAGCCTGTGCATCGTCTGCACACTTTACATCATCTTTAGGTGACTTATAATATCTAGTACCGTATAAGGAATTGTGAGGCTGTACTGTTCAGGGAATAACGACAAGGAAAACAACCTATACGTGGTAGTACGGATGTACTCTGAATCTTCTTATCTTGATACATATGCAAGTTATCCACTGTTAGTCATTATGTGCCTGGTGTGTCTTCCCTGCTTGTTCCTTTTTTTTTTTTTTTTTTTTTTTTTTGTGGTACTGGGATTTGAACTAAGGGCTTTACACTTGCAAGGCAGATGCTCTACCACTTGAGCCACTCCTTCAGACAAGTGAAAATGCACTTGTCATTTTTTGGCAGCACTGGGGTTTGAACTCAGAGCATTACACTTGATAGGCTGGCGCTCTTACTGCTTGAGCCACGGCATTTTTAATGGCTGTATAGTGTTTTGCTGTGTTGATGGTCATTGTCCCCTCAGAATAAAGACCTGAGAAATTCCACCTTGTTGGTGAGGCCATCCTGCCTAGCATCTCTCTATATTCTCTTCTGCTCTCCTCCTTGCTCATTTTTCTCTTTGCCCCTTAGCATCAGCAGACACACTTTATTTTACCTGTATGTCTCTTTAGTGCCTATAGTAGTTGCCGGGAAATGGTAGCATTCTGTGAATGTTTGTTGGGTGAATAGTACACTTGATGTCATGTGTCTTTGAGAACTGAGATTTCAGTGCTTTTGTCTGCTTTAAAATTTCTTTTTTCACTTGTTTCAGGCTGGAGGGTAAATCTGGTACCTCTACCTCATTTTGGCCTTAAGTACAACATGTAATACATTGTATGTTAATATCTGTAACTGGGCCTCAATTCCGTCACTCTGGATCTCTCAATACAAGTATTCTGTGCACATTTGTTAAGAGAGATGGTTCTTTGTTAGACAAGTTGTGACAAAAAATCTCTAGTTTTAATTCCTTCAGTTAGTGTTTATTATGCTACTTGCTGTAAGTGAGGAAAAACAAAAAGTGCCATGTAGCAAATTCAGCCCTGAGAAGTACACCGTGAACATTTACAGTCTAATTTGAGTGAATCAGAACTTTAAAAAAGTGTGGCTCTTGAATATTAGAAATCAGCTGAAGCCCACTGCCTTTAATACAGGAGAGAAGCATGTTCAACTGCTTGGTGCTGGTTTTCAGCAGCTAAGTAGCCATGCTCATGGTTATGTGGCAATATGGGAGTGTACTGTTGGTTCTGTAGGCCTGAATTGACTGTGTTCTTAGAGTTATTGTCTTCGTCGTCGTCTTCTTTTTTTCCTTTATTCTTTTTGTCGTACTGGGGTTTTAACTTGGTGCTTCATACTTGCAAGGCAAGGCAGGTGCTCCACTGCTTGAGCCATGCAGTAGCTATAGCCCTTTTGTTCTGCTTATTTTGGAGATAGGGTCTTGCTTTTTACCCAGGCAAGCCTGGACCGTAATCCTCATGTCTTAAGCTTCCTTCAGTTGCTGGGATGATGGATATTTACCACCATTCCCAGCTTTTTTTTCTGTTGAGATGGGATCTCTCTACCACCTCACCCCACCACCCCCAGCTTGTGATGATAGGGTGCATGTGTGCCATTGCACCCAGCTGTTGGTTTAGATGGAGTCTCAGGCTGGCCTTGAACCATGATCCTCCCCATCTCAGCCTCACTTGTGTGAGTCACTGACGCCTGGTTATCTTCGTTTTTTATTCTTGAAATGGGCATTGAGTACCTTAGACCTTGTTTTTATTTTTATTTTTTTGCTTCTTTATTTTGTTTGTTATTTGTTTTTCCTTTGCAGTACTGGCAATTGAACCTAGGGCCTAGGAAAGGCTCTACCACTGAGCCATATCCCAGCTAGACATTGCTTTTAATGATGGTAAAATAGCTTGTAAGAATAGTAATATTAATGCAGTAATTTTTGTCATTGTTGCAAATTACTGTGACATTTCCAGGGCTCCTTTGCTGTAAATTGCACAGTAGTGTACTAGGTATTGTGCTCAGCTGAACAAGTCTGGGGGTGCTCCACAAGTGCAGGGTTTTTGACTCCTTTACACATTCCTGAACTCATGTCCTGAAAGCAGGATTGGGTGTGCATAGTAGACAGTAGATACTTGCTTATCTATTTATTGAGTGAATGAATGAAAGAATGGGTGTATAAATGCATGAGAAAGCAGTTTTCATATATTTTACCCAGATTTCAAGAATTTTTCCTGGCTCTGTTCAAGAAGATAAGTTGAAAACCTTCCTCTGATATTTATACAATGTAAATGGAAGCTGTCTTCACAGACAGCTGGATAAATATCCCCGATTTCTATCTAGGATTCCTAAGAATAATGGGATGTCTGCCAGTTGTTTAAGATACTACTGTTCTTTCTCTAGTGTGTTGAAGAGATCCTTGGATACCTGAAGTCCTGCTTTAGTCGAGAACCAATGATGGCGACTGTCTGTGTTCAGCAGGTGAGAGCATTATTTCTTGTCCTTTTTGGTAAGCTCTCCAGGCTTGGCAACAAAGTGATACTTTTGCTTTTAAAGCTGGTGCTGGTGGTATGTTTAGAAAGGGTTGGGTGGTCACATTCTTGTTTGCTTCATGGTTGGAGGGGCTGTCCTTCTTCCCCAGGAGGATGTGGTTCATTACTGTTGGGAGCACAGGATATCAGAAGCTGCACTGGACTCTTGCTGCTTTATCCTTGTCTTCCTATTTTTGTGGGTCTGTGTTCAGAGTGCCCTATCTCACTTAGACCATCTGGAAACCCGAATTTGTGTCTTATGTACCAGTGACACTGTGCAGCAAGGTCTCCCAAGGCACTGAAAGGGGTTCACAAGAACTTCCCATTATGAATTTTTGCTGGATTTGCAACTTGGGAGGGAGAGTCTTAAAGTGTTGCTCATGTATACCAAGTTAAGTATTGATGCTTCTGTCCTTTCACTCTAGCTATTGAAGACTCTGTTTGGAACAAACTTGGCCTCCCAGTTTGATGGTTTGTCTTCCAACCCCAGCAAGTCTCAAGGCCGAGCACAGCGCCTTGGCTCTTCCAGTGTGAGGCCAGGGCTGTACCACTGCTGCTTCATGGCTCCGTACACCCATTTCACGCAGGCCCTAGCTGATGCCAGCCTGAGGAGCATGGTGCAGGTGGAGCAGGAGCATGACTCCTCAGGGTGAGACTTGTGGTGGGGGCTGCTGTTGTAGAAAGACAAAAGAGCAGGCAGGGAAGGTTTTAAAAGTAAAAATGAGTCGGCCAGGATGCTGTAATTGTCCACTGCAGTCAAAGAAGCCTAGGAAATATGGGTAATGCAAAGAAGTGGAACATGTAGTGTCCTCGTGTATGGAAAGCACACGTTATTTTCTAGTAATGTGGTGTGTGTTGCGCCATTTCTCAGGTCTGTAAGATGAAAGACCACCTTCACATGGCACAGTGGTACTAGTGTTTAGAGGTATTTGAAGGGTCCAGGAAAATCCTGGGTATTTTTACTTTGTGTTTTATGAACTTTATGGCTAAAAGTCTCTTTTCCCTTGAATTCATGTTTGTCTTGATGCCTGGAATACAGAAAGTCCATTCTTCCCTCTCTCCATCCTTCCCTTTTCTTCCCTCCTTTTCTTCCCTCTTTCTCACATATGCTAGACAAGAGCTTCACTATTAAGCTGCATTCCCAGCCCTCAAAGGTGTTTCTTTTCTTTTTTTTTTTTTTTTTTTGGCAGAACTGAGGCTTGCACTCAGGGTTTTGCTAGGTAGTAAAAGGTGTTAAATTATCGTAATTATTAGCAGAGACTTGAGTTCCTATTCTGTGTAGTAGCAGTAATAGAATCCTTATTTTTCCTTTTATAAGTCTAGGGACCAAACAACTATAATTAAAGTACTAGAGTCAAAAGTTAAGGGAAGTGCTCATGTTCTGGGGTTTATTTGGTGATGTATTCATATGTTCCCGATTTTCAGGAGTAAGTCTGTTTAAGTACTTGATGTAATCCCATGGGCTATGAAATCAGCAAGTGAGTCTGTGTGCCCATGAACGTGTGCTATGGCCTTTAAAAAAATGTTTTCAGGTGGCTTTCACTGTATTGCCTCTGCTGATCTCAGAGTCATGGGCTCAAGCACTCTATAACGTATTTTCCCAAGAAAGTCAGTGATGTCTTCTGGATTAATGATCTACCAGAGAGCTGTTGCTTCTCTCTCAAGTCCTCCTAGAGACTGTTCTGAGGAGCTGGGGTCCCATAACAGCATAGCACAGGCTTGAGTAGCCTTCTGCAGGTGGCAGAATTGATGTTGTCAGGAAACAGCACACACTAAATTGAGTCCCATTATCTTCAGCAACTGAATGACTTTTCCAGTTCTGCTTTCCTGAACATGAAATTGGTTTGAATTGGAGTGTAGCTGAGGACAGAGGAGATGATTGAAGGATACTCTTTGTTTCTCTTTTTGCCCATTTGTCAGATGGTTTGATGTACTTCAGAAAGTGTCCACCCAATTGAAGACAAACCTCACAAGTGTCACAAAGAACCGTGCAGATAAGGTAAATGGTGCTGTGGCAAGATACCACATCGCAGGAATGTCGGGGCTTAGATACTGGGGAAGAAAACCGAGCTTGAGACTTCCCAGGTTGGTTGCCTAAAGCTTGTAACTCACTCTTTTTTTCTTTCATAGAATGCTATTCACAATCACATTCGCTTATTTGAGCCTCTCGTTATAAAAGCTTTAAAGCAGTACACCACCACAACATCTGTGCACCTGCAGAGGCAGGTTTTGGATTTACTGGCGCAACTGGTTCAGCTACGGGTCAATTACTGTCTGCTGGATTCGGATCAGGTTTGTCAGTCTTTCTTGTGTTCGCAACACCTGTTCCTATTGAATAAAAATTACCCTGAAAAGACATTGCCATCTGCCTTAATTTGTTTTTTCCCCATCAGTTTGTGCCTCTTGTCTATTTCATGGAGCTAGCAGACACAGAAGGTCAGGTGCATGGCAGACCTCAGCAGGTGTGGGCACCCCAAGTCTGTATCATGTTCCAGTAGGGTTAGCTTTCAGACATAGCCAGAGGTTTCCCCATCCACTCACCTACTCCCCAAGCTCCTAAGTAAACTTGAATTTAAATTGTAGGATACACTTTAAGGTTTATGGTTTTGGGGGGGTTGAGGGCATTATTGCAAAGTTCAGAGATTTTTAAAAAACAGATTATGGTCTATAATTTAAGCAATCTGAAAAGTGAGCTTGCCTGTTTAGAAAGGAATCTAATCTACCAGCCCCACACTTCCTGGACTCCCACCTGGGTAGCTGTGTAACCTTGCACCAAGATGAGCATTGCTATCCCATGGAAGCAGAAATGACAAAAGACTGGCTGCGCAGCCCTCTCTCGCTCAGCACTGGGCTCCCTTGGCTCTGGGGGGGAGGAAGAAAATCTGAGTATCCCATGGACTACATAGAGTCCAGATGCTCTGTTTGTCACTTCCTGAGACAGTGCCCCCAATTTTGATTTTGAGTGATACCTAGGGGTTCCTGCAATTTTTTTTAATTACTGTATTTGTTCTTTGTTTTATTGTTTATTCATTTTTTGAGAGGTCTTGCTATGTTGTCCAGGTTGGACTTGAATTTGCCTTCTTCCTGTCTTAGCCTTCCAAGTTTCTGGGATTATAGCCATGAACCATCAGGACTGGCTAAGTTGTTACTTTATTTTTTGAGTTCTTTCAGACGGGATCTCACTACATAGCTCAAATTTGTGACCCTCTTGCCTCTGCCTCCCAAGTGCTGGGATTATAGGGTTTAGTCATTTTGTTTTTAAAAGAAGTTTTTGGAGGTGCTCTGCAGTTACCTATCTGCTTTCAGAATGGATTTGAGTTCTTGATGACAAATAAGTTTATCTGCTATCAGGAAACTTGTTAAGCAATTATACAAATAATCAGGAAGAAAAGCAATCTGGATTTCATATTTTAATCCTGTTATTAATATGAGACTTTTACTTTCCCACCTACAGGTGTTCATTGGATTTGTGTTGAAACAATTTGAATACATTGAAGTAGGCCAGTTCAGGTAATAATAGCATTTGTTACTTTAGAATTCTTATCTCTGTTATATACTTATACGTAATTTTAGATTATGAAGAGCATTTATATTTACTTTTAAGTATTGTTAGACATCTTGGCTATTTTATTTTCCTTAATGGAATTCTGATTAGCATGCTAGGCATTTTTATTTGTCTTAAAAATTAATGAAAAACTTTCTCAAGACTTGTTTAGATTAGTTGTGTATTTGGTAATTATATATGTTGTCAGTTCTCATTTCACATCTTAAAGCATTTAATTATGACTATAGATTGCTATATGACATGTCATCTGATGGAGAAAGGACTTTTAGGTAAGGTTTTTAATAAAAGTAATAGTTAAATATACTTACATAGCTACAGCTTTTCCTTGCTAGATGTTAAAGCTTTAGGGTATCTGACTGCCTATTACAGGTTTGTAAGTATTATTAGAGAAAATTAAAGTTCTTTATTTTTTGACATTCTTAAGTAGTTGGCAAAACCTTGTGTTGAAGGAGTGTGTCCTAAGAGTTCCTGGGTTCTAGAGACCCGGTCTTACTCTAATTTTGTGTAACCTTGATTGTATGGTTTTAGGAAGGTACTTTTCTCCTTGGAGTCTGTTTCTTCAAGAGTGAAAGGGCAGATAGAGAGCTAGGAAGATTTTACCTGCTTGACATTCAATGCTGTCAGGTCGCAATGTCCCTGTTCTCGCCTTACCCTCCCCCTGCAGTCAGGCTCTCTCAGGCTCTCCAAATGGGCAGAGCCAGGACCCCCGGGGATAGGTGTAGGGTGAATTAGGTTGCTTAGTCTGTTTCACCTCAGTACTCTTGCTGTCTCTTGAGGTCAGTTTTCAGTTATGTTATTGTTTATATTGCTCTTATATCTTTGTTTGAAGAAGAAGTGTCTAAATGGGTGTTTTTGTTTCTAGGGAATCAGAGGCAATTATTCCAAACATCTTTTTCTTCCTTGTGTTACTGTCTTATGAGCGCTACCATTCAAAACAGATCATTGGAATTCCTAAGATCATTCAGCTGTGTGATGGCATCATGGCCAGTGGGAGGAAAGCTGTCACACATGGTAACGGGACACACCTTCCCTTGTGTCTTCAGTGTCATGATGTGCCCGACAGTGTTAGTCCTCTTCTACCCACTTCCAACTGTGCCATGTGGACTCTGGCTTGTACTGCCTGTGCTTCGTGTGGGTGTGTGTGGGTGTGTGTGGATGTGTGCATGCGTGCTCCCATTAGCGATGTTTAAAAAGAGTAGAGAGCACCTCCTTCCAGGAGCTTACAGTCTACTGAGGAAGAAAGCGTAAGAAACAGTGCCATAATGCAGATACAGGTAGATTCTGAATGTAAGTGCCCATTTACTCATATGGAACACAAGCTTTTTAATTTTATAATTTTATTTATATGTTTGATATTCTTTTTCAGGGCTTGAGGTCAAATCCAGGGCCTTACACATGCTAGGCAAGTGTTCTACACAAAAAAACTTAAATACAACTTCCCATAAATCAAATTTTGGTTTCTTTTCCAGTAGTATTGGAGGGGATAGTTGGATCTTAATGCAGTGCTTTCTATTTTGCCAGATTTTTTTGTGGGGGGAGAGGGTACATGTTTATTAAACTGAGCTTTTAAATTATATATCCATCTACAGCTTGAAAACAGGTGTACTATACATGTAAGTAAAAGGCTAGCTAATCAGAACTGGTTAAGAAAGCTGAAGCTCCCTTGCACACTGGCTCCTCACCACAGTGCCCTCCTAAGGCTGAGAACCCCAGCAAATGACCAGCTGCTCAAGTAGCCCCCTTCAGCCTGTAGCAGGAAGTAGTGTGTATTTAAGAATGCATTATACATGTTTCTTTGAACTTTTAAAACTGATCTTCTAGCATATCCCTGGAGGCTCCTCACTGCTCCTTTGCCAGGAATCTAGAGGCTTTTGACCTTTGATAGGGATGCATTCTAAGACCCTTGCAAATCCCCACATGTGAGAATGGCACTGCTACATAGAGCCTTTTCCGCTACTGCATCAGCAGGGGAGTATAGACTGAGCAGTGTTGATAGGAAGGACTGCGCTGCCCTCTCCCATGTTCACACTAGCTGTGCCATCAGCTTGGTCTCAGTTCACACTTCAGCAGAAGCACAGATTATTAAATGCATAGTGTTTAGGTCACAGGATTTAGTTGAAAATGAAAGTGTCAAATACAGGGACCTAAGGTTTCCTGGACTTGAAGAGTCTGGATCAAGAATCAGTGGCAGTCAAACCCTGTACTTTCTCTAGGATGCTTGGTCATCTGGAGGAAGGTCATCAGTGTGCCCTTGTGGGCATGTTATTAGTGCGTGCACATGTCACTGAAGGTTAGAGTATGTTTGTCACCAAGTGTCAGAGAATGTGTGTGTGCATGTGAGCAGGGGTCAGAATGGATGTGTGTGTCTATATAGATCTCATCACGGTCAGAGTGTGCACTATGCCAACTAAAGTCATTTCTTGTATAGTTTTTTGTATGTGGTCTTATTAGACCATTTAATTTAGTTTGACTTCTATTTTGAACAAAGATAAAACCTAGAGAAAAATCCTTTATCTAAGGAGCCAGATTTTTACCTAAAACAGTCTTTAAGTTTATTTAAATCAATATAATTGTCGAAGACTATGACTTAAATGTATTCTACAGAAAAAGTAAATTGAGTAGATTATGCATGAGATCAGGGATGCTGTGATTATGGTTGTTTGGAAAGTTTTATTATTTTGATATTGGCTTTTGAAGTCAAGTCATCTTTTGTCAGAAGTTACATTGTGTTTTCTTTTTTTTAGAAGCCTTCGTAAAACTCAGTGTTTTGAGGAATATATTATGTATTCCACAGTGGTATTATGGTAACCTACCAGCACTCATTGGTAATCTTAATGCGTTCCTTACCATAAATCAAGTGCAGGCTAGGGTTTTCTTTATTTCTTGAAACTATGTTGGAGCTGTTGTAAGGCCCTGTTCACTTGCCCTTTGTGCCCACAGCCATACCAGCTCTGCAGCCCATAGTGCATGACCTTTTCGTGTTAAGAGGGACAAATAAAGCTGATGCAGGGAAAGAGCTTGAAACCCAGAAGGAGGTGGTGGTGTCAATGTTGTTGAGACTCATCCAGTACCATCAGGTAAGAGGAAAAAGCATGACAAGCACGAGGACAGTCCCGGACACATCATTGGCTCTGTAGGAGATAGGGGGTCCTGAGTGTATTGCACAGTGGGCGTCACTTTGTACCAGCACTGGGCACTCTAGGGCCTGGGGAGAAGTAAAGATTGGAGATGTAGTAGAGTTGCTTCTTTTAAGCCAGCACTGCCCCAGGCGGCTGCCTGATGCCTGGATGACAGTTATGACATCATTCAAGACACTAAATGTAGCATAGGTCCTTTTTTCAAAACAAGGTCCAAGGGTAATTAATTGATGACATTGATCAAAATAGTAGAACTCTAAAAAATTATAGAAATCTCAAATCTGAAATGACTTAAAGTCTTTTTAAAATTTGCTCCTAACTTGACAGTGTCAGTATCTTTTTCTTTGAGGTCATTTCTGTTTTTTTGTTTTTTGTTTTTTTTCCTTCAAGGTGGAACCAGAATTCAAAAATACTTTGAGGCAAACCGAGTGCAGAAATAGCTCTCTTAATCTTTTTTTCCTGTTTTTTAACTTGTACTATTGCCTATCCCTTACTTCTTTTGTCAGTTCTTTTTCTCTGATATTCTTCAAATCGTTATAAAGATTTACAAAACTTTTCTCATTGAAACAGTACTCTCCTTATGTGTTCTTATTTCGATCAATCCTTGTAATATTAAATACCTAATGATTAAGCCCCATGATTACAATGAAAAGTACAAGTATGATAAAGTGGCGTGAGAGTAAGCAGCTGACTTGACAAGGACAGCAGAGGGCAGTGCCCTGGAGAAGAGTGTATCAACTATGCATGTCCAGCAAGGTCCCAGCCTCATGAACCTGGAAAACTCACGAGGTGAAGGGGTGGTGGCTACGCACATGCTGTACGTGGCCCTTGAACAGAGAAAGCAACTGTGGAATGTGGCAGTTGGGGTAGGCTTTAGAGTCTGTTCCTGAGTATGTGTCTTTTTATAGCAGCTACATTTTATTTTTATTTATTTATTTTTGGCAGTACTAGGGTTTGAACTCAGGCCTCATGCTTGCTAGGCAGGTGCTCTACCACTTTAGCCATTCCTCTAGCCCAAGCAGCTACACTTTAGAGACCAGGGATCAGAAAACCTTTTCTGCAAACCACCAGGTAATAAGCATGGGTAGCTTTGCAGGCCTTATGGTCTCAGTTGCAACAACTCATGTCTGCTGTTGTAGTACAAAAGCATATATGGTCATTATGAACACAGAGGCATTCCCATGTTTCAGTAAAAGTTTGCTTATAACCACAGACAGTTGGCTGGCCACCCTGTTAAAGACCTTTGCCAGGCTGTCAGTATCTCTGTTTAGAAATATAGTTAATAAGCTCATGCTCAGTCCTGCTTGATTCTTGGAAGTGGATTGTCTTCACACAGAGCACAGAAATTAATGTATAAGAGAGTAGTGAGGCATCCACAGGCTGGTGCAGTCAAGGCTATATTTGTGTTTTCCCAAAAGTTAACGTAAGTTTAGTTTTCATTTTGTGCCTTTTCTCTGATCATGAAATTTATAAATGCCATTGAAATAATACTGACTGGGAGTGGTCATAGTGCAGCTCACACGCCCCCTGCAGGAGCCTGCTGGGCCTTTCCCTGCTTTTCCTTCTGCTTTAGTGTGTCAGGGTGAGGACTTTGCAGGTTTCCTTGCTCCTCACTTTGGATCTCCTCTGATGAGGTCCCAGAGTTTTCCAGTTGAGCTGGACTTTAGGAATGGGGAAGCACCCGGGGCTGGAGGGCTTCCTGATTATATGCAAACACTTTTGCAGGTGCTGGAGATGTTCATCCTAGTCCTGCAGCAGTGCCACAAGGAGAATGAAGATAAGTGGAAACGCCTATCTCGGCAGGTCGCTGACATCATCCTGCCCATGTTAGCCAAGCAGCAGGTTTGTCAGCACAGCTCTGCTTTGCTGTCGTGTAGTAATTGTGACGTATTTTGAAGTATATTGGACTCCTTGGGAAAGGGGGCTGGAAAATGGAGTCATACTTTGATAAGTACTTCTTAGTGCTGATCATGGACAGGTAAATGTCTTTATTTCCACAGTAATCACCTCAGGTTGGGATTGTCTCCAAAGAAGTGAGGAAACTAAGGCCCAGAGAGGTTATCAAGGTTCTTCAGCATCACACAGCTCAAGAGTTTGACTCCAGAGCTTGGGTTCTTATCTGTTTTATTATACTGTCTCCTTCATTCTGGTCTGCCAGTATTTTTTTTTTATTCATATGTGCATACAATGCTTGGGTTATTTCTCCCCCCTGCCCCCACACCCTCCCTTACCACCCACTCCACTCCCTCCCCCTCCTCCCCACCCCCTCGATACCCGGCAGAAACTATTTTGCCCTTATCTCTAATTTTGTTGAAGAGAGAGTATACGCAATAATAGGAAGGAACAAGGGTTTTGCTGGTTGAGATAAGGATAGCTATACAGGGAGTTGACTCACATTAATTTCCTGTGCGTGTGTGTTACCTTCTAGGTTAATTCTTTTTTTTTTTTCTTTTATTATTCATATGTGCATACAAGGCTTGGGTCATTTCTCCCCTCTGCCCCCACCCCCTCCCTTACCACCCACTCCGCCCCCTCCCTTTCCTCCCCTACCCCCTCAATACCCAGCAGAAACTATTTTGCCCTTATTTCTAATTTTGTTGTAGAGAGAGTATAAGCAATAATAGGAAGGAACAAGGGTTTTTGCTGGTTGAGATAAGGATAGCTATACAGGGAGTTGACTCACATTAATTTCCTGTGCGTGTGTGTTACCTTCTAGGTTAATTCTTTTTGATCTAACCTTTTCTCTAGTTCCTGGTCCCCTTTTCCTATTGGCCTCAGTTGCTTTTAAGGTATCTGCTTTAGTTTCTCTGCGTTAAGGGCAACAAATGCTAGCTAATTTTTTAGGTGTCTTACCTATCCTCATCTCCCTTGTGTGCTCTCGCTTTTATCATGTGCTCAAAGTCCAATCCCTTGTTGTGTTTGCCCTTGATCTAATGTCCACATATGAGGGAGAACATACGATTTTTGGTCTTTTGGGCCAGGCTAACCTCACTCAGAATGATGTTCTCCAATTCCATCCATTTACCAGCGAATGATAACATTTCATTCTTCTTCATGGCTGCATAAAATTCCATTGTGTATAGATACCACATTTTCTTAATCCATTCGTCAGTGGGGGCATCTTGGCTGTTTCCATAACTTGGCTATTGTGAATAGTGCTGCAATAAACATGGGTGTGCAGGTGCCTCTGGAGTAACCTGTGTCACAGTCTTTTGGGTATATCCCCAAGAGTGGTATTGCTGGATCAAATGGTAGATCAATGTCTAGCTTTTTAAGTAGCCTCCAAATTTTTTTCCAGAGTGGTTGTACTAGTTTACATTCCCACCACAGTGTAAGAGGGTTCCTTTTTCCCCACATCCTCGCCAACACCTGTTGTTGTGGTGTTGCTAATGATGGCTATTCTAACAGGGGTGAGGTGGAATCTTAGTGTGGTTTTAATTTGCATTTCCTTTATTGCTAGAGATGGTGAGCATTTTTTCATGTGTTTTTTGGCCATTTGAATTTCTTCTTTTGAGAAAGTTCTGTTTAGTTCACTTGCCCATTTCTTTATTGGTTCATTAGTTTTGGGAGAATTTAGTTTTTTAAGTTCCCTATATATTCTGGTTATCAGTCCTTTGTCTGATGTGTAGCTGGCAAATATTTTCTCCCACTCTGTGGGTGTTCTCTTCAGTTTAGAGACCATTTCTTTTGATGAGCAGAAGCTTTTTAGTTTTATGAGTCCCATTTATCTATGCTATCTCTTAGTTGCTGTGCTGCTGGGGTTCATTGAGAAAGTTCTTACCTATACCTACTAACTCCAGAGTATTTCCTACTCTTTCCTGTATCAACTTTAGAGTTTGGGTCTGATATTAAGATCCTTGATCCATTTTGAGTTAATCTTGGTATAGGGTGATATACATGGATCTAGTTTCAGTTTTTTGCAGACTGCTAACCAGTTTTCCCAGCAGTTTTTGTTGAAGAGGCTGCTTTTCTCCATCATATATTTTTAGCTCCTTTGTCAAAGACAAGTTGGTTATAGTTGTGTGGCTTCATATCTGGGTCCTCTATTCTGTTCCACTGGTCTTCATGTCTGTTTTTGTGCCAGTACCATGCTGTTTTTATTGTTATTGCTTTGTAATATAGTTTGAAGTCAGGTATTGTGATACCTCCAGCATTGTTCTTTTGACTGAGTATTGCCTTGGCTATTCGTGGCCTCTTGTGTTTCCATATAAATTTACAGTAGATTTTTCAATCTCTTTAATGAATGTCATTGGAATTTTGATGGGAATTGCATTAAACATGTAGATTACTTTTGGGAGTATCGACATTTTTACTATGTTGATTCTACCAATCCATGAGCATGGGAGATCTCTCCACTTTCTATAGTCTTCCTCAATCTCTTTCTTCAGAAGTTATAGTTTTCCTTGTAGAGGTCTTTCACATCTTTTGTTAGGTTTACACCTAGGTATTTGATTTTTTTTGAGGCTATTGTAAATGGAATTGTTTTCATACATTCTTTTTCAGTTTGCTCATTGTTAGTGTATAGAAATGCTAATGATTTTTCTATGTTGATTTTATATCCTGCTACCTTGCTATAGCTATTGATGATGTCTAGAAGCTTCTGAGTAGAGTTTTTTGGGTCTTTAAGGTATAGGATCATGTCGTCTGCAAATAGGGATATTTTGACAGTTTCTTTACCTATTTGTATTCCTTTTATTCCTTCTTCTTGCCTAATTGCTCTGGCTAGGAATTCCAGTACTATGTTGAATAGGAGTGGAGATAGTGGGCATCCTTGTCTGGTTCCTGATTTTAGAGGGAATGGTTTCAGTTTTTCTCCATTAAGTATAATGCTGGCTGTAGGTTTGTCATATATAGCTTTTATAATGTTGAGGTACTTTCCTTCTATTCCTAGTTTTCTTAGAGCTTTTATCATGAAATGGTGTTGGATCTTATCAAAGGCTTTTTCTGCATCTATTGAGATGATCAAGTGGTTTTTGTCTTTGCTTCTGTTAATGTGGTTTATTACATTTATTGATTTTCATGTTGAACCACCTGCATCCTGGGATGAAGCCTACTTGGTCGTGGTGAATAATCTTTTTGATGTGTTGTTGAATTCGGTTTGCCATTATTTTGTTGAGGATTTTTGCATCAATGTTCATTAAGGAGATTGGCCTATAGTTCTCCTTTTTGGAGGTGTCTTTGCCTGGTTTTGGGATAAGTGTAATACTGGCTTCATAAAATGTGTTTGGCAGTTTTCCTTCCCTTTCTATTTCATGGAACAGTTTAAGGAGGGTTGGTATCAGTTCTTCTTTAAAGGTCTGATAGAATTCAGCAGAGAATCCATCAGGTCCTGGACTTTTTTTTTGGGGAGACTCTTGATTGCTGCTTCAATTTCATTTTGTGTTATAGTCTATTCAGGTGATTAATTTCCTCTTGGTTCAGTTTTGGATGATCATATGTATCTAGAAATCTGTCCATTTCTTTAAGATTTTCAAATTTATTTGAATATAGGTTCTCAAAGTAGTCTCTGATGATTTCCTGGACTTCCATGGTGTTTGTTGTTATCTCCCCTTTTGCATTCCTGATTCTACTAATTTGGGTTTTTTCTCCTCATTTTAGTCAGGTTTGCCAGGGGTCTGTCAATCTTGTTTATTTTTTCAAAGAACCAACTTTTTGTTTCATTAATTCTTTGTATGGTTTTTTTGGTTTCTATTTCATTGATTTCAGCTCTTATTTTTATTATTTCTCTCCTTCTATTTGTTTTGGGATTTGCTTGTTCTTATTTTTCTGAGTTTGAAATGTATCATTAGGTCATTGATTTGGGATCTTTCAGTCTTTTTAATATATGCACTCATGGCTATAAACTTTCCTCTCAGGACTGCCTTTGCTGTGTCCCATAGGTTCCGGTAGGTTGTGTTTTCATTTTCATTGACTTCCAGGAACTTTTTAATTTCCTCTTTTATTTCATCAATGACCCATTGTTCATTAAGTAATGAGTTACTCAGTTTCCAGCTGTTTGCATGTTTTTTGTCTTAACTTTTGTTGTTGAGTTCTAGTTTTATTGCATTGTGATCAGATAGTATGCATGGTATAATTTCTATTTTCTTATATTTGCTGAGGCTTGCTTTGTGCCCTAGGATATGATCTATTTTGGACACGGTTCCATGGGCTGCTGAGAAGAATGTATATTGTGTAGAAGTTGGATGAAATGTTCTGTAGACATCAAGTAGGTCCATTTGAACTATTATATATTTTAGATCTTGATTTTTTGTTTGGATGGCCTATCTATTGATGATAATGAGGTGTTAAAGTCTCCCACAACCACTGTGTTGGAGTTAATATATGCTTTTAGATTTTTCAGGGTATGTTTAATGAAATTGGGTGTGTTGACATGGGGTGCATATGGGTTGATAATTATTATTACCTTTTGGTCTATTTCCCCTTTTATTAGTATGGAATATCCTTTTTTATCTCGTTTGATCAATGTAGGTTTGAAGTCTACTTTATCAGAGATAAGTATTGCTACTCCTGCCTGTTTTCGGGGGGCCATTGGCTTGGTAAATCTTCTTCCAGCCTTTCATCCGAAGCCTGTGTTTATTTCTGTCGGTCAGATGGGTCTCCTGTAAGCAACAAATTGTTGGATCTTCCTTTTTAATCCATTTCATCAAATGGTGCCTTTTGATGGGTTAATTAACTCCGTTAACATTAAGTGTTAGTACTGATAGGTAAGTGGTGATTCCTGTCATTTAGTTGTCTTAGTTCTTTGAAGGTTTGATTGTGTGTACCTAAGTAGAGGTTACTGTCTACTTTCTTGCTTTTTCTTTACCTGTAGTTTGGTGCTGCCTGTCCTTTCATGGTTATGTTGGGTTTCACTTTCTGTGTGCAGAATCCTTTGAAGAATCTTTTGTAGTGGTGGCTTTGTGTTCATATATTGTTTCAGTTTCTGCTTATCCTGGAAGACTTTTATTGCTCCATCTATTTTGAATGATAGTTTTGCTGGGTAGAGTATCCTGGGGTTGAAGTTATTTTCATTCAGTGCCCGGAAGATCTCACCCCATGTTCTTCTTGCTGTTAATGTTTCTGTTGAGAAGTCTGCTGTGATTTTGATGGGTTTACCTTTGTATGTTATTTTTTTTTTTCTCTCTTACAGCCTTCAATATTCTTTCCCTAGTTTCTGAACTTGTTGTTTTAATGATAATATGTCGTGGGGTAGTTCTATTTTGATCTGATCTGTTTGGTGTTCTGGAGTCCTCTTGCATCTGTATGGGAACTATCTTTCTCTAGATTTGGGAAATTTTCTGTTATTATTTTGTTGAATATATTATGCATTCCTTTTGCTTGCACCTCTTCTCCTTCTTCGATGCCCATGATTCTCAAGTTTGGTCTTTTGATGGAGTCGGTGAGTTCTCACAGGTCTTGAGTTGTTTAATTAATAGTTCTTTGGTTTTTCCTTTAATTACCATTTCATCTTCGAGTTCTGAGATTCTGTCTTCTGTTTGTTCTATTCTGCTGGATTGACCTTCTGTTTTGTTTTCCAATTCTGTTTCATTCTTTTTTCTGAGGTTTTCCATATCCTGGGTCATTTCCTCTTTAATGTTGTCTATTTTTGTCCTGAGTTCATTTATCTCTTATTAATCGTGTTCTCTGTTTCACTTTGGTGTTTATACAGTGCTTCCATGGTTTCCTTTATTTCTCCTTTTGCTTTTCAGTATTTTTTTTTTAAATCTTTAGCTTTCTGGGGGTTTTCCTTATTTTTTAAAGTAGAGTTTGCTGGTAGTTGGTTGTGGGATATGAAGAAGAGGCATGAAGGGTGGCTTCAGAGTACTAACAGAGGTGTCGTGGGTGGGATGTGGAGATTGGGAACAGCAACCCCTGCAGAAGGTCAGAGCCTGGTCTGAGTGATGTGTTTAATGGAGTGAGTTTGGCATTTGGACGTGAGTCTGGAACTGTTGAGAGAGGGTTGGCAGGAGGTAGCAGCTCAGATTGGGTGAGATTGTGATGGACCCAAGGATGCTGAAGAGGGGAGGAGAAGCCCCAGCACCAAGCCCACTGAGTCCAGCTCACATCAGGGAGATACAGAGAAGCCCAAGATGGGTTGCGGGGCAGGGGCAGGCAGGTGTGAGGTTCCTAAAACCAAGTGTGAGAAAGTACTTTCTTGGGAGAGGGAGGGGGTCAACTGTGCACTGAGAATTTGGCTAGAATTGACAGCATCAGGACATTGGTATGTGATTTCAGAGGAGTAGACAGAGCCAGATTGCAACAGGAGTATGTTCTAAAATGCAGGAAGAGGGGAGTTGGAAAAAGATTTACAATTAGAGGGAACGGGGGAGGGAGGAGAGGAGAGTAGCATGTTATGTTGTACACATCTATGGAATTACAGTGAAATCCCTTATATTGTGTGCTGATTCAAAGATAAAATAAAACATTTTTTAAAGCAGCATTAGGTTTTGCAGCCAGTTGCCTTGGGAGATCTCCATTGTATTGTGAAGTGAGAAAATATATTTTTAAAATATTCATAATACAGTTATTTTTAAAACAAAGCGAAACCTTGTATGAAAGTGAGTGTATGGATCCAAGGATGTAGGGAGAAAGTTAAGATAGGGATGTAGACCATCTTGTTAATATGCATTACTGACTGGCAGGGTAGGGGTGGTGTCCAGGTAAAGCAAAAGAGAAAGAAGAAATCATGTGTATGATTGTCTACATGTGTGTGGGTTTGTATGTTCCCTCATGCATGTGGAGAGAGACGGGATCAGTGGATGGTTGCACCCTGATTGATGGTTAAGTCCAGGTGTGCTTTTCAGTCTTTTACAAAAGGTTTGTATTACTTATGTAATGAAAATCTAAGTGAAAAGATTTCTGTTAAAAAAAAATGCAGCTGGGACTAAGGGCATGGCTCATGTGGTAGAGAGCTTGTGAGTTCCATTCCCAGTACCACACAAAAAGAAGAAAACTGCAGCTGATACATTGTTGCCCAGAAAGCTTGCATGGTTTACTACTGAAAACCGCCTTTTAACTGAAGCGATGCTGATGGGGTGTCCTGGAGATATAGAACCTACTGTATGTGAAACTGGCATTATCAGCTTATGTGGCAGTGCTTGTGTTGCTTAACTCCACAGATGCATATTGACTCTCACGAAGCCCTTGGGGTGTTGAATACTCTGTTTGAGATTGTGGCCCCCTCCTCCCTCCGTCCCGTGGATATGCTGTTGAGGAGTATGTTTGTCACTCCAAGCACAATGGTGAGTCTCACCCGATGCACCCATCCCATCCACTCAGATCTGTCGGCCTTGGTCTGTGTGGTAGAGCTTAATAACTGCTTTTTCCACCCTCTCAGCTGATGCTGTGCTGCTTCCCTGGGACACACCTGGAGAAATGAAGTAGTGGTGAAATGAGGGTATTTTATTTCATGAACCTGGCAGCCGGCAAATTCTAATATCTTTTCTTTCTTTAGTTTTGTAAGTTGTATGTTTTCTTTCTTTTAGGCCTCTGTGAGCACTGTTCAGCTGTGGATATCTGGAATCCTCGCCATTCTGAGGGTTCTGATTTCCCAGTCAACCGAAGATATTGTTCTTTCCCGTATTCAGGAGCTCTCCTTCTCTCCATACTTAGTCTCCTGTCCAGTAATTAACAGGCTAAGAGATGGGGTCAGTGATCCAACACTGGGAGAACACAGTGAAGGAAAACAGATGAAGAGCTTGCCAGAAGAAACATTCTCAAGGTTTGCTTTGTGTCTGGACCTGTATGCGATCCATGTCTTTTAGGAAGCCATGTGGTATCTTAGGATCCATAAGTCTAGAACAGTTGCTAGTCTCACTCCAGCTCTGTGAGCTGTGTTGGTGTGTTTTTAGTCCAGTGTACCTTACCTTGTGACCCTTGCTTCATATCTCTGTCAAGGTCCTGTCACATTCTAGCTCTGTCCTTGTATAAGACTCAACAATAGTGGCTCCCCACAGGCAGGCAGGATTAGCTTGCCTGTATGCAGGCAGTAGGACAGCATTGCCAGTAGAGAAGTCTGAAACCTAGGAAAGCCCACTAAAAGTCAGCCTTCTGTTTATTCTCACCATGTGCTCCAGTTCTACACACCATCAGTAATACAGAACCTCTTTCTGCTATGGTGAATGGCACCCACTGTGTATCTGCAGTCAAATCATGTCTTCCCTCCTAGATCATTTGGAAGCTCTTTTAGGGCAGTGGTCACGATTCAGGCATTTAGCACTGCTGCATGGATGAGCAACTACCCGGTTTCAAAGTGTTCACTAAGTTAGCTGCTCAGAGAATTTGCTCCTCCTCACCTCGTGCCTTCAGCTAGCCATCCTCATGTGTTACCTGTCAGTGGAGCCTTATTTGTTTTTCAGATTCCACTGGCAGCCTATGGCTCTCCCTCTGTTAAGGTGAAGCAAGTGACTAAAACTGAAGCAAGTGCCACATTACATTCCTGTGGTGGATTATTAGCTTATATTTGTGTAATGCTTTATGGTTTGCAAAGCTTTAAAAGAATACCAGATGTCATTTTATGTTAAGAGCCCTTTGAGGGTGGTATAATTACTATTTTGTAAGGGAGGAAGGTGATGTACTGAGAGGGAGGTGCTGATAACGAAACATTCACCTCCACTTTTAGTGTACCTTGCCTGTTTTTTTACTCAACCCAGATTTACTTTGTTTGTTTCACATGTGTAGTTGGCATAAGGCCTCACCTAATTCACTCATCCTTTCCCTCCTTTGGAAGGTTTCTGTTACAACTGGTTGGTGTTCTCTTGGAGGACATCGTCACCAAGCGGCTGAAAGTGGAAGTGAGTGAGCAGCAGCTTACTTTCTACTGCCAGGAGCTAGGCACGCTGCTCATGTGTCTCATCCACATCTTTAAGTCTGGTAGGTGAATCCTGTAGTCCTTGTGGTGCCTCAGTGGCCCCTGCCCAGCACTGCACACTCTTTATGGCATAGGAAGCTCTGCCCTGCTCTGCCTGCTCATTGTGCTACTTGAAAATGTATGTTATGCTGGAGGCATGGCTCAAGTTGTAGAAATGTTTTGTTGATGATACGAGTAAATCTGATAGCATGTGGTCCTATAATTATACTCTCAGATAACCATCCAAAAGAAGGCACAGCAGAGTAATTGGAAGATATTTGCATTCCACTGATGTCAATTTCACCCCTGGAGGGGCTAGACCTGCCATTCTCTTCTCTGCCAACATGGTCCTGATCAGCCACAACTGGCCGGAGGTTGCTCCCACTGACAGCCTCTGCTATCATATGAGATGCTTTTTTACTCCACTGACACTTTTGCATGGTAGCTCTGGCTGCCAAGCTGCTGTTCTTACCTCCACTGCTAGATCTTCTCTTTTCTTCATGTTACCATCTCTGTCACTCTAGTAGATGAGACTCAAAGGTAGGTAAGGTAGACCACTTGAGAGAAATCTTTACGTGCTGCAGCACCAGAGACAGCACAGGATCATGTCTCCCAGCTGCTTACAAAGTCAGCCAAACAACCTGCGTATATAACCAGAGTAGGGCGTGGCAAGGGTGTCTGCACCCATCGTGACAATCCTTCATGCAAATGAAGGACTGTGTTGGCACCAGTCATAGGTCGTCTGCTGGGTGGAAATGACTGCAGGATCTTTTAGTGTTTACCAAGACTTGTAATAAAAGTCCAATGTAAGCTGCTTATTGGAGCAGTGCCTTCTGGAGCCAGAATTGTGCTTTGGGTTCAAAGTGACCAGTGCTGGCATGAGGGCAGTTTGGCTGCCTGGCTAGCATTCCCTCACTCAAGGAAGTGAAGGCCCTGGGGAAGCGTCTAACAGCTGTCACTTAGGGAGTCAAACCTCCCCAAACCCTAGCATCTCAGCACATTTAAAGGAAAAATCTTACAAGAGGCACTTACAATAAAGGGTTATCATTGAGATTTACAGTGCTTTAGCAGTATTTTACAGTTCTCTAGCAATGTTTAACTTCTGTCCCAGTGTCCCAGGGAGAGGTGGGTTTCTACAATCTTTTTCAATTTTATATGCATACCCTTAGAGTAAAAGGCAGTTCTTTTTTTTCATCCTTCATTCATACAACAAGATTTATAGTCAGACCTGCCACCATGCTGGGCTCTGGGTGTGCTGAGGTCAGAGAAAAACAAGTGTGATTCTTGACTTTGTGGAACTTTACAGTCAGTGGAGAGGGGACAGTACACAAGTACATAACTACAGGTCTTGGTCTTTCTGGAGAAAGTAGGAGCACTACAGTGATAGATAAAAACAGATGAGAATGCAGGGTCTCCTGAGGGGGCCTGTTGAGCTTTGCTGAGCGGGTGGCAGAGCCATCCTTTAGTGCATGCAGGGAGCATGGAGAAAGGACTGTGAAGAGCATGGGTTTAGGCAGAGGTTGGAGAGGTAGGCTGCCTCATGGAGCCATAGAGAAAAAGACATTGTCTGGGCTAGTTTGTTTAATTGCTGTCATCCTTGGCACAGTGACAAGTCAGTTTAATTTTGATAATGGATGGTAGTTTAACGCCATCTTATTAATACTGAATGAGTTTCCATTTTTCTTTTTAAAGCTCTTTTGATTTATGCTTAATTGACAATTGCAGTAAATTTAAAGTCAAGAAAATATTTCTTGTTTATGAATAACAGGTTGGTTTTAGTATGTTTGTTATCTTAATATTTTGTCGTCGATTGGTTTGTGTCCAATACTGATAGAGATGTTTCCTGCTTCCTTTGGACGAGAGCTGGGTATGCTGTGTCCTTCTGTTTATCTAGATGAACTTCTTTGTGGTGCGAGGGCTTGCCCTCCCACTGCTCTAACTTCCTCTACTTTGTTTCCTCAAACATCAGGGGAATATTTTTACTATGCATTGTGGTATTGTCCAGCAGAACTTCCAGCAAACATGAGATGTCTCATGTCTACACTCCTTTAGTTGCCTCTGGCTACATGTGTGACTGGGTATCTAAAATGCAGCTAGTTTGCCTGAGGCACTTTTTAATTTTGTTTAATTTTAATTACCTTAAATAGCTCCACATGGTCAGTGACTCCTCTTCAGATTGAACAGGTACACTGAGAGCAGCACACTCTACTGGAAAAGCCTGGCTTTGTTAGACACACGGGCTTTGTTCCAGTTTCCTTGGATAGTGTTTAGTTGGTGCAGCATTTGTAGATAGGTTGTATGTGTATGTATATAAGTTTTTCTGTTTCTCTCTCCTGTACAGTATGACTCTATTTCTTAAAAAGGTATTAGGTAACAGAATTACTGTATTTGATTGGTCTCAAGATAGGGTTGAAATAAGTCATTTGTATTTTCATAAAAATAAGGTACAGTTAGCATTTAAGATTGGCGGTTTTTATGTATGCATTGCTCAAAGACTGCATTCCACTTGTCCACTGAAAACTGAGACCTTTACATTTTTCCATTTCAGGTGTTACTGTTTAAAAGAGGGATTAGCCTGAAAGTAACTTTGGCCTCTTGTTTTCTGCTACCCCTCTCATTGGGAGAAGGGAAAATTTATCCCAAAATTGTTTGCCTATTTCAGATTCAATCCAGCATCAACAGAGCAGCCAATAAAGATGCTTGTCCTCCAGTTTACAAAACTGAGGGTAACCAATATCTTTTTTTTTTTTGTCAGATGTGTCAGCTTACAAACAGAAACAGGTGGTGGAGCCAGAAGCGTGAGGGTGAAGTTTAGCTGGTTTTAGACCCACAGTTCTGTATTTCCAGGTTCAATCAACTGCCATTGAAAACACTTGGGGGAAAAATTTGTCTATACTGATCATGTACCAGACTTTTTTCTGGTTACTATTCTCTAAATAATACCTCTTTACATAGCCTTTACGTTGTATTAACAATTTTGTAAGTAACATAGAGATGATTTAACATATACAGGAGTATGTTACCATGTTCTGTGAGGGATGTGAGTGTCTGCAGGTTTTGATATTCATGGTGGTTGTGGAGGAGTGTTCCTGGAACCAAACTCCTGGAGACACCGATGGGTGGCTGATTTAGTTTTGTCCATTGTTGGTATGGCCAGATTAAAGCTCTGGCCTGTGGCCCCAAAAAGGTTATCTAACTTTTCCATTTGTGCTTTCCAAACCCATACCCTGTGCCTCCTTCCCACCTGCCATCCAGATGTGCGCCCAGTCATGGGTAACAGGAATTGCTGTGTCTTCCTCTTTGAGTCCCCATAGTGGACCATGGGGATGTGCCATCACCCTTATAGAAGCAGGAGGGGGCAGGATGTGGGTACTGTGTGCTCACCCCTTTCTTTCTAGGCAGAGTTTAAAAGGACCCATGTTTCTACTGTATCCTCCATGTTCAAATACTGGAAGAAAGAAATAGTTCTTTCTACAGCAGTAAAATTGACACTGATTCAGTTTTGTACTTGGGCAAGGATAAGGGCTGCCAGTAACGAGGGTGTCAGGAGCTATGGTATTCTCTCACGAGTATGTGGTATGTGTTACTCATATCATCCTAGTGAATCCTTAGACCATTTCCCCCTTTCTACCAATGAGGGAACTTAGATTCTTCAAGGTAATGTGGTAAAGCCAGGAATGCAAATCCAAGAATCTTTCTTAACCTTGTCCCTTCTGTTACATATCTACTGCTTGGTTGATGATTGTCAGTGTAGTAGCTCACATTTGCAGGGCACTATGTGACAGGTGAGTAGAAACAACCTCAGAGAGACCAGCACGTATGAGCTCCTAAGTGGTGGAGCTCCTGTCTGCTTTGAAGAGGGCATCTTTTACTGCCAGGTGCTACCTCCATCTTCCCTTTCAGTGTTCTGTTAGCTCCCGAAGCACAGGGCTAGAGGGCTGCACACCGCACTCTCCGCTGCTTCTCTTCACTGTTGTTGCCTGCCTCTGGGCCCTTGGCCTCTTTTTTTTTCTCCAGGGCCTCCCTCATCCGCACTGGGCTAACTTCACAATCTTCAAGCCCTGTGTCTTCTTTTGTCTCAGACAGCTGGTCACCTATTCAACACCAGGAACGGAGGCTCCACTGAAAAGCATCTTCTACCCCTTGCCAAGTCCTCAGCATTGTCATGTAGCTGCTGTAAGGAGTGAACATCATCATTTAGTGGCTTCATACAATAGGAAACTGTTGCTTTTCCTTGTAACAGTTCCCCCTCCCAGCCCCCAGCTCACCCGTTCTTTCCTCCGTGTGGGGATTCAGGGACTCAAGCTCCTTTCTGTCCTATAGTTTTGCAGGTCCTAGGCTGCAGCATTTTTTGTGTCTAGTGGGGAAGAGGAGAGGAAGGGAGAGTAGAGATGGCCTCATTGTCTTGGACTGAAAATGACAGATACACCTTTCTCTTTTTAGTCTGGTAGTGGCTGGTCACAGCCCCCATGCCTTACAAGTGGAACTGGGAAATGTCCTCCTGGCTTTGCAACTGTGTCCCATTGTGGGGAGCAGTTTGCCAGAGGATGGAAGTAGGTGATCGCATGGTGACGAAATTCAGGGAAGCCCTTGGAAGGACAGGACGAGGCAGGTATCATATGGGGTAGTGGTTGCTTCAGGAGCCAGTTGGAGTTGGGAGCTTTACAGAACCTGTCCCAGCCCTCCTAACATGTCTCACAATGGGTTCAGACTTCACCTCCCCAATAGAAGTTTCCTCACCCACCTTCTGGAGAGAAAAGACTGATCCTTCCTGTGTTTGTTCTATTCCCCTCTTCATCTTAGAACTGACATCCTTTGAACAATCTCCTGCAATGAAGGGAAACTATTTGATCCTTTCCCCAAAGCCAGTCATCATCCTTTTGCCTTCTTCTTCACCATCCCCTGTCTTTTGTTTTGTTTTGTTTTTGTTTTTTGGCTGTATTGGGATTTTAACTCAGGGCTTCATATTTGCTAGGCAGGTGCTCTACTGCTTAAGTCATGTCTCCAACTCTTTTTGCTCTGGTTATTTTGGAGATAGGATCTCACTTTTTGCCCAAGCTGGCCTCAAATCTTGCTGCTTCTGATGGTCCATTTTCTCTGTTCTCATCTATAGCTGTGTGTGTCCTGCCCTCCTTAGTGGAAAGGTCAGCTGTGTCCTTTCTCAGTTGTCATCGACTCTGGACCCACCTCTTTCTTCTGAAGCCTTTTGTCACATGATGTCTTCCATAATCTCCCTGAATTTGTTTTTGCACTGTTTTATGCTCCCCAACCCTTGTATCTCTATTTCCTTCCTCTTGTTCCTGTTTCTTGGTAGATTTCTGTCCCCTGTGAGTCTGGTTATTGCCTTTGGGAATGATTCTTGTAGTTATCCATATAGTTCTGATCACTGTCCTATCCTAGTCTTTCATTTCTGTCCCACTTCTAGATGAGGCACAGGCTGGCCAATATCTCAGACTTTGCTTAATATTGAACTTGTTGCTAGCATAGCTAGCTTCCTCCAGGCCAGTGAGCCAGCCTGACTTACTCCTCTATGCTATTTCATCTCCATCTTGGCTCTTCCTGATAGTGCCCAGTAGCAGTGAGGGCAGCAGTAGTCCAGGTGGGGATTGTTTTCTTGGTTGCAGGCTTTGTGTGAGCCCTATGCTCAGGTTTGCTGTGATCTGTGAGCAGGTGTTATTCTTCATTCCATCTCAGATGAAGAAGCCAAGTAACAGACAGGTGACAGGCACTATGGCGGCAGGCAGTCTGATTGGAGCCTGAATTAGCTCAGTCACCTGGACTGCATCTCTGATCACAGTGTACTGTGACATGCCCAACAAATCTGCACCCATGGCTTGGCCCCAGTGCTCCTTCCATGTAGCAGATACCTCTTCACTGTGTCTGCTGACCCATGAATAGCCCACACATTGATGGAGAGCCACAGAGAAGGGCAGTGCTGGAGTACTGACTGCAAACCAACGTACAGAAACTCCAGGAATCCATGGACAGGCCGAGAGGGACCAGAATCAGCACTGGGACCTCTGAATATCAAGCTTTTTGTTGGTCTTTTTCTCTGTCTCAGGTTGTAGGTTTAATGGATCATGGTATCGTAAGAAGTGTGCAGTCGGCTTTTGGCTTTCACATTTGGGATGTGTTGAAATTTAAATCAGAAATAAGATTTTTGACTCCAACAGTGATGCCAGGAGACGCAGCTATGGAGAAGATTGAGGCCTTGGCTGGACAGTCTCCGTTTCCCTCTGTGTCCCTGCTGTGCTTTGTAAGAATGTCCACGTCTCTGTCTTTGTGAAGCCATGTAGGAAGAAGAGAACAGCACAGCAAGCTGACTCTGTGTTTATCCAAAGAAAGGAACAGTGTGAAATCAAAATTGCTGGAGGGATTGATTCCAGGCCCTGTGAAGGGTGACATGGATAGACTTGGCAGTTTAACTGGGTCGGTCATTAATGAGTGGTGTAGTATGGCCTGCCCAGTCTCTGGATGGTCTGTGGTCAGGAGTGGAGGCCACTGCTGGTTCGTGGTCATCTATGGTCTTCAGGGAGAATGCAGTAGCCCAGCATGATCTGTGCCTTGTCTTCCCCCTCCCTCCCCTCTCTTTCTCCCTCCCTTCCTGGATTCTTACCATGTTTTCCCTTATGCCTCTTGTGGTATTTCTGTCACTCAGTTCTCAGCAAGCCAAGGAGAGGAGCATGATGTAAGCGCTGTCCTGCACTGATTATGACTTGGTTCATGGAGGACCAACTGTGGCCTGCATTGAGTGAACTGCAGCCACCTCCCCTGACAGCTATATTCAGGCTTCAACAGCACATGGCTTGGAGCTCCTGGAGAATGTGGTAGTGCCAGCCAACAGAGGGGGGAAATCAGTGGGGGAGTACAGACATCACTTTCTAGGCTGACCAGAAAAATGAGTACAAGGTCTGTTTCTGCTTAGAAAAGTCAGAGTTTTCTATGTGCAATTACTTTGAACATTAATGGCAGGAAGAATGTTTATCTTTTTTATGTAAAGTCTTTATGTAGCTACCTAGTGTTGAACTGAGACAAGAAGTAAAAACATTTCCCCATAATCGGTTTTACTTTGTTTGGTTCTAGGAATGTTCCGGAGAATCACAGCAGCTGCCAGTAGACTCTTCACCAGCGATGGCTGTGAGGGCAGCTTCTATACCCTGGAGAGCCTGAATGTGCGGGTGCGCTCCATGGTGCCCACACACCCAGCCCTTGTGCTGCTCTGGTGTCAGATCCTGCTGCTTGTCAACCACACCGACCACCGCTGGTGGGCAGAGGTGCAGCAGACGCCCAAGTAGGTGCATGGCTTCCCAAGCCCAGAGCACCCACCCAAGTGCTTGGCCTGAGACGCCCAGTAACTTGAGGTTTGGCTGCTATGAAGTCATTTTCATTTTCCCATTCTTCATGAGGCTTTATAAAACTCTGTCTGCATATTAATCTTTCTTTTATGGGCACTCATTGTAGGAGAAAATGTGGTCTGACTACAGGCATTCAAAGTAAGCAGCTGCTTTTTCAGTATGATTTTCTTTGACAAGTTTTTTGACACTGTTCCATCTTGCCTTTTGCTCTTGTCAAGCTGTCTCTCTCCTGCTAGGTTCTAGGGTTTAAATTGGTTCCACAGCTAGACATGTTGCAATAACTTAATTTCATTACATGTTAAATGTGTTTCTGGTTATTCTTAGATAATGAAGTAATTATTTAGCAATTTTCAAAACTGTTTGGAACTACAAAATTTTTTTATCATTCAGAAAGACTTAAGTTTCTGGTTATGGGTGGCCCCTTTTGCAAAGACTTTAGGTTTAAGCCTCCGTGTGACCAGGTGCTCACTCACTCTGACATCGGAGCATGTTTGGAAGTAAAGCTGTGAGCTATGTCAAGTCCTTGGTGCAGTTTCTGGACAGGTTGAGAGTCATGGCGGGGAGAAGTTCTGGAAGGAATTGAGAACAAATAAGATCAGCTCTTCTGCTTGGTGCAGGGAGGCTGGGGCTCCTGTCAGGCTCTCCAGCTAGACACCCCTGTTGGGGATGTGATTGCCCGTCCACTCTGTGCTTTGTGTAGTAAGATCTGCAAAGAAAAAAATAGATGCTGCTTCCTGCCCTCGTGTAGATCACTCAGCTGAGGGAGACAGACCCGTGACAGCACTTAAATGCTTAGAGGATATCTAGGCTTGTCATAGTAACTGAGTGCTGGAAGAACTGAGACAAGCAGTCAGTGTCCCCAGGCTCTGTGCTTCTTATATGTGTATGTAAACCAGCAGCAACAGCTCATTATGGTAAGACTGGAAGCCACCAGCTCCCCGGGTCCTAGGAGATTGCATTTCATCCGAACCCCTGGTGCTTCTGATGCTGCGGTCTACAGACTGCGCTCTGAGTGGCAGGGGTGCCTCAGCTCCACACACAAACTTCCTTCATACTAGTTCTGTCCTCAAGCCCCACCCCTAGGCCAGCTGACTAGGGAATTTAGGATTTGTGGCCCCAAGAACTTGTGTTTAAATCAGGCTCTTAGGTGAGTCAGTGGATACCAAGATTGAGTCATACTGGGCAAGACTCAGGGAGCAGAGCCTGAGTTAGCTGTAGATGAGGCAAGTCTGGGGGAGACAGGAGAACAGTGAAGGTGAGAAGGCCCCCACAGCTCAACCAGCCCTTGAGCCTTGATTCTCAGCAGTGTTTACACTTTCCCTGTTGGTAGATGGTGGTGAGGGCAAAAGCCATGCTGCAGTTTGTTCAAGAGGGAATGGGGAGATTCAATATGATTTCACCAGACTTTCCTTTTTCCTTCACTGGACAATTAAGCTATTTCTAATTTTCAGGCAGGTCAGCTCCCAAATGAGCACCAGTTTTTAAGCCACACTTGGGAGGTATGGCTTAAGCAGTTGAGCACCTACTTTGCAAATGTGAAGTCCTGAGTTCAAACCCCAGTCCCACAGAAAAAATAAAAGAAAAAAAAAAAAAGCTGTTTCTTAAGCCACACTTGGGTAGCAGGGCTCCAGGAAATCCCCATATGGATTCTACTTCCTCCTCCTTCTTTTCTGGACTCTTGTCACCGTGGATTTACTATTTGCTTTTGATCTGTCTCACCTTGGGTGGACTGTGACTGTCCTACCCCCCCACCACATGTAGATTAGTGTGGCTGTGTCACATATTGGTTGTTTACCATGATTTCATCCTGAGCGCCACAGGTGTAGTTATCCTGGATTTGGAGTGCTCATTTGCCAGCAGCATCTGGCCAAGATTTGTAGGGTGGGGGTGGGCGCTGCACTGCTACAAATTGGAGCTAAATTTGGTTGATCCTCTTAGTGTCTGCTACTGGCATTTGAATTGTAAGTAGAGACTCTACTCTGTCTGTGAGTGGAAGTAACATGGGGTCACCTGAGAAAGTGCTGGACTTCTGTTTGACAGCTTCTTAACTGACTAATGATATACAGTAAAACTCATTTGTGTACCACCCATAGTCAGGTAGCGGACAGTGCCATCATTTCAAGCTTTGTTGCCTTGTGGCCACCCCATGGTAATCACTGGCAAGCCCTGTTCCCCTAGTCCATTTCATAGAAATGGGCTAGAGCTGGACTGTTAAGAGTTTAGCTTTTTGAGTCCAGCTTCCCCTGGAGCACTGGGCTTTAATGTTCAAGTGTGTTGCAGGTACTAGTGGTCTGCCCTTTGGCTTGTTGAACAGGACTTAAGCGTGTGGTTGTCCTGCAGCTTGTTACCTGGTCATGAGTTGAGAAACACAAAATGGCAGTTTAAGAAGTTTTTAAACCATAGAGTGTTTTGTAATAGTCATTTTCTAGATCCTTAGGGGCTGCAGGATTGGCTGATACTTTTCAGAATGTGACCTCTGTTTTCTGTGGGCCTCAGCAGAAGGTTCTGCAGGTTTTTTTCCTGCCCTGGGAAGGACACAGACTCCTGTCAGACCTGAAGCCAGAGGAGCAGTCATTATGTTTTAAGTGTTTGGGCTAGAATTGAGAATCTAAATGTTTATAATCCCCACTATTTAGAAAGAAGAACAGTGAGTGAAAGAACCTCCTTGGTGGGGAAGAAACACTTTTAGACCGTGACCGCACAATAACGTATGTGCTGGGGACATGTTTTGTTAGAAAATGATAGCAAAGTATAAAAGCGAGAAGGTTCCTTTCTACAGTTGTCAGTGTGTGAGGCAGATGGGAATTTCAAAAGGAACTTCTACCTCATCAGACATGGCCATTGTGAGTTCTGAAACAGAAGTGCTGATTGGGTATGCAGCTTTGCCCTTTAACCCATGTTCCTTATCATAGCCCAGAAACAGATGACTGAGAGTATGTATTATGTGCACAGCATTCTGATGTAGTAGGTTGAGAATAACTTGTCTGTTTGAGAGCAAGAACCAAGTATCACCATGCTCAGTATTTTGTGCATATGCCCACTGCCATCCCAGACACACCGCTGGTGCATCTCTCTCTCCATAGGAGACACAGTCTCTCCTGCACGAAGTCGCTTAGCCCCCAGAAGACTGGTGAGGACGAGGATTCTGACTCAGCTGCCCAACTTGGAATGTGCAATAGAGAGATAGTGCGAAGAGGGGCCCTCATTCTCTTCTGTGATTATGTTGTAAGTTTGAAAATGCCTATGAGGAGTCAAGGAGGGGGAGGCAAAGGACTGCGTGGATGATGTTTGTGTTTGTGTGAATCCTCTGACAGTGAGGCCACTTGTCATCCACAGGTCCAACAGAGCTAAAAAATAGTGGCATGTTTAATGCCCTCTGATGTATGATTAGACCATACTTGGCACCCCTTCTGCTAAATCCCTAGGTTGGTCTTCAGATCATTTAGTAACTCGTTCAGGAACTGCACCGTGCCAGAGGTGATGCTTGGCTGTTTTGTTAATGTGATTTCAACAACAAGATAAGTGCATTGACTGTAGGTTCTGACTAAATTTTTTCCAGTTAGTGTGTATGGAAGGTGTTAAATGTTGGCTGTTAGATTTTAAAATAGATCTCTATTTGAATGTCTTTTTAAAAATCACTTTTATGGAGTTTTTAACTGTGAAACTAGTATCACCATGTGATTTTTGGTAAACAGGACAAGTAGAGGAAAGCAGAGTCTGTGATTGCACTGATTTAAGGTAACTTGGTGTTAAATTTTGCTTTTTCCCCACCTGTATGAAAGCAGTTTAGACAGTTAAATGGTCTGAATCAGAGAAGGAATCATGCTGGTGGTAGAGTTGCTTAAGTGGTAGTGTGCCTGCCTAACAGGTACCAGGCCCCAAGTTGAAACCCCAATACTGCCGAAAAAAAAGAAAGAAAGAAATTCAAGAATCGGAAACAGACTTCACGTAGTTGGGATAAGGGAATTTTTTACATGGTGATGGCAATCTGCTAATATTGACATTCTCAATGTTAAAATAGTCCTTCCATCTTGTTCTACTTTTGAGAAATAATATATTACATTGCTTTTTTCACAGACATGTAGGAAGAAATAATTTTATGAATTAATACTGCCAAATGATCCCAAACAAAAGATATTAATCATTAACCAGATGCCAAGGAATTAATCAGGTTTTGTTTTCTGCCTAAAAATGTTACGCATTAAGATGAAAAGGCTACAGGCATTTAAAAGTTGTCATTTCTTGTTTCCTTCTAAACCTTAAGTGAAATTTCTTCCATATAATAGAGAGATCAATCTTTTGGATTCAGGAAGTCTATCAAAACTGTGGCAGTGTGGATTTTTTCCCTACTGACCTGTTAGAATGTTGATGAGCACCCTCAGGAGCCAGGCCTGGAGCCTGGGAGGAGGCAGCAGGAGGTGCCGTGATGGGGACCGTTCTTGCTCCCATGCACATGCACTCTGGCCCAGTGACTCTTGAGGGCCATGCTGGGCTGTTCATGCTGCTGCTGCTACCAGGGTCACACCTGGCCTGTGGGCAGGCCATGGATTGACATCTCCATAGGAAGGAGTCTGTGTTCTTTTTGTCCTTCCCCTGATCTTGGACCATTTGCTAGTGTCTCTGGGAGCTGGACATCCTCAGTAGGGCCTTACTTCCCATGGCCTCTTAGCACGCGCATTCAGAGGTAGTGGACTCTAGCTGAACTTCAGACTTCTTGCTTCCTCAGTTATTTGTGTTCAAACAAACACTGTTTTCAATGAGGCAAAGTTTATATTTGGAATTTATCTTCTCCTTCTTACCCTTTCTGGCCTTTCCTCTGGAATTACTATCTGCCTTCTTGCCTTCTTGAAAATGGATCTTTCATTGTATCTTTCCTAGTGTCAGAACCTCCACGACTCGGAGCACTTAACATGGCTCATCGTGAATCACATTCAAGATCTGATCAGCCTTTCCCATGAGCCTCCGGTGCAGGACTTTATTAGTGCCGTTCATCGAAATTCTGCTGCGAGTGGCCTTTTCATCCAGGCAATTCAGTCTCGTTGTGAAAATCTGTCAACTGTAAGTCTTCTCTCTGCCTACTATTGCCAGTTTACTTTCTGTCTTAAAAATTGAGTAGTGGAATGTCTTAAGTGTTGGTTTCCATTTGGCAAAATAATCAGCTCCTATTCTTTTCTTGTCTTGAATATTAGCCAACCACCCTGAAGAAAACACTTCAGTGCTTGGAAGGCATTCATCTCAGCCAGTCAGGTGCCGTGCTCACGCTGTATGTGGACAGGCTCCTGGGCACCCCCTTCCGTGCGCTGGCTCGCATGGTTGATACCCTGGCCTGTCGCCGGGTGGAAATGCTTTTGGCTGCAAATTTACAGGTACTAAAAAGAACACCAATCGTAATTTATATCAAAACTTAGCAGGGTGAGTCAAATGTTTTATTTTTCTTGATACAACCACTGATAGGATCACGTATGCCTTAGACAGACTTGTCATTCTGTGTGTATCTGACCAGCTGCTTCTAGTGTGCCCTTGCTATTAGAAACTACACACCAGTTTATCCTTTATAAGTGAGTTTAGGGTTATTGTGACTCCTTACATGTCACAAAATCACTGATGTCTTCTTGTATGTGTAGAGCAGCATGGCCCAGTTGCCAGTGGAAGAACTGAACAGAATCCAGGAGCACCTCCAGAGCAGCGGGCTTGCACAGAGGTGAGACTATAACATTGGAGCACTTGCATTCAGATAACCCAAGACAGAAAGACTTGTGCAGGCCAAGAAACTAACATGCTGTGTAGATGGGCTACCATGGTAGAAAGACTCCCTGAATCTCAAACAGTGGAATCTCACCTTATTAGACATGAAGAACAATGGCCTCACACTTTGCCGCTTATGTAGAGGACACCTGGAGCCTGTTGGCTGTTCGAGGGATAGTAGATATTTCTGTTGCCTCTATTCACTGCCCTGCGATGAGTGGGAATATGAATTATCAGCTTTATTCTAGGAAAGTCAAAACATAATAAAATCAATAGGTAAGAGAGTGAATCTGAGAGCATTCCCTGGCTCTTGATTACATCTGTATCTTGTTAAATTCTGTCTTTTCATAGCTGTTCAATCACCTGATTGAAAGTCTCTTAGAAGCCTCTGTTACTCTCATGATGAACCCATGTGCCTCTGAGCTGCCATGATTCTGGCTTCAAAGTAAACCCTCTGAAGAGATGGGAAAAAGAAAAAATAAAAATAGATAAGAAGAAGCCTTTATCAGAAGCACTTGCATCTGTAATGAGAGCATAGTTCCATGGCTACAAATGAAAGAGCAGCTTTTTCCTTCTTTCCTCTGCCACATTTTGGGGGAGAGCCTGCATATGTGTAGGAGAGAAATTCTGTGGGATTTCAGTCTTAAGAGGTCTTTCTTGTAGTGTCTCTTGTCTGATGAATTTTCAGTTTATAGGACCAACTGATGGCATAACTTGCGTTACAAAGTTTCCACTCAGGTGGAAGATGGTAGAAGAGCAAACTGTTACTATGTGTTGGTTTTTGGGTTTTCGTGGGACTGGGGTTTGAATTCAGGGCTTTGTGCTTGCAGAGCAGGCACTACCGCTTGAGCCACACCTCTAAACTATTTTGCTGTTCTTATTTTGGAGATGGGGGTTTCTCGAACCATTTGCCTGGGCTGGCCTCAAAACTGTGATCTCCTGATCTTGGCCTCCCAAGTAGCTAGGATTACAGGTGTGAGGCACCAGCACCCAGCTTGTTATTATGTTTGATCCTAGAATTGGTCATTGGGCCAGATGAAATGATTCTTCTATGAGATGATTGTTGCTAATGGCATACAGTTCCTCTTACTTGTTTACGGGAGGTTAAATAGCAGAGTTTGTGCACTTTGATCTTAGCAGAGATTGTTTTGCATACATTGAGACTGCCTTTATTAGCTGTTATGCCATGGATTGCCTATTGGAATGATTATAAATGAGATTTTTGGAAAAAATTAATGAGTTGTCAGTTGTGGTAGTTAAAAACAGCTGGGGTCTGACTTTGCACTATCACCTGCTGGAGTGTCTAAGGGAAATTTTAAACAAATGGCGTCCTCCTTTAAGAACCACTTGTTTTCCTTATGTTGTGTGTTTCTAGAACCCTAATTTGCAGACTTGAGACTAAAAGATAAACTATACTGCAGTTTCATTTGTGTTTGTGTTTCAGACACCAAAGGCTCTATTCCCTGCTGGACAGGTTTCGACTTTCCACAGTGCAAGACTCCCTCAGCCCCTTGCCCCCGGTTACTTCCCACCCGCTGGACGGGGATGGGTGCATGTCATTGGAATCAGTGAATCCAGACAAAGTAAGTGTCCAGTATGTCTGTGTATGATGCCCAGGGCACACGTGGAGACACTGACACCTCTGTCCAGAATATGGGGGAGGGTGGGGAGAGGGAAAGTCAGTGCACACAGAACCTTCTGACATCCAGCTCAAGTCATTAGGGGTTGGGGCTTGAGACATGGGGGCTGGATGTCCTAGTGAGAAAGTCAGTGCTGATAAGGGACTCTTGTGGCAGGTGTGTGGAGTCAGGGTGGTTTGTGGGAAGGTCAAGAGAAGTTTCCAGCCCAGGGCCAATGGCTGATAGGTGTTCCAGCACATGCTGACAGACAGCCTGCCTCCCTCTCCTTGTGAATTGATGCCATCTCTGCCACCAGCCCTGATGTGTTGTCATTACCCTCACTACTCACACCTCAGAGTTAGGGACCACTTCGGACCTCAGGAGAGATAAGCTGAGATTTCAAAAAACAGCATCACAGGTAGAGGAAAGCACAGGTCTGTCCTGTGCACCTCAGTTAGGCCTCCTCAGCCCTGACTGCTGGGGGGAAATAAATGGGGTAGACACCCCAATGGAGGATGGTTGGGATACTGTCCAGTGAGGGGAGAAGTTCTCCAGGTGGAGGAGAAAAGGAGTGGGCGACTGGGTAGGGAACAGCAAGTGCAGAGGAAATATTTGTGGACTGGTGAACTACAAGCCCAAGGTGTGCCCACTGCCTGCATGGCCAGCCAGGGGCCCAGCGTTACCATGCTGCTGTCATGCCAGCACAGGGAGGCCCTTAGGTGCCTGCCTGATCACACACCCTTTCCCTTTTGTTCTTTCCAGGATTGGTACCTCCGCCTCGTGAGAGCCCATTGTTGGACCAGGTCAGATTCTGCACTGCTGGAAGGTGCAGAGCTGGTGAATCGCATCCCTGCCGAAGACATGAGTGTCTTCATGATGAACTCGGTATTAGTGCATTTGTCTCATCAGCAGCACGTGGAGGATTTTAGTCTAGCCAGGGAAAGCATGTGGGGGCTCTAATCCAGAATGGGATAGCACATGGGATAGGGCGCTACTCCAGATGGGAACAGGATGCTATTTCAACCACATTAGAATCCCAAAAGAGGCAAATCATCTTAAATCAGCCTTGCATACATTTAAAGAAAATGTGGGTGTTCACAGACTGTTGTCAGCTCTTCATGTGTTTCATGGTAGTGAGGCATTGATGTCTTAATGCATTACTTAAATAATTTGTTTATGCTGTTCTAGAAATTGATCTTTAGCAGACTCCCCATGTAGTGCAGGGGCTTTCTTGTCCTCTAGATGTAATAAGGTTCCCCCTCACCCACCTCAGATTCAGAGAGTACACTGCAGAGCTGACTTAGCAGGGCTCAGGTTCCCTGTACTCAGCTCTGTGGGCAGGTCCTATGAGGAGTGGGCCCCAACAGTCATCTTTTAGCCATCTTTTAGCAGGGCTCCTTCTCTGACTGACGAGGACAAGCAGCTGACTACCCTTGTAGGTCACAGCCTGCCTTGACAGGCACTAAAGAAAATGGAGAAGCAGAAACTAGGATTAATGCAAGGGAAGGAGGCCACAAAGCCAGAGATCAGGAGGACAAGGCCAGGTGTGGGTGAAGAGGGACTCCAGGTGGAGGCAGCATCAGAGCAAGGTCTAAAGTACTGGCTTGGTAGTTTGGAAGTAAGTACTGCGCTGAAAAAGAAACAGGGAATTTGGCCCAAAATCAATTTGCCAAAGTTAGTATATCTTAATAACCCATGCAGTGGAATTTGGATTTTCCAAATTTACTAAATGGGCTTTTAATTGGCTTTAAAGGTTCCAGCTGTAACCCCTGGAACATTCAGTTTGAACACTAATGATGAAATAGATTTTCCTGACTATTAAATAAGAAATGATGTTCTACCTGGAAAAATTGGCCCCCAGATCCTTAAGTGGCTAAAGTCAAGTTGACAAAAGACAGAAGACAGATTATCATGTGAAGCGCTCCTCTCCTAAGCAAGGGCGTGGCCTTTGTGTGCCCCTCCACCTTCTTCCACATGCCTGTGCAAGGCTTTCTCCAGCTACGGAAGCTTGCTGACTCACTGGTTTCTTGAGCAGCATGCTAGCATTAATGTTCCACTTGTAAGAATTAAAATTTGTCATACTAGAATTTTTGTTTCAAATAAACCTAAGATCATAAAATAAAAAGAGCATTACTTTAAAGTTAAAGTGGCCCAAAGAGACCAGAATATATTTTACTGAGCAAATATTAAGCAGAATTGTTCATATATTTATTTATAACGGATGTAGAGCAAGATATTCTTCATTTAATAGAGAATTTTTTTTTTTTTTTTTTGTCTTCTTACTTTGTCTATCTGTACTCAAGGAAAAACTCTTACTGAATGTATTGGTTCCACTTTTGTTATAAGAAAGTAACCTGAGGGAGGCTACTTCATAAAGAAAAGAGATTTATTTTGGCTTCTAGTTCTGGAGGTACAAAGTCTAGGGGCCTCCTCTGGAGTCCCAAGGTGATTCAGAGCGTCATATGGCAAGAGATAAGGAGCATGACTGTGTCTCTAAAATATTCTTGAAAGCAGTTCTTACAATACACTAATCTGTATTACCTGAAACATTTGCATTGGCTTTGATTTTATTCTTCTTACCTGATAAAAAGCTTAAATTACCCTTCCTGTTTATTTGTCTGACTTCTAACACTCTGATATCAGGAGTTCAACCTAAGCCTATTGGCTCCATGCTTAAGCCTTGGCATGAGTGAAATTGCTAGTGGCCAGAAGAGTCCCCTTTTTGAAGCAGCACGTGGGGTGACTCTGGACCGAGTGACCAGCATCGTTCAGCAGCTTCCTTCTGTCCATCAAGTCTTCCAGCCTTTCCTGCCCTCAGAGACCACAGCCTACTGCAGCAAGTTGAATGATCTATTTGGTAATTTAAATAAAATTTTCTCTTAGTTTTAAGAAGGATTGCAAGGCCAGCAGTCTTTGCCCCAGGAAATACACAGTCTGTGCTGTTGGTATAATGCATGGGAAGGTTGACAAGAGATAACTGAGAAACAGTAACAGGTTTTGAGCTCTAGATTTCTTTTTGTTGTTTGCCATTTGGCCACTCCTGGATGTAATCAGGGCCCCAATCCCTTTAGGAAGGCTGGTTTAGACTTAGGAGACTTGAGTCCAGGCCACGGGCAGTCAGGAGGGTGCATGTAGGTATGTTCTCTGAGGCAGGGTGCCTGGAGCTCTCCTATGTTCACACAGAATTGTTTGATGGCTCCTGAATGGGAGGGGTCAGCTCTCATGGTCACAGCCACCCATGCAGGTTCCATCTTTCAGGGGATGCAGTGTTCTACCAGTCCCTGACCATGCTGGCTCGGGCCCTGGCGCAGTACCTGGTAGTGGTCTCCAAAGTGCCTGCTCATTTGCACCTTCCTCCTGAGAAGGAGACTGACACGGTGAAGTTCGTGGTGATGACCCTTGAGGTAAAAGCAGCTCCTGAACTCAGTGTTTCTGTGAGGGGTCATGTGACTAGCACAGCTGTTTAAAAACCAAAAGCCCACCAAGTGTGGCAGTGCACACCTATAATTCCAGCACTGGGGAGGCACATGGTGAACCTAATGTTAATAACCTAGACAGTGTGTTCTACTTGAAATTGGGCAGGAAACCTGGGCATTTCATCTAGGGGGGAGTCAAGCACTTGGCTCCCAGAAATAGGCACACACTGTGGGTGTGCTGCCTTTCCATGCAACTGCTAGGGAAGAGCCTGGCCTGTTTCCCCTCCAGTGCCGGAACTGCGCTGCCCATCCTGAGCAAAGGAGCTGCCATCTCACACCAAGGATAGGATTTGCTTGAGGGCATGGGTGCATCATTCACAAAGCAATGAAGAAATACCGCTCCTGAACCAGGCAGAGTTGGGTGGTCTGCAAGCCTGTCCTTTAGGTCTCAACTCGGTAGGGAAGACTGGAAACAAACCCACAATTCACAGTACAGAGCGAGGGCTACCAGGCACTGTGTGCTGCATGTGCAGGATGAAGCACTTTGCCTGCATCATCACATTTAGTTCTCACCAACCCTATTCCCATGTCACATATGAGGAAAGCAAGGCTTGAGAGGCTCAGGGACTTACCCATGTTCACTCAGCTAGGAAGTAGCCAGTCCAGCAGTTGAGCCTCAGTCCTGCTATCTACACAACCCTTATCTCCAAACTCAGCCTTGTGGCTGTGACAGAAGCAAGCCCTATGCTGCTGGAGCCCTGAAAAGAGTCCCTGTCCAGAGGTCATGCAGCAAGGAGAGGTTTCTGGAGACACCCAGAGCTGAAGGAAAGGCATTGTGGCAGAGGAGACTTGGGAACATTGGGGAGTAAGTGGGTCAAGACTGGATGTAAGGGAGCAGGGGATAGCAGCCTGCGACAGCAGTCCTCCTGGAAGGGCAGGGTCACCTGGTCTCCTGATCCCTCACAGCTATTAATGGAACTGCTTTCCCAGCGCCCCCCGATCCAGGAAGTAAATGTGTGGGCATTCTCTGACATGGTGTTTCTCTTTAGGCCCTGTCATGGCATTTGATCCATGAGCAGATCCCACTGAGTCTGGATCTCCAGGCAGGACTGGACTGCTGCTGCCTGGCACTGCAGGTGCCCAGCCTCTGGAGTGTGATCTCCTCCTCAGAGTTTGTGACCCATGCCTGCTCTCTCATCCACTGCGTGCGATTCCTCCTGGAAGCCAGTAAGTCTAGGAATGGGTTTCTGATCCTTGCTTGTCTGACCTGGCAATTACAGACATTTTTACTTTATACTACTTGTTTGCCAGGAAGTTAGGAGTTGGAGTGAAGAAGTGGGTGGAATGTGGGCCTTGTCTTTGGGAGGCCCCATCTCTGCACCTCTAGGATGTGGGCATCTACACTAGAATTTAACTTGAATTTATTTCTTTAGTCATTTTGTTTAGATTTTGGAGTTCCAGCTTTCAAAAAACTACTTCTATGTTTTATGTCCCTTTGATCTCTGGTCCTAGTTGATTGTTTCATGTTTTTCATCGTGAATGATTATAAGATTAATAAGATTACATTCAAAAGATGTCTTGTTTTCTGTAAAGTTGAAATGTGTGTCTCTATACCACATTGTAATACTAATATGTTGTAGAATAAAAGCGACTCATTCTTTCCAAGGAATAGTGTACTCAATGAGCGTCATTAGCTAAAAAAATTTTTTTAATTGGACATTATAGTTTACATGTTAGAGAATATTTTGAAGTTTTGTATTTTCAAATTAAACATTATAGAGTGGTGTTTTGATGTTTCATTGTTTAAATTGTTTTCATCTGTGCATTTGTAGTCAACTTGAAAATGAAGATCCGGGGATGAATTTTTAAAAGCTAGGCTTCTTGGGGGTCACAGTGATGCTTTCAGCAGTAATGAATTGTGAATAGTCTGATAAAAACCTTCAGGGTAGAGACAGCAACAGTGGGCTTAGAAATCTGAATGTAGAAGCCTAAGTCCCAGAATTGCCACATTCATGATCAACCAAGAGATTGGTACGTGCGTCTAGTATTTTCTGTTTGACTAAAGTTGGTTCCAAGACCTAGACCTCATTGACATAATCTGTCAAAATGAATTTTTATGAGTGCCCAGATGGAAGATCTGAGCGAAAAGGAGTGACACTATTGCTTGTTCTGCTGTGACCTTAGTTGCAGTGCAGCCTGGTGACCAGCTTCTCAGTCCAGAAAGCAGAACGGGTACTCTGAGGATTGTGGCAGAGGAGGACATGGACTCAGACACACCAAGTAAGTCCCAGTGATGCACCTAGTCTCTGTTTCTTTGGAGGGTTGAAGTTCAATCACAGAAGAGACTTGTAAAGTAGAAAGTGTGGACTCTTAGAAGCTTGCGTCTCTCTGTTGCTTGTCCTGAATTTAAGGGAGGTCTCAGCCCATGGCTGTGTACACATTGCTTCCTCTATCTCAGCACTGCCCTGTTCCTATCGCTGTCTGACCTTCTGGCCAGCTCAGCTGGCACTCTTGCAGGTACTCTTCTATATCCACATCCTTTCCTACATGCTAAGTATGCACCCCTCCTCTGAGAGGCCCCCCATCTCAGCACTTTGCACACAACTACTGTCACCCTGAGCTCTTTGAGGGCAGGGAATACACTCTCCTCCTTTGTGCTCCCAGAATTAAAGTTTGGCGTATTTAGTTTTTTGTTGTTGTTTTGGTAGGATTGGGGTTTGAACTCGAGGGTTTGTGCTTGCAAAGCAGACGCTCTACCATTTGAGCCAAGCCCCCAGTCCTAAAGCTTGGCCTATGTAGGTGATCAGCACATGTTTAGAGTGCCGAATGAGTAAGTAGAAACACTAAGGAACTTGGAGTTAGTCAGAGTACCCATGTTTATCATAACCTGAGTGACTGTTTCACCTCAGCCTCTTTAGTGCTGCAATTATAGATATGCACCACCATGCCCATCTTTTAGTGTTTTGTTTTGGCTTGGTTTTAAAGAAAATTTGTGTTCTTTCTACAAAAAAAAATACTGAAATCACCATCATTTAAACCTGCCTGAGGCTCAGACACATGCTATAGCTTTTCTTGTTTTCCACTCCTGCTTCTCAGGTGACTGTTTAACTATGACAGTGGTACAAGGCTGTAAGGAGGATAGCGTTTAGGCCAAATGATTCCTTGTTCTGGCCTTCAGATTCCTGTGGCCTTTGGAGCTCCTTGATCCAAGGGTCTGGCAGGAACATTGCCCTGTCCAAAGTTCTGTACTTGGATGATGATCCACAAGCAAACAGGCAGGCACAGTGGTGGGAGGGCACTTGATGTGGGTTGGTGCAATTGTGCTTATGCTGCGTGGCCCTCTTGAGGCTGCTTAATTTAATCCTGGCCAGAGGAAGAGGCTTGCTGGTGGTTTGTTTTTGTTTTCTAAATCGCCTCTGTAGGTTGATACTTCTTAAAGATTGTCTGATAAATATTATTCACGCCAACCTCATTTCTCAAGCTCAGAGCTTGATTCCTTAAATCCAGTAAGAATTTTATTTTTTGGTGGTGGTGGTACTTGGGTTTGAACTCAGAGTCTTGCACCTAATGAGCAAGGCTATATCACACTGCAAGTCCTTTTTGCTTTAGTTTACTTTTAAGATAGAGTCTTACACAACAAGGGGATTGAACTTTGATCACAAGATAAAAGCGAGAGCACACAAGGGAGGGGTGAGGATAGGTAAGACACCTAAAAAATTAGCTAGCATTTGTTGCCCTCAACGCAGAGAAACTAAAGCAGATACTTTAAAGCAACTGAGGCCAATAGGAGAAGGGGAGCAGGAACTAGAGAAAAGGATAGATCAAGAAGAATTAACCTAGAAGGTAACACACACGCACAGGAAATTAATGTGAGTCAACTCCCTGTATAGCTATCCTTATCTCAACCAGCAAAACCCCTTGTTCCTTCCTATTATTGCTTATACTCTGTTCAACAAAATTAGAAATAAGGGCAAAATAGTTTCTGCTGGGTATTGAGGGGGTGGGGGAGAGGGAGGGGGCGGAGTGGGAGGTAAGGGAGGGGGTGGGGGCAGGGGGGGACAAATGACCCAAGCCTTGTATGCACATATGAATAATAAAAAAATAAAAATTAAAAAAAAAAAAGATAGAGTCTTGATTTTGCCTAGGCCAGCTTAGACTGAGATCCTTCTACCTCCATCTCCTGAGTAGCTGGGATTATAGATAGGAAACAACACGCCCAATTTGCTGTGTTTGTTTGGTTGGTTGGTTTTTTGTTTTGGGGGGTTTTTGTTTGTTTGTTTTCCCCCAGCTTATTTTTTGAGATGAGGTCTTGCTGACTTTTGCCTAAGTTGTCCTTGAATCCCAATCCTCCTATCTCTGCCTCCCTAGTAGCTGGGATTACAGGAGGTTGCCTGAATCTCCTAGTATAGAACATTGAATGTTGTAGACTAGGAATGATATTCATCCACCAAACATTTGCCAACTCAGCAAATGATTTTTCCATATTATATGTGGATATGACCAGTCCCTGCCCTCCAGACCTTGACAGGTTAACCTGTCAAGGTCTGGAGTTTTCCTCAGAATTCTGCCTCAGGAGTTCCCATGAGAACCCTGTCCTGTGGAACCAAGGGGTTACAACTTGGTTCTTTGCACTTTAGCTTAGGGATAAATGCAGGTCCTGTGAGAGGCATTTGGGAGCTTGAAGCTGAAGAAGTTGCATGATGGTTTGTAGGTGTTGGTCAGCTGAGGCCTGCTGACGGTGGGTGAGAAGGCTGGGAACCAAGGCTGGAGCTCAGGTTCAAGACCATTACTGTAGTCCTTGCAGAGATGGAGAATTGGCATGGCTCAGATGCATGAGGAGGAGGTAAAACCTGCCAACCGTCGCTGCCTGCCCAAAGTCTAGGTTGACTGAGCAGGTGCTGATGGACTCTTGCCTTCTCCACAGTGGGAGGGTGCCATGGTGGAGTGTTTAGACAAAACTGCTTTCCTGACCATGGTCGTTGGTGTAGGTCCCAGGCACGTCACCACAGCCTGCGAGATGGTGGCAGAGATGGTGGAATCCCTGCAGTCCGTGCTGGCCTTGGGTCACAAGAGAAACAAAAGCATGCCCACGTTCCTCACAGCTGTGCTCAAGAACATCGTGGTCAGCCTGGCCCGCCTCCCCCTCGTCAATAGCTACACTCGTGTGCCCCCGCTGGTGAGTTGCCATTGTCGAAGACTGAGATAAACGAAGTGCACAGGCAGCCCGAGTCAGTATGGTACAGACGTTAAAGATGGAATCGTGTTTGTTTGTGGGCTTTTATGGCATTGGGGATTGAACCCAGAGCCTTGTGCATGCTGGGCAAGTGCTCTAGCACTGAGCCACATCCTCAGTTCTGGGTGTTTTGAGGCAGGGTCCCTCCATGTAGTCCAGACTGGCCTTGATCCTCTTCTCTGCTTCCCCGGTCCTGGGATTATAGGCATGTACCACCATGCTTGGCTTAAAACAATCTTGATTACTTAGAAGATCCCATGTGGTGGCCAGAACGTCTGGTTACGGATGCTTGTGACACCTGCCTGGGACTGGTAGGTACTGTGTGTAGTGGTTGTCAATAGAAATACTGAGTTCTCTAAAATGAGCAGAGTCATTGCATTTCCAAATAATGTTTCATCTCCACTGATGTTAATGTTGGATGTGATTCTAATTAGACTAATTAATGGTAGACCAGAAATTATACCCTGAGGTATTTCCCTCAACAGTCGTCACCTTTGAAAATATTCATGTATTTTGACGCAACCACTTTTGCAGGTTCTTTCTATAAATTGTCTTCAGAATTGGTTTAAAGTAGGCTTTATTGATTGGAACTCTTGTTTCAGATCATATGAATTATTTATCTTGGAGGGAAGAGCTCAGCTTAGGGGTTAGATTGACCTCTCTCAGTGAAGTTGTATCAGCCACTCCCCATTGGCTGCTGAAATACCACGATGGGACATGTCCTTTCCAGCCAGCGTCCTCAAGCAGGAAGGAAAGGATGGTCTATTGCAAACTTGAGCATAGAGCCAGGGCCTGAAGGACCCTGCTTGGAAAAGGCACATTGTCTCTGTATGCAAGGGTGAGGTGTGTGTGCATTTGAGGAGCAGTCCTTGTGGGTTTGGTGGTGTGTGACTCTGAGATGACAGCTATTCCTTGGGAATGGTGAGAGGAAACATGCAGGAAGGTACAGTGTAGAGGTCACACTAACTGGAAGGTTCTTGGGGATCTACCCACATGGACTGTATGCTGCTAAAAACTCCAGCAGAGGCTCTTTGTCTGTTCTCTGGATGAAGGTAGGCAGCTATACAGGTACTGAAAAGCCCTCTCTGGACATGCCCCAGAGAGTTTGGTGGGTGGCATAGGAGATTGTAAAGAGGGTTTTCCTGAGGTGAAGGAGAGCTTTGGCTCTTGGCCTGGAGCTCCCTTGAGTCCTCTGTGGCTTCACCAAGGGACAAAGCCATGCTAGTCAGATGGAATAGCATCTGGTCTGCCTCAGGGATCCTTCTGTACACGGTGCTTATGCAACCACCTAGGGACAGAGGCCCAGATTCCTGGAGCTGACAAACATGGACAAGTGGGTTCTGTCCTGTGCCTGCTTGCCAGTATACATTTATACATGAGGCTAAGCATCATTAACACTTGCCTTCCTTCTAACACACATCTGATGTTTGTGGGTGTGGAGTGGTGTCTGACACCTGCCCACCGCTGCCAGCATCTCCCACAAAGTACCCGAACATATTGTACAGGCAGCACTGCTTTGTGGGCAGAATCACAGGAAGATGGTGGACCTGGCCTAGGAAAGACAAGGGAGAGTGGGTGTGGGAGGCATTCTTGTCAGTAGGAGGTCCTAGGTGGAGGAGTGAGAGCCCTTTTCCCAGGAAGGCTACACTGGCTCTTGGGACGTCTGTGAGTGGTATGGGGTGCCGGTTTAGCAGGGCAGCCATCTGAAACAAGGAGCACTTCATGATTTCCTCATGGTGCCCTGTCCCAGCTTGATCAGGGTGATGTTCTCTCTTTTCATCTTTTCAGGTGTGGAAACTTGGATGGTCACCCAAGCCAGGAGGGGATTTTGGCACAGTGTTCCCTGAGATCCCTGTGGAGTTTCTCCAAGAGAAGGAGATCTTGAAGGCATTCATCTACCGTATCAACACCCTAGGTACTGGTAGCCAGTCCACAGGTTCAGGCACTGCCACAGACAGCCAGAAGCTCCAGGGTCGGGGGCTTGTCATATGGCACCTAGAAGGTTCAGGGTGTGATAATGATATAAACCTACGTCACCACGTCTTACAGTATACTAAGTTCCTCATACAGTGGGAAATTAGACCTGAATGTCTACATGCGTTTGTTGCCAGGATTTTTGTATGCCAGGCTCGTCTGAATTGATCACGTGATGCCAGATTACATCTTACACACTTAGGCTAAATAGCAGAAGTGATTTCTTCATGATGTGTCATTGAGTTTACTGCTTTCATCTCATGTTCTCGTTGCTCATATGTGGGACAAGCAGATTGGGGAATGTGGCAGGCTAAGCTTGCCTGGAGCAAGGACAGTAGTGAGGGAAGGAGCCGGGCAACCGTGCACTCTGCTGCTCACCCTCTATGGGGGATCAGGTCATCGCAACCTCCAGGACCCACATTGTTGTGATCTATAAATTGAGGATCATGCCTTTTTCATGGGATTATTCCATATATGACCTCATTTGGCAGCTCAACAGTGGTAGCATTAGTAGCTCTGTCAGGACCCTTCTCTGCTTTCTGAAGAGCAGTCCAACTTGCTTCTTTTTGTTCTTGTTACTTGGCTGGAACACATCTGGTTGTGCATTGTAATCAGGAAATCCTGGCAGTTCTGCCCTGCCATGGCTTGGCATCTGGCTCCACCCTCAGTACCTTACGCTTCTGCAGGTTTTGTGTTTATTCTAATCCCAGAAGGTTTCAGCAGCAGACACCTTGCCTGGTCATTCCTCTTTAATCTGCTGGGCAGTTCATTTCATCACCCTGTCCTCAGTGACATCTGAGCAGGCATCAGTCAGTTCCCTTGAGCTTTTCTTCTTCCGTCTTCTTACAGACTGATTGCAGGCAGCCTCCCCGGGCCCCTTGTGTGGTCCAGGTCCTGATCTTCCTTTATGTGGCCTTATCCTGAATTGTCAGTCAGGCCTGCCTGACCTGCACTGTTTCCGTGGTCTGTCCTTTGATCCCACCCTTATTTTGTGTGTGGTACTGGGGATTGAACTCAGGGCTTCGTGCTTGCTAGGCAAGCCCTTGCTTTACCACTTAAACCAGACCCCAGACCTCCTGCCTGTTTTTCTCTTTCATCTTTATGTGAATTATCACCTGTGTCTGTCATGCCTGAATCTGCTTAAATCTGAATCGGCCCCTCTTCTATGCTTAGGGAAGAAGTCCTGGTGTTTACTGCTTCTGTCCTCTTCCTCCCATCCTGCCATCCATGGCCTTAACACAAGTTCCTTGGCTCTCCTCAGGTTACAATGGGAACACTTTAAGTACAAACCCCAGAAGCAGCCATTCAGTGAATTCCACTCCAAGTACAGCTCTTTGGCAAGACTAGAGTGCTAGGTGTGCCAAACCAGGTTGCGTGCTTTTCTGACCAATCTTCTAGACAGGGTCAAAGAAATGGTGGCTTTGTTTTCTTACTCTTAACAGCTTTATTGAGATAGTTCGTGTACTTTGCAGTTTACCCACTGAAAATGTAGTTCTGTGGTCTTTGGTTCTGTTCACAGAGCCTAGAGCCATAAGCATCTCAAGATCAGACTTGAGGAGACTTTTATGTGCTTGATGGCCAGGGGGGGGCCTGACCCACTCAAACATAGCCTGCTCATTGTCACTGCACTACACCGTGGAGGTCAAGCAGCATCTTGGCCAAGCTTAGCCTGTGCTCCTTACATGTTGCGTGGCCTGGGTAGCATGGCTAACTTCTGGTGCCTTGGTGTTCTTGATGATGAAATGGAGAGAATAGTATTCCATACATCCCAGAATTGCCATGAAGATTAAGAGCTGTCTGTGGTCCCCTTGGAGGAGTCCTGATGGAGTTAGTAGTATACCAGTATAACCACCCACACGTTTGGGAAGCGGGTAGACTATCTAATGTAACGCTTACTTCCCAGGATGGACCAGTCGTACCCAGTTTGAAGAAACTTGGGCCACCCTCCTTGGTGTCTTGGTGACCCAGCCTCTTGTGATGGAGCAGGAGGAGAGCCCGCCAGAGGTGAGGCCACTGTAACTTGGGTGTGGTTGACAAGCTGCAGTTGTGGTAGCTCCTGACTCTATGATCAGCAAAAGGAAGACTACTAACACTTTTAAAAGAGCAGCCAGACCAGGTGTGGTGGTGCTCACCTGTAATCCTGGCACTCAGGAGGCTGAGGCAGAGAGTCCAAGGCCAGCCTGGGTTTCATAGTAAGTTCCTGGCAGCCTGGGCTATATGAGACTGTGTCTCAAAAAACAAAGCCAGGCACTGGTGGCTCATATCTGTAATACTGTTACTCTGGAGGCAGAGATCAGGAGAATCGAGATTGGAAGCTAACCTGGACAAATAGTTCTCGAGATCCTATCTCAAAAATACCCAATGCAAAAAGGGCTGATAGAGTGGCTCAAGAGTTAGAGCGCCTGCCTGGCAAAGGTGAGGTCTGGAATTCAAACCTCAGTACTGCCTCCCTACCCCGTAAAAAAAAAAAAAAAAAGCAGCCAGTTCATGTCTTGCCTGATTTTCCAGAGCAAAAGCAAACCTCCCTGAGGTTTGGGATCTGAGCCTGCCAGTGGCTGGGGTGCACCCTGTTATAGTGCATGCTATGTTGAGGATCAGTATGACTGTACCACTTCTTGGCAATATCTTCTAGTTCTGTTTAGATATCATTACCCAAAGAAGTGTGGGTTGAACTAAAATGAAAAAGAGACTCTGAGTCCAGAGCATGTACCTGGTTTCGTTTTTAATCAACTTACAAAAATTTATTTGGTTTCTGGAAGTGTAAATGTATATTATTTTCATATGACATGAAAAGCAACCATGTTCTGCTAAAGCAAAGCCCACAGTTTTAAATATCATGGGACACAGCCCTTGATTCCAATAGTGGGTGGTGCAGAAGTGACAGTGTGGTCACAGCACAAATCTTTAATCAAGGCAGTCTTTAAATTTGTCTGTAGATGCCAACAGGTTGCCATAGGTGATGCTTCTAAAAGCAGTGAGGAAATTTATGACAGTTTCTTACATAGTAATTCATATTTGAAATATAGTGCCTGTTAGAGACCTTGCTTTGAAAAAGACATTTGCTTGTTGGATTTATTACAAGGCACAGGTATGTGGAGGTGCCATCCCATACCAGGTGAATTTAGGCAGCTAATACCTATGGGAAGCCATGTCACACTCAGGGCTCTGAGTCCTCCCTCTGACACCATGTGGCCTATGAGCACTGCATGAAATGGAGGCAGATTTGGTGATCGGTGTCTCATTGTCATGTTGCCAATGTGTGCCTTTCTTTCCAGGAAGACACGGAAAGGACCCAGATCCATGTCCTGGCTGTGCAGGCCATCACCTCCCTGGTGCTCAGTGCAATGACTGTGCCTGTGGCTGGCAACCCAGCTGTGAGCTGCTTGGAGCAGCAGCCCAGGAACAAGCCCTTGAAAGCTCTCGATACCAGGTTTGCCTGAGCTCCCATGTGGCACTGCAGGGCACAGTAAGTGTCCTACCCTGCCTCATTGACCTGCAGCTTCTCCTGCCCCTTTCCTTTGTTGTCAGAATTAGAATAACACTGTGCCAGTGGCTCTTTCTCACAGGTGCAAACTCAAAAGTAATTTCGTGGCCAGTGACAAGTTGAAAATTCAGCCTAAAATTGCATGGGGGTCATTGGATTTTCACAGGCATCCTCTGGCAGGGCAGGGACAAGCACCTGTTCATTTGTTATTATACCAGCTTCCTTCAGGCAAAGCAGAGAGGAAGCCCTGGTGGTCTTCACTTGTAGAAGCAAATTGTTCTTTACCTTTGTTCTGAATTTTAGGTTTGGGAGAAAGCTGAGCGTGATCAGGGGGATTGTGGAGCAGGAAATTCAAGCAATGGTTTCCAAGAGAGAGAATGTCGCCACCCATCATTCTTACCAGGCGTGGGATCCCGTCCCCTCTCTGTCACCAGCTACTACAGGTACAGGGAGGGGCTATGGAACTTAGGCTAGAGTACAAGTGTGCCTGGCATCCTCACTGAGCCATGAGGCTGTGTGTGCATATGCTGCCCCTATTCTCAGTCTCATTCCAGCCTAGGAAAGTTTCACTCTCGAGGAAATAAAATCTGGAATTTTACTCTCATTTTACGTCTTTTGCCAGTCAAGTTGCAGGAAGCCAAAGAGTTCTTGAGGCTGGAAGACTGGCACACTACACGGGATTTAAAAGCAAATTAGTTGCTCATGTTTAAAAAAATCAACAGTTTGCCTAACCAACCTGTTTCTCTAGCTTCTCATGAAAAACCCAGTGCGCTAGAGTACATGTTCCCTGACAGCCCCATATGCTGGACCAGCTGGCCCCAGTACCCACTGCCCCACACCCTATATACTGTGCTGCTCAGGCACATACTTCACCTGGACCTGTCCCACAGTGGGCACTGGAGGTTGTTACTCTGACATGAAAGAAAGCAGTTTTGTCAGGGTTATTTTTGTTTGGTTTGGTTTGGGTTTTGGTTTTGTTGTTGTTTTAAATACACATTTTTTGTTGAGCAAACAGTATTTCAGTTTTGGGATTCCAGTTGTTATAAATTTAATTTACCTTGAAGGCTTCATTTGGAAAAGTTTCTATATGAAAGTGCAGTGTATTGTGTGCCCCAAAACGATAATTGTGACATTGAATTGACCAGAGCACTTTGAACCTGGGCCATGGATTTGGCCCTTGAGGAGCCTGTAGGTCAATAGGATTGACGAGAAATGGCATACCTTTTGTAGAAGGCAGAAGAGAGTGATCCAGAGAGAGGTGTGGACAGATGGTTCTGGGAGCTCAGAATAGAGCACTTGCTTCCAGGAAGGTGGCAGGAGCACCTTGCTAGAGGGTGGATGACATGCGATCCTCACAGGGTTAACAGTTCATCCTGTTTGTTAAAGAGGTAAAATGATAGTACTGTTTGTCCACGGGGCTCCCAGCTTAGCAGGTTACAAATGGACACGTTCCATGACCCACAAGCCTCTGCACAGCCAGGGCCATCCTGCTAGTGTCAAGGACAGACAGCTTGCATAGGAACCTGCTGGGGCAGGAGCAGGGTTGCATCAGGCAGGCCGCAGCCCTGCACCCGGGGCCTGCCTGTCCTGCAGTATGCACAGAGCCACACTCAGTGTTGATGCTTCACAGGTGCCCTCATCAGCCACGACAAGCTGCTGTTGCAGATCAACCCAGAGCGGGAGCTGGGCAACATGAGCTATAAGCTGGGCCAGGTCAGTCATACCACCCTCTGCCCCAGACATGACCGTGTTGTCTGTTCTCAGGCTTGAGCCATGTGCCACATCCTGGAGAAAAGTTAATGTGTTTCTTAAATGAAAGGAATCGTTACTCTCACTTTTATTTACATTCTTTATTCTAGGTTTCATGGTGCTTTACAGGTAAGCTCACAAATATGTATAAACCATAGTGGGACAGTGTTAGGGAGACAGGTGACAACCATGAGGCATGGAAGATGTGGGAGGGACCGCATGGAGTCAAGTAAGAACTGCTTGGGTGAAAGTGTACCACTGAGCTGGCTTCATCAAGCATCCTGGCCACTAGCTCAGAGGGCATCTGAGGTACATAGCTTAGTGTGCAACAGATAGCTTGATAACCAAATGAGTGGACTGCATCAGACCACGCTTGTTTCCCAGTCAGAGCAATTGGGGCAGTCGTGCCATGGTGGTACTTGCTGCTGAGCTACCATACTGCCACTGTCGTTTTCTCTCCATTCCCTGCTGTGTCTTCCTTTTCGTATGTCACTGGTTTATGTGACTATAGTTCTCATTTCAGAAGAGATTGATCAGAATTGTGTTTGAAAACTAGTTACTTCTGAGGTTTCTTCTTCCACATATCCAGAGGGACCACAATGTCATGCTGCATTCCTTTCCCCTGCTGCCTGCATGGAACTGTGGTGCTTTTCTAAATAAGCACCTCTGTCCTTTCACTTCGGCAGAGAAGTTTTCACCCCATGATAAGTGATGATAATATTAGAATGTCATGTGCTTTTTATTGAATGTGTTTCTGAAGGGCAGGATGTGAGCAAGAGGCCTGGCAGCATGGGTACATGGCTGTGTTCTAGGGTCCAGTGACCCTGCCTTCATGGTCATGCTATGGTCTTTGGTTCTGTTGCATCTACCTGATTGCTTGCTGCTTCCTTCAGTGCTGCTTCCATGTCCAGTGTCCTAGCTGAATGGAGTGGGATTGTGTGGGGGCTGAAACACAATTGTGCCCTGCCTTGCCTGGGTCAAATGCCAGCTCCCAAATGCCATTGGACTTAGCCACCACTTGATTTTGAGAAAGGATGTGAGAGTGTGGGCTGGATGAGGGAGCACAGGAGCCTGAGAATTGCATTTGGCCTTTACTGAACATATTTGGGATTCCAGGTAGAAGTGTCAGGGTTTTCAGAGGAGCCAACAAAAGGGAGGTTATGGTTCGCACCAAGAGCACAGAAGCCATTTGATAGGGAGCTAGGTTTTAGGGCACTGGGGCTCTAGGCCATCTCCCACAGCTGGGGACCTCTGCAGGAGCAGTTAACTGCCAGCCACTCTCTGCCTCCTGCTGGCCCTCACACCATCCTACCACCATCTCTGTAATAAGAGTCACCTTCTGCATCCTCATACTTCTTCACCAAGCAAGAGGCAAATGGGGTCCAACAGCAGGGCCTGCCAGGGAGTGAGGACTAGACTTGAAAGGAAATTCCGTGTGTGGTCCCATCTTTGGGGACTTCAGTCAGTTGTTACTTGGAAACTCAGCATCAGTTTTAGAGCCTCTTTTCCTCCTTCTCCCTGTCCCTGAATTTGAAGCTTTCCAACAGCTATCTAACCCCTGTCCCACCTGTTCATTGGCTCCTCTACCCGAAACCTGGTGCATCTAAATATCCTGGAAGGGCTAGGCCAGTCCAACAGCAAGTCATCCTCCATCTGGGAGGGGTGGGTCCAGCTGCATCTGCCTACCAGGAACCTGAGGCCTTTGTCCAGGTGCCAGTCTGAGTGTCCTGTTTGGCAGGTGTCCATACACTCAGTGTGGCTGGGGAACAACATCACGCCTCTGAGAGAGGAGGAGTGGGACGAGGAGGAGGAGGAGGAGGCCGATGTTCCTGCACCAGCATCTCCACCAGTGTCTCCAGTCAACTCCAGGTTTACATTGGCCTTCTTTTTTAAAGCAATTTTAAACATATTAGTCATTTGATTTGGGGTGCTTCTTGAAGTGAACCTCTGATCTGTGAAGGGGAAAATATCTATGTTACGTACTCTGCAGGAAACACCGGGCTGGAGTTGACATCCACTCCTGTTCGCAGTTTTTGCTTGAATTGTACAGCCGATGGATCCTGCCGTCCAGTTCAGCCAAAAGAACCCCTGTCATCCTAGTCAGTGAAGTGGTTCGATCTGTAAGTTTGCCTTCCCCCATTTTCCCTTCACATAATTATGTGCTCACAAATCACACATGTGTACCAGATACACTCATATGTACGAATGCACATGTCACACACATCACCTGTATGTGGTGTGTATGTATACACACAACAGACACACTACACACCTAAATAAATAATGCACATATATATACTGGATACACACTATAGACACACATCACACATGCACCCCACACGTATCTGTACCATATACTCACCACAAACACACACATGGTTTATAATGTGAAAGAGCTCCTAACAGCTCCCAGATATAGAATGATAGATTAGTATTTTTGAATTGGCAAAGGGACAGACTTTTACATTTCAAATCCAGAACAGGTCAGTCTCTCCCAAATACAGTAAAGGTGTATTGGAATGTGTATTGGAGACAGGCTTGCCTTCCTTGTCTTTCTCTCTCATCCCGGGCTGTGACAGTCAGCCCTGTGCTCCTGTCACCACTTGAGAAGCACTAGTTCAGAGCATTCTTCCAGATGAATAGTTTGCATGTCCTTCACACTTCACAGCCCCAAAGCCTGTTTGCTTCTGTAGGTTGTACCTCTCAGTATTCATACAATTGGAAATAAAACCTAAGAAGCTTTAGAAAGTCTAGTTGAAATAATAATTTAATTAGCAAGAATAGCTTTATTTTACATTTCTGCACATGTGAAATGCAAACATTAGGTTTATTAGAAAACAGATTCTTGGTGATGTGGCTTAAGTAGTAGAGCACTTGCCTTGCAAGCATGAAGCCCTAAGTTCAAATCCCAGTTCTACCAAATAAACAAATAACAGCAGCAGCAACACACCTTAGAAAACAGATTCTCAAGTGCTCTAATCCAGGAAGATCACTTGTTCCAGGCAGCCTGGGCTACACATTGAGACCCTGTCTCATTTAAAAAAAAAAAAAAAGGAATAGAAAAGCAAAGAAAGTAAATGAAAGCAGATTCTTGTATCTACTTATCATTCCATCTACCAGTATCCTGTAATCTTTTGAAAATTCCACTGTACATGTGGAAGAAAACAAGGATGGAAAAGCACATAATATGTTAGTATTATTATATATATAGGAAATAGTTTTGACTTGTGAGTGAGTCCTCTGTAAGGGATGTAAATACCCAGGCATCCCAGGACCCCTTGATGAGACTAATTTCTTGACTACAGCCCTGGCTACGAACACCCTACAGAACAGGGTCACCAGCATCTGACTGAAATCTGTGGATAGGTAGGACTTGAAAAACGGTATTACAGACAGAAGTGCTTGGGCAACAAAAAAGTTGCCAAAGCATTTATTTCTGAAGCAAATGATTGCCAGCTTCTCTCTTGCCAGGGTTTTGAGGGTCCGTCCCCGAGGCTATAGGGAGGGCCAGGTATTGGAAACACAACAAATGAAAACAGAGGAATCTGATTTCCTGGGGCTGCCTGTGGATGAGCATCCCCATGCAGGCGGCAACCACAATGTGCACACAGAGACAGCCAGTTTTTCACTCTGTTGTAAGTCTTTAGGTTCCTGTTGAGTTGTTTTCTCAGTCAGGGCTCTGGTGAATTCCTGTATTTTACTCTCTGGAGGCTTGCCATCAGCAGCATTTTGGGCTGGATCACTTGCATTCCTTGGAGCATAACTCTCCCCTTCCTGTCCTGATGTCCCATGTGTCCAGCTTCTTGTGGTCTCAGACTTGTTCACTGAACGCACCCAGTTTGAGATGATGTATCTGACACTGACGGAACTGCGGAGGGTGCACCCTTTGGAAGACGAGATCCTTGTTCAGTACCTGGTGCCCGCCATCTGTAAGCAGCAGCTGTCCTCGGAATGGTGAGTGAGAGTGGTGCATCCTTTAAGGACATATGTGAGCCGTGGTACTGGTCAGCTGAGGGGACTCAGTTCCTCCTGGTGCCATCCCACAGGGCACTGTGATGTGTGTTGTGGCTGACTGTGCTGTGGAACTTCTATACCCCTTGGTTTTACATCATAGTAGTAGGCTGCCGTCACAGGCACGTGTGTGATGGCATGGGACAGCACAGACGGTGGAAACATGACTGACTTCTTCATTCTGCCTGCAGCCAGACAGTCCCACTTCCCTTCCTGATGCGGTCCAGATCCCCTGTGCTTCTTAGCCAACACAGTCTGCCGCCTCAGGGCCCTTTTGTTACAGTAACTCTGCATTTCCACTCCCAAAGTCAGTATACCATAGACTGTTCTTTGCATCCTGGTTGTCTTGGTCCATTTGTGCTGCTATCACAGAATACATTAGACTGGATAGTTTGTGAACAACGGAAATTTATTGCTCATCATTCTTGAGGCGGGGGAGTCCAGGGTTGAAGTGCCAGCAGATCCAGTGTCTGGGGAGGACACACAGATGGTGCTTTCTTGCTGTGTCCTTATGTGGCGAAAGGGGTGAGCAAGCTGTCTCGGGGCCCTTTGATAAGCACACTAACCCCATTCATCAGGACTGAGCCCTCAGGACAAGTTCCTCCTGTCCCATGCACATGTCACTACATGGTGCTCACTGAACTACACCAGATGCACATATGAAAATAATTACCTGTGGATCCTGCTCTCATGAGAGCATATTGAAGGGTGTCAGCACTGGTAGTAGAGGGAAGTGACTCCAGACTGCCAGAACTGGCATCTGTGTGCTCTTTGTCACCTAGCATTCCCCCATAATCACGCTGTCTCTTACCCACATTTCCTGGAGGCCGTTTTTATGATGACAGCAGAAGCTTACCTGATGAGCAGAGATCTGAGTGGCTGCTACATGCCAGGCATTTGGGACCACTGGCAGAAGTGGTATGCAGGAGTCAGCCGGATCAGCGAGTGGTCCTGCCCTTCATTAACGGTGCCACTGCGGTCGTTATAGCATCACCAGCACTGCAGCCACCAGTGTATGCTGAGCTCTTCTGTCCCCTGCCCCATGAAGTGCAGTCTGACACAGCAACAGGACATGGCAGTCTAGCTCTCACTTCTCCTTACTGCTTCCCCATAGAATCTCTCATCACTGAGCCCAGAGGCTAAAACAGGTATCCATAATGGGTGGTCTCAGCCTGGTCAAAGCTAGTGACTTAAAGCCATCCAGGGAGCAGGAACAATGAGCACATTGGTCCCCTCGTGTGAACCTGTTCTTCAAAGTGAATGCCCTCTGGGTGCTGCTGGGACTGTCTTTGTGGGAGGTCCTTTCTCCTCCATAGGGGGCTTCAGCTTGCTGGCTTGACTTTCATTATAGCTGTGGTTTTGTGCTCAGGCCCAGATGCCCAGGCAAAACATAAGTCAAATACATCAAGTAAATAATAATAGTTTCTAAAAGCAGGCCCTAAGGCAGGATGTTCATGGTCCTAGTTTCCAGCTCTGTGTGCAGAAATGTCCCTTCTCGAAGACAGTTTCTTCCATGTGGTTTCCAACTTACCCTACGTTGCTGCAGACAATGTTGTACCCAAACACATCACTTTCTTTGCCTGCTGTAGTCGAATCTGCAGTCCTCCTGGCATGTTACATGCAGCAGTGGACTGGAGGACTGGACCTCGAGAAGGTCCCACATGGCTCCATGGGTGGGGACAGCACAGAAAGGGGTTAAGGAGGAAATGACTGGCAAAGAATGTTGTCTTCAGCCTTATACCACTGGACACAGATTCCCACAGAGGGTTAGATGGCCTCTTGTGGCTTTTGTGAGGCTAGACAAGGCCCTCAGCCAGCCTTTCCTGAGGGGGAATAAGCCACAAACACTGATGTACTCTCTCTGGGACACTAACCATGAAGACTGTCTACAGCACTAAAGGAGTGAGTCCCATGTGCCAGGCATGTGCAAGGCATGTGCTAGGTGTCTAGGTGCACACTCAACTCTGTCACATAGAAACTGCTAAGTGACAGTGATGCAATTTTAGTCCAGGTTAGCATAAATTACCCCCAGGTAAGTTCTTACCCCCAGAGCTAAGGTTCGTTACAGTGAAGAGACCCAAGGCAGAATCAGCAGAGGGAGAAGGTGCATGGGTAAAGCCCAGGACACCAGACTTCACCCTGTGAAGTGGCTCAGGATATGCTCTTCATCTCCCCAGCAAGAAGCTGTGAACTGTTCCCACCATTAAAGCCCAGTAGAGACTCTGCATCTAAAGTCTTCACTGGGGGCTGCACATGTGCATCCTCTGCCTAGCACGTACCGAAACTCCAGACTCCCAGAAGCAAAACAGGTGTCTCCTTAAACCTCATTGTCTATACAGACAGCAGTGGCACAGAGAGCCCCTTCTGCCAGTCAGGCTGTTGACCCCCTTCCCAACCTAGGTTCCCCAACTCAACCAGGGGCCAGTCCTGCACATAGAACTCTCGGGGATAGCACTCTCAGCTACAGGGAAACAGGGCCTCTGGAATGTGAGCTGTCAGTCTACCTCTAGCAGCCTCTGTATATGTTTGTACCCAGGACAAGGCTGTGGCAGAGCCAGTCAGCCGCCTGCTAGAGAGCACACTCAGGAGCAGCCACCTGCCTAGCCAGATTGGAGCCCTGCATGGCATCCTCTACGTGCTAGAGTGTGACCTCCTTGATGATACTGCAAAGCAGCTCATCCCAGTTGTCAGTGACTATCTTCTGTCCAACCTGAAAGGAACAGCCCAGTGAGTAGGCCTGTTGGGGTGGGCTGGGAAGCCTGGAAATGGGTCAAGAAAAGAGCCATGTTTGTCCTTTCAAAGTGCATGCTAGGTTCCTGGCCAGATGGTGGACACACTCTTCAGGGAATGGTAGCTGAAGTCAGTGAGTAACAAGGTCACAGATGCCTGCTGGAAGCTTTCTAGGGTATCCCCAACATGATTAGGAGTCCTGGCCTCTGTGTCCCTGTCCTGTGGTACTTAGCAGCATTCTTTTGTGTGGCCATTTCTGACTCCTGTTGTCAAGGACAGCAGCCTTGTCCTCTTCCAAACTCAGCCTCCTCTGCAACTTCCCCACCCCGTGTCCTGTGCTTCCTAGGAGGTCACCCATTCCTAATCTTGACCTTGCCTTACCTCCCCTAAAGCAGCTGTATGTGCAGCACTGCACAGAGGTGTCACAGAACCCTAAGAAAGCATGGCAAGCCCATCACAAGTTCAGAGAAGTACTGTGGCACACCAGCTCCACTTGCACATTCCTGCACATTCAGAAGCCTGGAGCAGAGCTGGCTGGTCCCTTGAGGCCTGGTCTCCTGCCTAGGAAGCTGTCTTTAGCACCCCCAACTCCCCCTGGGGAAGGATTGTGTCTCATCAGGCATAACTCAGAGCTGAGAGCAAGAGTTAGGAACAAAGCTGAGAAGGTGACTGAAAGGAAAAGCCAATGTCAGGCGTGCAGTTTGGAGGTGTGGATGGAAGACTGGGAGAGGGTCTCAAAGAAATAGATATGGCTGCTATGAGAAGACAGATATTCAGCAGGGTGAGGTGTGAGTGGGGTGCATTTTGGGAGCATGGTAGGCAGGGGTGTGATGAGGGGTGAAGGTAGCACTCAGGAGGACCTTCACCTAGGCTAGAGGTGGCACAGGCCTGTAGAGAGGCTGTTCTTGCTTGTCATCCTCACCGGACAATGGGCTTCATGTAACAAAATGGAGAGGCAACTGGCCATTGTTCCCGTGATCCCAGAGCCTAGGATCCCAGAGCAGGTTTGTGTAGGGGACTCGGGAGGGATGTGGAGAGCTTGAAGTGTCCAGGGGAGATGCCTTGGACAGAGGGGCCTGCCACGTGTTAAGCGGTGTAGTCAAGATCTCAGAGTGACGGATGGGAGCATCACACAGGTGTCTGTGTGAGTAGAGGAGGTGGCATGTTGGCTGCTTTGTTCATGGTAGCTGTTGGTCCAGTTATAGACCAGCTAAGTCCCTGCTGCTTAGTGGGGCAGACAGTTGCCAAAGGAGATCTGACAAGTTAGAGGATTACAAGGTTGTATGTTCCACATAAGGAGAGGCCAGGTACCCTGAGGAAGCAGGGGGCTGAACTCCCTGCTGGACGTAGGGAATCTGTAGGCCTCATTGAATGAGGAGAGTGTGAAATGGCCTGTGCAGAAGTACCACATCAGGGGAGGCATGCCAAGCTGAAGCTATGCAGCTCCAACAAACAGCAGGGCATGGTGGGGTCGACAGCCCAGCCTGGTGTTGAGGCCTGGAGAAGCTGCACTCACAAGTGGGGGCTGGATGCTCTCTGAAGCTGTCCTCCTGCAGACAGGGGGCTATGGCATATGGCTGAGCGTGACGTCTTCTCCCGTTCTCAGCTGTGTGAACATTCACAGCCAGCAGCATGTGCTGGTGATGTGTGCCACTGCATTCTACCTGATTGAGAACTACCCTCTGGATGTGGGGCCAGAATTTTCAGCATCGGTAATACAGGTGAGCAGACCCTGGCCCTTCCTTGTCCCAGTGGGTCAGCATTGAGTTGTGGAAGAGGTCAGAAGGAGTCTGTTTTTGTCCAGATGTGTGGGGTGATGCTGTCTGGCAGTGAAGAGTCTACACCCTCTACCGTTTACCACTGTGCCCTCCGAGGCCTAGAGCGCCTCCTACTGTCTGAACAGCTCTCCCGACTGGACGCAGAATCCCTGGTCAAGCTGAGTGTGGACAGAGTGAACGTGCACAGCCCTCACAGGGCCATGGCAGCCCTGGGCCTGATGCTCACCTGCATGTACACAGGTGAGCCATTGGGAAGGATGTGGACTTGCCTGGAGCCACTGTGCCTGGTGATGAGTACAGTCCAGCTCCTGTCCAAGGGAGGCAAGAACACATTCACTTGGGGACACAGGTCCAAGTCCCTCTAACACCATAACGTTAGTGTTGTCCCAAGCCCACCACGTCACCTTTCAAGAGGTTCTAGAGCCTAAGGTAAGGGACCAGCCAAGGTCATACCACTATGTGTCAGTATCAGAGCTGCCTCTGGCCACTGCATCCCTGTGGCTGAGTGATGGGGTTAGACTGGGTCCTAACTTGCTAGGACTCATGTCACTTGTTTTTGGACCATGTCTAGTGATCTGTCATACTCCTGTGTCTAAAAAGCTGTCTGCAGAGCCTTTTGGGTTTCAGCTGTTGACCTACTGAGCACTTTTGTTTTAGGAAAAGAGAAAGCCAGTCCTGGCAGAGCCTCTGACCCTAACCCTGCAGCGCCAGACAGTGAGTCTGTTATCGTTGCCATGGAGCGGGTATCAGTTCTGTTCGATAGGTAAGAAGTATGGCCCACCCTGTGGCCATTACTTGCTCTGGGGCCAAAGCCAGATGCAGTTGCCTCTGTGTGTATTTGTTCATCCTCACAGCATCACTGGGGTCCCACCCACCCATATTTCCCAGCCACATCCTGCTCCTGGCCTGGCTTGGGGATCTCCTGTTAGAGATTGTCCTTGGTCCCCAACACTCAGGAGTGTGGTATTACTGAACTAAAGGTGGCCCCTGTGCTTGCTCTCTTTCACTGAAGACTCAGGGACAGAACCCACAGTCCTGGGTGTGGCATGGACACTTGAAGGTCAAGCTCTGGGGACTGGGCATGGACGCCTCGTCAGTGCTGAAAATGCCCATTTGCTTTGCCTGTGTGAAAGAGAGCCAGGTAGAAGCAGAGTCCTCGACCTTGAAGACAGGGAGGGAGCACGCCCTGAGAGCGGTGTTGGGAACAGCAAGAGTAAAGAACAGAACAGACAGAAGCATCTTTGAGAGCTTTGGTGGAACAAGGTCTCCTACCTTCCATCCCCATTATGTTCCTGTGCAGCACAGGCTTTGCCTACCAGCTCTGAAGAGTGGATCAGATACCCCACTGGGCTTTTCCAAAACCATGTTTCACCCTCCATCCTCTGCATCCCAGAAAAGTGACAGGTCTGTAACCTGTTGCTCAGCCTGGCCTGTGGTGACCACTTTGGCTCAGTGATCACACTGCCCACACTCAGCTGGACACTCTCCAGGGGCAAAGGGACACTGTTCGGGTTTACAGGAGACAGCTGCCTTCCCAGGCTCACCTGTGAGGAGGCACAGCCCAGAGTTTAGGTCACTTGCTTCACTGCTCAGCTCTATAGCACAGACACATTTGTACCACTAGGATAGGAGGCTAAGGGGCGAAGTTTAGTTAGAGTCTGCAGAGATGAGAATCAGCAAGAACAGGCATGGCCTGTTCAGGTTTGAGAAGAAGAAAAACTCCTAGTTGCCATCAGTGCCAGTACCAGGCATAGGGCATATGATGCTGAAAAGTTCATGGAACATTTGGACATGGGAAAAGCGCCCACACCATCCCTGCTTACGCTTTACATAACTTTCACATGCCTCTTTGTGTCATCCGTCCCACCATACCTGGGAGGCCCAATCTTGTGCCCAGCAGAAAGTAAAGAGAACAAAGGGAAGCTGGGTTTTCACCTTTTTGCTGTCAAAATTCATACTCTAGTTGTGACCTGAGTCTCACGTAGAATGTTCCTGCAGGGCGGGGCTGGTGGGTCAAGAGCCAGGGTGAGGCTCTGACCATTCCCCTCCTTCCAGGATCAGGAAGGGGTTTCCCTGTGAAGCCAGGGTGGTGGCAAGGGTCCTGCCTCAGTTCCTGGATGACTTCTTCCCACCCCAGGATGTCATGAACAAAGTCATTGGAGAGTTTCTGTCCAACCAACAGCCATACCCACAGTTTATGGCTACCGTAGTGTACAAGGTGAGAATGTCCACATGGGGGCAGGAATGGGGCAAGTGCAGCAGAGGTGGAGTTGATCCTGGACCTCCATGGATTTGCCACTGGGGCCAGACTTGTCCTCCCACAACCAATGGCAGCTCAGGCCCCAGGTTGGTGTACTGGGATACACGTCCCCTCCCATAGCCCGTTTCTATACTTAGGTGTCTTGCTCCTTCTCCAGGTCTTTCAGACTCTGCACAGTGCCGGACAGTCATCTATGGTTCGGGACTGGGTTATGCTGTCCCTGTCCAACTTTACACAGAGAACCCCAGTTGCCATGGCTGTGTGGAGTCTCTCCTGCTTCTTCGTCAGCGCGTCTACTAGCTCGTGGGTTTCAGCAATGTATCCTTCCCTGGGTCCTTGTGACCAGACTCCCGCCTGCTGCCAATCCTTGCCTGTTCTGTGGACATCAGGTTCAGATTTTGTTAAAGTTTTTGAAACCTAACCTTTGCAGAATCCCACAGACATCAAAGGAACATTTACTCAGCCCTAAGTGTATAAAACATTGACAGGGACACAAAACAGAAGGTCCAGACATTTGCCAGCACGGGCTGCCCAGAGGGGCTGGTATATGGCAGGAGTGTTGTTGCTGGCAGAGGCGGTAGGGGTGGAGGATAGGACCAGAAAACTGCAATTCCCCCAGCTGTCCCATCCACTGGCATGCTCTGTCTTGGGTTTTTTTTTCCTGGTGCTGCTTTTCATTAGCATTTGTCATTGTGCTGTGGTCACCCTCCCGGGGAAAGTCTTAAGTGAAGATCCAGCTCCCACCCCAACAGTGCCTTTAACTAGGAGTTCCCCTCTTGGCAGCCCTCCTCTCAAGACAGACCATGAGAGCCTCCAAGCAGTGCAGTTGTGCCAGTGCTGACAGCACAGACTTGCCCGCCTGGTGTGCTGGGAAGGCCTGGCAGGCAGAGCCACAACTTGGCCCGCCCTGTGCCAGAGCAGGGTGAGCGGGAGTCCCAGCCATCAGCGCTGTTCAGGGAGCCTGGCCAGGTAAGTGGTGCTGCATGGAGCACTGATCTGCAGGGCTTCTTCCCGCTGTGTCCTTCTGAGCAGAGAGATGAGCTTGCAGGAGAGAGGGTTTTAGGCAGCTGCTGTTGCTGAAATGGTCCAGGCTGCCCTCTGCTGCTTTAGTCACTCTCTAACCTCCCTAGGCCTGCTCTTAGGTCTGCTCAGGAATGGAATCCCCACGGAGGTTGACTTCCTCACCCTTGCTAGCATTCTCCCTTGACTTCTCTGCCAGCCTTCCACATGTCATCAGCAGAATGGGCAAGCTGGAGCAGGTGGATGTGAACCTTTTCTGCTTGGTTGCCACAGACTTCTACAGACACCAGATAGAGGAGGAGTTCGACCGCAGAGCCTTCCAGTCTGTGTTTGAGGTGGTTGCAACACCTGGAAGTCCATACCACCGGCTGCTTACTTGTTTGCAAAATGTCCACAAGGTCACCACCTGCTGAGCACCTGTGGCAGCAGAGGCTGAGAGGGGGTGGCTGCAGTGGTCGGAGCATCCGGAAGCCTGCACCAAGAGCCTGCCTCTGCTAGGTCTGCCTGGGTCACTGCAGACTTGTTTGCATCTTGCAACCAGGCAGTGTGTGTGTCTGCCCCATGACAGCAGGGCAGTACTCTGCAGCAAGGGGCTGTGCAGGGAACATGTGGTGTGTAGGGTGGAACCTGAGTTCTGTGTTCTGGCCTTGCTATAGCTGGTGGCAGTGCCAGTTGGCTGGCATTTATCTTTCTCCTACTGTTCACCTGTCCATGGTCCCTAGATGGCAGTTGCCCTTCTGTGTGGGACAGAAGTCCTGGCTCTTGCAGGTTGGCCCTGAGCCCTCCCGTCCCATAGGTAGGCACTCTGCCAGTGAGTTGGAGAGCACTCCCCAACATCTCCCCGCAGGGCGCGCCTGCCACACCAGTGTCTGCACACAGACGCCGTGGTGTAAGGTGGGCCGGGGACTGGGGGCGCCAGACGCCCAGCGCCATTCTCCCTTTCTCTGTTCTTCTCAGGACTTAAAGTTTAATTATATCAGTAAAGAGATTAATTTTAACATACTCTTCTTATGCCCGTGTAAAGTGTGTGATTTTCAAGGCCTGTGCTGCATGTGACAAAACCCATGGAAGGGGGCAGGCCCTCTGACCTCTGCTTTCTCTCCTGCAGCTATTCAATCTGGTCAGACAGGTGCATCACAGAGCCCCCTAATACCTAATGATGGCACTTCCATTGCACGTTTCCCTTTTTTATGCATTGGCATTTAGTTAGAATGCAGAGAGGTGTTAATGTCAGGTCCCCACAGCAGGAGTCCTCCCTTGGGCTGGCTCCAAGGGTTGAGGATTGCTGCTGTCCCCCATCTTTGGTGTGCCAGGCTTGTACTCACCATGGCACCCCCTCCTCAGGCACCACTCAGTTTCTCACTAGGAAGGGGTAAGGCTTTGCTGTCACTTAGCCCACCTGGCCATGAGCAGTCTCTGCTGTGGTCTCAAGTTGATCCCAGGCTATGGTCTGCCCCAGATCTGGCTGGCCAGTGTTGAATTTGCTGACCCCCTGCCTCTTTCACACATTGAAGCCCAGATAGGTGCCTGGCCTGGCAGCCCCAAGGGTGTCACTGAGCTGTATTTTGTCTGGGATCCTCTTCATCAGTAACAAAGCTTGGTGTCCTGGTGACTCTTAAGGCTGGATCTCAGCACCTCTTCTGCCCAGAATTGTGCGGAGCTATGCCCCTCAGAGGCCGGGACGGGGGGCTGTCCATCTCAGGCAGAATGAGATGGCAAGGAGGAAGGGTCGATGATAGGTCAGCTTCTAGCTTAGGGACAACTCCACATACCTATGAGAGCCACTGCTTCAACCCAAGATCCTGGGCCCTGGACTAGCCCAAAGTAGTTAAGTCATGTAAGTGAAAATGAGTCCTGGACAGCAGGGCTGCCCTTGATTTCCTGGCTTGCTTTGGGAGTTCTGCTTGCTGTTTGGCCATGTGATAGGACAGGTGATCTGCTTTTCCACTCCCCCAGAGGCAGGCCTGGCTAGTTCGGTGACTGCTGTGCTAATCAGTTTGGTCATAGTAATGGATGGTTCAGGTGTTGAGCATGGTAGATGGAGATAATGTGGAGCTCTTTTCCAGTCTGCACAGGAGAGAGCTTTCAGTCCAGGTTAATTAACTGCACTCAGTTCCTACAGCACTGCCTTGAGACCCTCAAGCTTCCTTCTGTCCCTCCTCCCATTGCAGCAGTCGGAGGGTAACTGGGATGAGGTTTCCCTGTCACTTAGCCCACCTGGCCGTGAGCAGTCTCTGCTGCATCCAGAGGTGCTAGCCATGTTCCTCCAGCTGAGCTGAACTGATCCCAGGCTGCATTCTGCCCCGGAGCTGGCTGGCTTGAACTTTCTGTCCCCCTTCCTCTTTTGCACAGTGGGGCCCAGGGTTGCTCACTGCCCACATATGTGGGGGAGCCCACAGGGAGCCCCCTCCTTAGAGCAGCATGAGACTGCTCCCACCAGACCTGGCAGAGGCTTCCCCAAGTGGGACCAGTGGTGTGTGGGATAACATGAACCACAGAAATGGATCCAGTTTTTGAAAAGTACCTTGAGGGAAGCTACTGACTTTTAACAAAAAGTAAGAAAGTCACCAGTTCTCTCTTAGTGATTTGGAACTCCTGCTTTCCTTCCCAGCTTTTCCCCAGAAAGATTGCTGGAAGTGTTTGTGGACCATGGGAAAGTTGTCAGAACGTGCTGCTGCTCCACCCCAGCTTGCTCCAGCAGCTCCCAGGCAGCAGAATTACAGGCCAGCTGCTGCTCCTAGCTAGATGTTTACATGTGTAAGAATTAACACTGTGAATGTAAAGTTTGGAGCCACCCCCTTGGTTGGTATTCATGTCACTGGGCTCAACATAGAGTTTAATTGGTCTCTCCTTGTTTGAAGTGTGATCTGAAACAATTCTTAGCAGCTCTGGAATAGGCGCCGATCCAAAGACCCTCCCGCGTGTTCCAGAGACCCAGATGAGTTCATAAGTGAAGTTACCACTCAAGGAGTGCATGTGCATGTGTGTATGCATACACACAGTTGTATTTGTGTACTCTCACATGCACACATCTCAAGAAAATTACACAAGGCCTCTAAGAATGCATGTGTCAGTTCTTTCTGGAAGTTGGTCTTTCTTAGACCTGCCATGTAAGTTGACTGTGAGACTCAACCATGTAAGAGTGGGATTCAGTAGAAGGGGCCACTGCCCATTAAAGCTCCACTGGAAAATGGTCCATCTTAACTCTGCAGAGGGACCAGGACTTCATCAAGTTCCTCAAAGTCTATGGATTTCCAGATTTTATTGAAAATGTTACTTTGATTATTGAGTTTTTTTGAGGGGAAGGTGAGGTATTGTTTTTGTTTTCCTGCTGGTATTATCAGGAAAGATTTTAATGAAACCAGGGTAGAATTATTTGGCAATGCACTTAAGCATGTTTCTTCTCCAAAAATGTGCCTCCCTCCCACTGCTAGCCCTGCTGACATACGTTGGTGATTTTCCAACTGCCAAGTGCCCTTTTATTCTCTCTCATTTTTGCCTGCACATGTACCCTTCAGGAGAGGAGTGGAGCAGACGTACCTCTAGGCACTCAGAATGTAGCGTCAGAGAAGGCTCCAGCCTTAGAGGGCCTCCTTCCCTGACAGGGACTTCCTCCTTGTGGAGCCCAGCCAGGACAGGTCTTACACAGCAATAACTCAGCTCACGGCTGCCTGGCAAGTGGAACTGCCCTGCACTGGGGGGGCTGGGGTGGGTTTGGCTCTGTATTTCTGGGGGTCAAAATTAGTTTCATCTTGCTACCTGTGAGCATCCTTTATAGCAAATGTCCTCACTTGGGCTTTGTCCCTTCCTCCCTGTCGGGACCATACCTGCCATCAGGGTAGACTTGGAGCTGTTCTCTAGAGATTGATATGTGGGAGAAGGAAAACACGGAGAGCTACTGAGGTTATATGGAGAGCTTGGGATGGCACAGGCAAGAACCATTCCTGGCTGGGCCTGGAGGTGCCAGAAAGGAAGGACCCACTCAGAGTGGTGTGAGTACTAAAGGGAGCCTGGAAAGTTCAGGGCCATCCTCTTTGTGTGCCTGTCACACTTTAGTGCCATCGAAGGAACACCTCCCCTCAAGTGTCTCGGGGAACAGAACCTTGTGCTGCAAGCTGGGTGAAAGGTTGCAGGCAACAGGGACCTACCTGCAGTGGTTTGGCTGCAGCCTCACTGTTGCGTGCTGTGCATGGGCGGGGCTGGTGGGTGGAGGGTTGGGAGCATGCTGTGTGCTCCATCAGGAGCCAGTGGGGCTGTGATGGGCAAGTCCCGGAGCCCAGCCCAGGCCTGACCACCTGCTTCCAAGAGGAAGGACTGACATGAGTTGTATATTTAAAATTTTTAAACTGCTACAAATGTTGTATAGCCAAATTAAAGGAACCATTAAACCACCTGTTGTTGCTATGTGAGGCTTACTCTGTCTGTGAGAACTGGCTTTCCAGACTTTGAGAACCTTTGGTGCTCTTCTCCTGAGGGTCAGCACTGCCTGCCTGCCTGCCAGCAGTCAGCAGACACATCAGAGCCCAGGCAGCTGCCAGCAGGTACAACGATGAGAGCAGAGCTTGGAGCTGGGGCTAGCCTGGTAGGTGCTTCCTACAAAGGTGTCCATAAGCCTTAGTGTAGGTGGTCTCCCTGTCCAGCAGACATTGACTGGCAAATCTGGTAGTTAGGGCTGTTGTAAGTACATCATTAAAGGCCTCTGCTGTGGCCCTTTTGTTTCTGCTTCCACGGGTGACTCCAGGGTCCTGGAGGGGCAGTAAGAGCTGTGTCCTCACACAGGGCACAAATTTGGCTTTGGAGGCCCCACACAGTCCTGCTGACTCTGTCTCCCTGGCCCTTAACACAATGTGCTTCTGCCAGCTGGATCCTAGTACCCCTCAACACAGCTGACCTTCCCATTTTTGATCTGATCTAGCTACTGTGTCCATGGTGCCCACCTATCTTTTGTAGTATGTAAGTCTTTCCTGTCTGAAATAGGATTTTTTTCTTTTTTTTTTTTTTTTTTTTTGCAGTACTTGGGTTTGAACTCAGGGCCTCACACTTGCTAGGCAGGTGCTCTACCACTTGAGACACTTCACCAGCCCTCATCTGAAATAGCACCTTGCCAGGTCACCTTCCTTCTTAGCTGGGTTGGCTTATCCACTGGGGTGGTCTGTGCTGTAATCTTGGAGTACAGGTGCTTTACCACCAACCTACAAGAGCAACTCTGGATTGTGCGTTGCCTCAGGGCAGGGTATTTGGTATATACTAGCTGAATGCCTATTGGTTCCAGATGACTGGAGGGAGATGTCCACTGTTCCCTCAGCAAAGCACACTGGCACAATCAGTGCCAGGAGAGGCAGCGAGGGCCAGTGGACTGAGGTGGCCAGTCTGCTCCTGCAGCCTTCTCAGGTTCTGTGTGGTTCGTGCCACCAGCCTTCCTGAGGTCCGGGGTCTGCTGTGTCTGCATGGGATGGTGAGTACTTGGCCAGAGGGGCCTGGCAGATGGTCCTGCCAGGTTTGATTCTTTCCTCCCCACTAACCCCCTCTCCAGTTACTATTAAGCATTTGATGGAAAATCTGGAGTCACTTCAACTCTCTAAATCTCTCCTCATTGGCCATAACTCCAGGACCCCCGTGAACTCACCCTTAAGAGCTATCTGAGTTCTGGTCACTTCAGCTAAATAAAGCACTGCCTTCCTGGTTCAGGTGTAGACAACAGACTCTTGGCATACCAGCATGCATGTTATTTCCAGAAACAGGGCCCAGACCCAATGGAAAGAAGCAGTGAGCCCCCTTGTGTGGGCTGTCATCAGCATATCCCACTGACTCCAGCCTCTGCAGCAGAGCACCAGAACCTACCACCACTCTCCTTCCTCACCAGAGGGGGCCCTGCCCACCTACCCAAAGGAGACCTGGGCAGGGGGAGGAAGTCAGATGCATGGGACTTGGGATCCCTCCTCTCCTGCCCCTCACTAGGACTAGCACTCCTGCCTTAAGTAGTGTTTGTTTCCAGCCTTGTTATAAAAAGTGTTATGAAGTAGCTTCCCAAATGGGAAGTCTAACACACTGCATGTCAAATGAGGGAGGCCAGGGTGAGGTGAGTATGGTGTGCCATAGGCCAGACTCCAGGCCTCCTGGGTGCTGCTGTAGGAGAGACTGGCTGTCAGAGCAGGAAGCCCTGCTTTGGGCAGTCCAAAAGTGGTGTCAAGAAATAAGGCATTCTCTGAGGACCCCAGTCTGGTCTACAAGCACTGCCACCCATAGTCCAGGGGCTTGTGGGCAGAGGCAGTCCCAGTTCTGTGGAATTTTGGCTTTCCTGGACACTACATGCCTGCATTCCTCCCTGCCTCTCCCCCACAGCTTACTCCCATCACTGTGCTACTGGGGACAGAGGCATTTAGGCTGTGGGTATGCCATGGAGCCATCTATTCAGGACTGTTCATCAAGGCAGAGGGCCAAAAGTTAGGGATCTGGGTTCCTTGTTGATGGGGAAAAGGATGGCAATGCCCAGCACTCAAGCTATGCACCTAAGGCTCTCTGCTCTCCACCTCAGGCTAGGCTGCCAGACCCCATTAAGACAGTCCCTTCCTCCCTCCTTTCCCAGAGCAGTCCAAGCTCCTTAGCTACCCAGGCCCTACTATGTCTGGACCATACTCATGTACTCCCCCCCCACACACACACACACACAGGTACTTCCAGGCCTTTACCAAGTCTTGGGCTCAACCTCCAAATTTTTCTGCCCATTATGACGGGTTTGGCTCACAGCCACCTACTCCCAAAAGGTGCCTGGCATCCCTCAGTGAGCTGCCCAGTTCCCGCTCTGTGCTTTGTGTGGCTGAGCCTTGTACCACCACCCGGATCAAGCCTGATTTCCTGCAGCCTGTCAGGTCAAGTACAGCAGGTACCAGAAGTTCCAAGCAGAACAGATGTCTGGTTGGGCCAAGCCTCATTTAGAGGGGAGGCTGAGACCCAGAGAATGTGGGCCTTGCCTGAGCACAGCAGGACCAGTCTGGATCCCAGCCTCTGAGGCATGTTGCTGCTGAGGCTGATCTGCCCCCTCTCCCTGCAGGTGCTGCTGGGTGCCCAGCCCTGGGCCCTCTGCCTCCTAGTCTCAGCGACTGAGGGTCCCAGCAGGCCATGCAGCTGTGCCAAGGTACGGAGCCCCTCGCCTTCGGGAGAGTCACAGGGGCCCCAGGTGGGGACAACTAGGTTTGACCAACCCAGTTCACTCATATTTTTGGGATGCCCAGGCGAGGGCTCTGCTTCAGGAGGGGACCCCCAGAGAGTGCCATTGTCCTGGAGTTTCCAGTGCACCCCAAACCTGAGAAGAGAAGGCAGGAGCCCAAATTCACTCCCTGAAGGTGGCACCTGGAGAGTGGGCAGCTCCTGCTGGTAGCTCTTTTACCCTGTGCATACTAGACTCAGGCAAGTTGGGGTAGTAGGTACCACCTCTGGAGCTATCTGAGTTTAGGACCCTGATAACAACAGTGACATCCATTTGTCAGCAACTGTCCCCAGCCACGACAGCATAGCAGGCTGTGTGCTGAGCTGGAGGCATGGCTCAAGCAGTACCAAAGAGCGTGTTCAAACTCTAGTACCACCAAAAAAATCTTTGATCAAAAATTCCAAGGTGATGTGTAAAAGGGGCTGGGAGTGGAAATGGGGCCCTGTGACCGCCCCAGGATCTTAGAGGGGTTGTGCCTCTGCCAGGCCCTGTCATTCCCATTGCAGAGATGAGAACACTGAGGCTGGGGGCCATGCTGAATAAGGTTGCTCACTGAATAGGATTCAGCTGGATTCAAAAGCTGGGTGCCCAGCCCCCAAGCCATGCTTACCTGTCTTTCCCTGTGTTCTGGGGGCTGCTGCCCCTGACGTCATGGTTAGGAAGGACAGTGGAACCAGGTTCCTAGCCTTCCTTGAGAGTGCTGACCCCTGAGCCTGCAGAATAGAGGCTTCCCGGAGAAACGGACCCTCTAGGCACCACACACACCCTCCTGAGAGCTGTGGGAACCAGGCCCCAGGGTGGCCATTAGGCGACAGCAGCAGGCTGGCAGTCCAGCAAGGTAACCAAGGCCTGGCCTTGCCAATGTGTCAATGTTTGGGGTCCCATCCTGAGCACCTCCTTGGGAGGTGCAGCATGGCCAAGCAGTAAACTAAAGGTGGTGACCCCTAGAGTTCGGAGAGGACCGATGGTAGGACCGGGTTTTGGCCTGCACCAGCAAAGGGCACAGAGAGCTCTCTGAGGGCTGTCCATGCACCACCCCTTCTTTCCCCACAGGTAATTCCCATTCTGACTGCAGTCCAGGTCCCTCCCCATGCTGGCAGATGGTCCCCAGTCAGCCCCCACCCCAGGGGGTCACATGTGCTCCTTTCAGACAACACCACAGGCTCAAAGATGCTGCCCACTCCATACTCAGGTGTTCGGGTCTTTGGTCAGGCCCAAGGGGGACAGACGTGCATCCATCGTCCCCCTGCTGACAGAGAGTTTTATACTGGGTGCCTCGAAACCAGGCAGACCTCCAAAGGTGCACAGGCCCATGGATCTTGTAAGCAGGCTGGGCACACAGGGCCTTGGACATCATGGAGTCCTGTTTTTACCTTTTAAAAGTTAGCTGTTGATGCCATGGCATGGCACTTTTCCTCTGTAGACCCCACACACCATGTTCCTACTCTTCTGGCTGCAGTTGACTCCTCAGGCTGAGGTCCCTGCTCAGCCCTAGGAGCATTTCAGTCCTTTTATCCCAGCAGTCGCACACTGCCCACTGTACAGTCTTGCTGGGCTTCCTCCCCATAGCTCCTGCATGCTCCAGCTGGTCCCTGACACACGACCCTGCTGTGGCTGGCTCTTCCCATTGAGTGCCCTCTGGCCATTTCCAGTTTTCCCAGGGGCTCCTCCTTATCTCAGAACAGGGTTTACCTTTGCCATCAGTGCTAGCCCCAGCCCCTGGCCTGTGCTGAAGGTCAGAGTTTGGGACCCCTGGCCTGCACAGCTGGCCAGAGCCTGGCTCTGGCCAGCTTGGGTTCCCAGTATCCACACAACCTGAGTCCTAGGGTATTTATTGGTTGGAGAGAGAAGCAAAGAAGCAAATGATAGGGGAGGCCCCCAGCCCTGTGCTAACGAAGCAGCTGACCCTTGAGACCAAGGACCCAGCCTCAGTAAAGCCTGGCAGGAGACTTCTGAGGGAGGGTGAGGGTCTCTCAGCTAGGTAGGGACCCCTACCAGCACTTATCAGGGCAGCACTTGGGGCCTCAGTATCCCTGTCTGCCCATTCTCTGTTTCCCCAGTACCATTTCACTTTGGCCCTCTGCTCTTCCTATCCCAGCCCACTGCCCATCTTTGGGCTTCCTCAGGCCCCTGGCCTGCATGAGCCAAGTGATGCTGACATGGGGATGCCACCTGGATCCCACTCTGCATGAACCTGGGCTGCACGGCGCAAGCAGCTCTCTCCCTGTGGCCACAAGGCCAGCCCAGGTGGGAGGAGAGTTGGGAGCTGGCCTCGGGTTTGGGCCCAGCCACTTGCTGCAATATTGATGGCCCGTCAGTGCGGCCCTGATTCTTGTGCTTTCAGTTAAAAGGTTTCTGTTGTTGTAGCTTATGCAGTTGCTCTGTTGCTATGGAAACGTGACATCAAAATGACGTTTCCCGTTTAAAAGCTTTTAACTAAATTCCTGCCTGTCAGATGTAGGCCCCATTTTGAGCGTGGAGCTGCCTGCCTCAAGCAAGCGACTGAGCGAGCGCGCTGCCTCCCGCCCATGGTGCGCTGGCCAGGCCTGGGGCCCCACCTGAGCGCCATCCTTAACCCTGCAGGTGCCTCCAGCATGGCGGCGGCCGAAGTGCCCAGCTACCTTGTGTCTCCTCAGACTGAGAAGCACCGGCGGGCCCGCAACTGGACTGACGCTGAGATGCGTGGTCTCATGTTTGTCTGGGAGGAGTTCTTCGATGAGCTCAAGCAGACCAAGCGCAACGCCAAGGTGTATGAGAAGATGGCCAGCAAGCTCTTCGAGATGACTGGTGAGCGCCGGCTGGGTGAGGAGATCAAGATCAAAATCACCAACATGACCTTCCAGTACAGGTGGGCGCCTTGAGACGGCAGGCGGGAAGGGCCCAGACTGTTGGCCTTGCTCCTGGCCAGGGAGGGTGTGTGACCCACCTATGAGTCAGAGCCCCGTGGGCAAGACAGCCTTCAGAAGGCATGTGTGCAGCTTCCCATTGCAGAGGTGGGGAAACTGAGGCCCAGCAAGAGCAGGAAACTGGTCTCAAGGTGGCAGGTCTGGGACTGCTCTCAACTTCCTGAGTCTGGGGCTGGTTTTGGGCCATGGCCAGGTGGTTCTAAGGATGCACACTAGACCTATGCCTGTACCCTATGGTGCCTCAGAGCCAGGTGCCACCTGCAGGTAGTGCCCTCCTTACCCACAGCCCTTTCACCCCAGCTGGGACTGCTGTCTACCAGCCAGGTTTGGCTCTGCCTGCCCTACCACAGCCCACAAGCTCAGCAGGGTGTCAGGATCCCCTGTACAGTTCAGGGAGACTGAGGCCAGAGTGAGAAGGAGGCTGGTTCCTGGGCCTGTCTTGTCTTGATGCTCTGGGACTTTGAGCAGCAAGTAAGCCAGAGCCTGTCTTAGGGTTGGTGAGAAGGGTGTTTAGGGCTAATGTTGGAGTCCGCAGACTGCCCAGATGGTACCTAGCTCATGGGCAGAGAATTGTTTCTGGGAGGAGGAGTGGATCTCTGCCCTGGCCTTAGGGATGCTCAGTCTGGGGTGCTGAGTCCTGCCTCCACTGTGTGCCAGGTTGCCTGTCTCTGGCCTACAGCCAGAGGCGAGCCTATGGGGAACCATGGGATGAGGATCACAGATGACCCCGAGGTCTGGGGCAGCTCTGCCATCAGGAGCAAGTGGTTATGGTCCCACATGCCCAGCCCCTTACAATGCATGAGGCCCTGTCCATGTGGAGAGGGTCTCAGGTCAGAGGTCACGGGTGGGGCAGAATTACGGACTTGTGGGCATGAGGAGAGGCTTGTGTGGGATGAAGGTCCTAGCAAGGGGTGAAGGGCATGGATGTGAGGAGGGTCTTGTGAGGGGCTCATTCTGCCAGGGTAGCTGGAGGCTATTGAGGGGTGGGGGTGAGCAGTAACTGAAAGCACTGGCTCTGTGGACAGGCTGGACCTGGGACTGCCCAGGAGCTGTCAGTGTCCCAGCACAAGAGGGGCTATCCTGAGGATCTCACAAAGGTGCTGGCAGTAGGGCAGTGTAGACCACACTCTGCAGGCTTGGTCTACAGGGAAAAGGAGCCCATGTCCCTCACAGGTGAGGAAATGACCTACAGCAAGACAAGAAATGTCCCAGCCCCAGTCCATGGACTCTGGCTTCCCTGGGAACCGTGAAAGGTCCAGCAGGATCCTGGACAGACCATAAGGCCATGAAGCTCGGTTTCCATTTGGGCTGATTTGACTTCCAAGGCCTATTTCTGACCCTCAGTGCTGGCCCCCAGCCAGGCCTGGGAGCCAGAACCCATCTCCCCGCAGCTGCTGAGGGTCTGCCGGCATTGGAGTCACTTAGCATAACGGGTGTTAAATTTGAGCCTCTGGCTGATGATGTAAGAACTAAGAAGAATCTGGTGTCTGAAGAGGTGGACGTGGACGTGTGGAGACAGCAGCCAATAGCCTGGTGCCCCCGTCCCCACAGCCCCCATTCCAGTGCCTGGCAAGGAAGGGGCTCCTAGGAGAGATAGGAGACAGCACTGGCTGTTTCCTGTGCCTCAGTAATTCATGGGCAGTGCCCCCCAGTCTGCTCTGATTGGTGTCTAGCTGGGTTATTCATTATTTACCCTGAAAGCCTTCTCAGAGTCTCAGGGAAGGGTTCTGTCTCCAGTCCTGTAGGCCCAGGTAATAAGGGTATAGCAGGGGCCACCAGCCACTGCAAACTGGATGCAGGGACACACAGCACTTCACAGTTTATGAACCATGTACACACCATGACTCCTCACAGCTGTCATTACCAGCCCTTATTAACCAAGGGGGAAACTGAGACCTAGAGAGGAAGAGGGTCTTGCCACACAGTCCTTGATAGGACAAAACTTTGACTGGGTGACCAGTTCTTTATCTGCCCACCCCAGCCTCTCCATTGCAGAGGCTTTCTTATTTTTTTGTGAGAGTTCTTTCTATACTAAGGCTGTTGTGCTAAGGAAGTCTGAACAGGTGGCTGGATTCCACGGAGCATGGTTGGTTGGAGTACCACTTGGGTCTTCCTGTGCTGGAGACAGGCTTTCCCCCCATTTCTCCCAGGAGTGTGCTGGCTCAAGTGGAGCAGAAAGAGCTGGGTGCTGCAGGGACCCTGAGCGGAGGCTGATACGGTCACAGGTGTTAATCTCACCTTCCCTGTGCCCCCGCCCCCCCAGGGAAGATGAACTGTGCTCCCGCTGTCGAGAGTACAGAGAGGCTGTGCGCTGCCTGAAGTGACCTGTCCCTGCTTCCTGTTAAGAGTATTCCACTTGGGTGGGGGTACCCCTGAGCCTTGACACTGCTCCCCAAGCCAGCACCTTCTGCTGTGGCTGGCCACTGCCTGCCCCCAGGAGCAGACCTCCTCCCTGGCTGTGCCTGTTTGCTGGGGGTCACCCACTCAGAAGCTTGTCATCCCTGGGCCCAGTGTGAGTAGTGCCCCACCCTGGCAGGGAGCCCCCTGTGGAGACAGGAGACATCCAGCCCCAAGGGTAGAGCTGGTCCTGGCCTGGGCCTTGGTCCTCATAGCCCCAGACCTCTCCCATAAGATGAGTGTTGGCAGGTGTGGGGAGGCTTGGGCCTTGGGACAATGGTCTGATGGGGCAGAGGTTCCCCTACCCATCTTGCTTTGTGACCTTTTCTTCCCTGGCTGACCAGAGTGGCTTAGCTACCCTAGGACCCCAGTTTCTGAGTCCTTACCTCCCAAAGGACAGCTGAAGCCAGGGACCTGTCTGCAGAGAGGGTGGGATCAGGGTCTGGGAAGGCTTGGCCCATTGCAGGCAGAGCTACACCGTGCCAACCCTCAGCGCAGGGTCCAAGTGGAGAAGGCTGTTGGGCCATGAGGGAAGAGCCTAGCCCCACTATTCACAAGCGGGCTGCAGGTTCTGGGGGTCCTGGCTCCTTCTTAGGCTGACACAGTGATAGTGACACTAGGTTAAGACCTAACAGTGACTTCCTGTTAGGTTCAATCAGGAGTGATACTGGAGCCTGGCCTGCTATTTGCCAAGCACCAGGTATTATTTAATTAAATCTTCCCTTTAGCCTTGGGAGGGACTTACTCTTTCATCCACATTTTACTGATGCAAAAACGGAGGCTCAGAGAGGTTAATGAATCTGCCCAAGTTCACACAGCAGTGTGGTAGAGACAAGACACTGACTCAGAGCTGTGGACAATGTGGCCTGCATGCCCATGGTTCTCTTTCCTGGAGGCATCCTCTAGAAAACCCCAACTGCTGTGTTATGATATATTATGACTATATTTATACTATATTATCTAGTTTATTATGATATTTTATTAGTGAAGGTTTACTTATGTGTTCATTGCACAAAGTTTAGAAACTACAGAAAAACAGAGAGAACAACGGGACCCAGCCCCACGATCCTAGCATCTACAGATGCCCTTGCTCATTTTGGGTGTGTGCTGCCTTTTTAACACGTAAGGCCACGCGGGTCCCAAAGCTTCTCTTCTTTCTAAGTTCGATGTCACCTGGGCCCTGGAGCTTAACCAAGTTTGCTGGGGAGGCCTGTGCTGGCCGAGAGTGGCTCCTGCCTGTGCCAGCCCGGGTCCCAGAGCCCTCGTGTGCCCCTCTGCCAAGGGGCCAGGCGGAACGGGCTGTACCAGCTGTTTCTCACCCTTGGCTCTTGTGTCTTTCGTTTCAGGAAATTAAAATGCATGACAGATAGCGAGTCCGTCCCGCCGGACTGGCCCTATTACCTAGCCATTGATAGGATTCTGGCCAAGGTCCCTGAGTCCTGTGAGGGCAAACTGCCGGATGGCCAGCAGCCGGGGCCCTCCACATCCCAGACTGAGGCGTCTCTGTCGCCGTCCGCTAAGTCCACCCCTCTGTACTTACCGTATACCCAGTGCTCCTACGAAGGCCGCTTCGAGGACGATCGCTCCGACAGCTCCTCCAGCTTACTGTCCCTTAAGTTCAGGTAGTGTGCTTTCTCTCTTCTTCTCCTGACCCGGGTGCCTCTGGCTGCCAGGGCTTTAGTGCCGATGCGCAGACGGGGCTCATTTGCAGCATCATTACGTCCTAGCTGCATGGGAAGATCCTTGACCTCTCTGGCCTCAGTCTCCCTCCTATGAAGTGGGGATGAATCAGTCCTCCCTTGGAGGGTGGCTGCCAGCATCAGGGAGGGAAGATATAGGACCCAGCTCCGAGAGGGTGTCAGACCACACTTCCCCTGTCATCATACACTTCACACCAGGCCTGTGCTGGCTAAATGGCCATGTCTGTGAGATGCTCACAGGACAGCCAAGTGCCATGGTGTGTGAGCCATGGAGCCCAGAGGAGGGGATATTTATGGATATGTTTTCAAGGTAAAATAGGGGATGGCCAGTTGAAGATACTAGGAAGTAAGAGTGGAACTTTGAGTCACAGTCTCTCCCCTGCTCCCTGGTCTTCAAGTCTGTCTGAGAGGAGGAGGGATAAGGAAGGCATCTCTGAGGAGGGTCCCTCCATCTGACATCCCTGGGGCCAGGAGCTACTGCCTAATTCACCTAGTGCTCCCTTCCCTAAAGGAGCTTTCTCATTGAAGGGCCCAGAGCACGAGGCCTTCACTGCATCCAGACCGGGTTAGCAGTGATGCCTGAGATTTGTGGCCAATGGTTCCCATGGATTACTGAGCCCAGCTCCCAGGCTCAGCTGCCGCTGTCTCATCCCTGAGATTGACTGATCCCCCCCACTCTGCTCAGAACACAGAGCACAGGACGGGGATGGCCAGGCACCGGGGAGGGCCTTGGGGCCTGGTGGGATTTGGCAGCTCCTTACTCTCCAGCATGGGCTATTAGGCTCACGGTGCCTGCCACCCCAGCAGCAGAGACCATGGGACAGGTGGTGAAGTCTCCATGTCTCTGTTCTGTCAGAGTTCCAGGTCCTGGGGAGGAGCCCAGCCGACCTGTCCTCCTGCCTCTCTACCCCCAGGCACGCTGGCTCCATCTCCAACTGCTGAGAGATGGAGGACTCAGATCCCAGGTTCCCCGTCTGCCCAAGGCCAGCTGGAACTGGCCGTCTCTGGCTTCCCTGAGGAGCACCAAGTGCCACACACAGCCCAGCCCCTCCCACTTAGCCTCTTGTCTTTCCCTAGGGCAGGCCTCTGTACCCCTGAACCCCTGAGAGCCTTGGGGTGCTCTCAGGTCAGTGTGCCCCTCTGTGGCCCAAGACACCCACCTCCTCAGAGTGCAGGGTGTGGAGTGTCATAAGGCCACCTGCTAGTCCCCATTGCTCTCTCCTTGTCATGGCAAGTGACCTCCGGCCCCTCCTCACGTGTATGGACTGCAGGACCCTAACCAGCACCATGGCTCCAGGGGCCTCAGGATCCTCATTGGCGGTTGAGAGGGTCGGGTGGGCCTGACTGTGACCAGCACTCCCAAAGCCACTACTGTCCTTTCACCGCAGGTCGGAGGAGCGGCCCGTGAAAAAGCGCAAGGTGCAGAGCTGCCACCTGCAGAAGAAGAAGCTGCGGCTACTGGAGGCCATGCTGGAGGAGCAGCGCCGGCTGAGCCGCGCCATGGAGGAGACCTGCCGCGAGGTCCGCCGTGCGCTGGACCAGCAGAACATCCTGCAGGTGCAGGGCCTGCAGCTCCAGGAGCGCATGATGAGTTTGCTCGAGAGGATCATCGCCAAGTCCAACGTCTAGGCGCCGCGGGCAGCGGGGGCGTGCGGCCCGCCATCTGACCCGCCTGGGCCGCGGGTGGCTCCAGCCTGGCCTCGGGGGCTGCTCCCGGTAGGACTTTCCCTTCCCGGGGGCTTTTCCAGGACCCCACAGGCCAGGGGAGCCGGGGACCCATCTCCAGCATGAACGCTGTTCTTCCACACAGGCCAGGGACTCCAGAGTCACGCCTAGTTAGAATGTTCTAGAATCCACTGTCCAGCAGAGTCACTACAGTGGTACTGGAAATAGCTTTTGATATTAAACTTGTTCTTTTTACCATGGCTGGAAGCAGAGTGGGCTTTCTCTGACTTGAAGGGGCAGCACCAGGCTGATCTGTCCTGCAAACGAAGCAAATGGTGAGAGGTCAGGTGTAGGTTGGCACTTGGGCAAGCTCTTCCAAAGGGGAAGCTCCCACATCTTCCTCCAGGGCCTGCTGCATCCACCCTAACATATCCTCTAACTCTAGGGCAAACCCCACAGAGCCCACATTGCCTTCCGATGGCCTTTTATTCATCAGTTTGCAGCCTCAGTTCTGCCATGGCCACTTAGCAATAACAGCAGTACAAGCAACACGCCTGCTCCCAGCTCCGCCCTGTGCATCTTCTAGGCCCTGAAAATAGCAGGGTAAGTGAGACACAGGCCCTGGCCTTCCGGACCCTCCCACAGTGAGGACAAATAGCAGAAAAATCGTAGCAGATTGTGATAAGTGCTAGACAGGAGGGTTGGTCTGAGGACAAGGAGGAGCCAGGTCCACATGCTGCTGGAAACAGGCTGGAAGATGCTGAGCAACTCCCCAGAGCAGCAAGGAGGCACTGCCGTCAGCAGCCAGGCTGCCAAGGGCCATGTACCAACCAAAGGGACAAGTTTGGGTGTTTTCCAAACTTCCCAGGAATGCTCTAGCAAGTATAGCTCTGGATTCGACATACACAGGGTTGGGGGCGAGGGGAGAGGCCACTGTGGCGAGCTTTCCTCTGATATTTCACCGGATGGAAAATTCTTTCGAGAAGCCCCTTGACTGAATTTGTAGTGTCATTGGCCAGGACTTGGCTTTTGTCACCAGGGCTGCACAAGAGGCTGGGTACCAGGCATGTTTGAGTCATGCCGTGGAGCTGGACAGTCTGCTGCACAGACAGAATATGGGTCTGTGAAGGTGGTCGGCAGGCCAGTGACGCGGTGTGACACAGTTCGCCTTGTGGTTTAGAGAAGCTCCCTCTGGCTGCCGTGCAAACACAGCTCCAGATCCCAGGACGGGAGTAGTGTCAGGGCTCTGCCAGGCAGCCGCTCCTGTCATCCTGATGTGAGACCGCCAGCCCTCAGACACTGCAGTGGAAGGTCACTAGTGCTACTGAGGTCAGCAAAGCAAGAGAGTGGCCAGGGGCTCTGTCACGTGTGGGACTACCATGCTCCTCTAGGTGGTGCAGAGGCCAGACCCAACTGCCTGTGGGAGTGAAGCCCAGAGGCAGAGTGGCAAGCAAGCGCCACTTCGCTCTTGGATTCTGTGTCCTCTTTCCCTCCTCAGCCCTTCCTGGGTGTCCCCGGTCTGCGTGCTGTGAACTCAGATTGTCTTGCTTTAGGCTGCAGGCAGTGTGTATCTAGAGAGTGCTAGCCCAGTGGTGCTGTGGAGATGGTAGAGCACTTGCCAATGTCTATGGCATTAAACTTTCCCCCCAGTGCGTTTCCAGCTGTGTTGCTGTCACCATGCCCATCACTGGGAAGAGGTGTGCATGGTGGCTCCAGCTCCCCGCTGGAGAGCAGTGGGGGTGACCCTAGAAACGTGCAGGGTCGTAGTGTTGGAGACTTGAGTCCAGAGAGCCTGTCCTGCTGAGTCTGTAGCTCAGGTAACTTCTGCTTCCTAGACAGACACCACTCTAAGAGTTCCCCTTGCTAAATAAACATATTGGGCTCCTGGCAGCCACCTGTGCAGTCCTTGGTGCTGAGCCCCAGCTGTGGACCCTTAGGGACCTGTCCCCGCACTGCTGACCACGAGGCTGGCCGGCCATGAGGTACCTGCACCTCTTGTCAGGAGGGCTGGATCCCAGCCTCAGGGAGGGAACAGCAGTGGGACCTGCCCCCTCTCCTTGTTGTCGAGATGACACGGTCACCTTTAGACTTCTTTGCAGTCTAGAATCTTGGTTGTGGCACATTGGTGTTTCGGTGCCTAGTGTCAATTCTGGGACATTCTTTGGCCCTGTTGTACTTGTGTTAGGAAGCAATCTGCTCTGTTGCCTTCCTCCGTGCCTACAGCCTGAGTCTTGTAGGCTCGAGGTAGTCCCACACTAGTTGCATGTCACCCTTCACAGGCTGGAGCAGACTTTTGGAAGACTGGTAGGCGCGCATGCCAAATACTAGGGCTGGCCTTCCACTAAGTGCAAACTGGTGACCAGCTTCTGATCTTCCTTAGCTTGTGCCATTTAAAGAGAAAGTGATTCTATTCAATAACACTGTCTGAAATATTTGATAAAGTTCAGCAGAACATGTCAACACAAAAACTAAAATCAGGAGCCAGATAAGTGCACTCACTTTTACCATTATTATTTGATATTGTTTTGATGTGTATAGCAAATGCATGATAAGTAAACAAAATGAGCAGGGTAAGGAAGGAGATAAAGAAATGAGAATTGCCTTCTTATTTTCAGATAATATTTTTGTAGACCCAGAAAACTGAAATGTACAAAAGATCAAGAACTCTTTAAGCCAGTTGAAACGCATTAAAAAGGAGGATGAAGCCGGGTACAGTAGATCATGCTTATAATTCCAGCTGCTCAAGTGTAGAGGATGGAGAAATCATGCCGTTTGAGGCAACTGGGCCAAAACGGAGGGAGACCTATGAAAATAGTCTAAAGCAAAAAAGGGCTGGACGATCGGGTGGCTCAACGGTCAGAACCGGCACTGCTTTCAAAACAGTAGGATAATTGGGGAGGAATTTAAGCAGAAAGACAGTAGAACTCTAGAGAGAGAACTGTACGGTATTATTGAAAGATGAAAGGTAATGCCTGTCATCAGACACTCCTGAAAATTCCAAGTGAGATGTCATTTTATCGTGTAACTGCAACATACTCTCAACAACATGGCACTTTTGGGGTTGAAATGGACAAAATTAGGTCCAAGATGTCATGGGAAAGAAAGAATGGGGGAAACAAAAGGTTTGAGGCAGTTTTCATCTGCACGAAGATGTGCTAGCCTCTCCGAGGATCCAGCACGCGCCTGAACATTCCATCACAGGAGGCCCTGGGTGAACTTGAAGTCCTCGAGAGACCAATGGGAAGTCACACGTGAACATGGGGATGGCCCAGCCTCGTCACAGAGCCATTCGTCAGTCTCTTCAACTCAGCAGCTCCGCTCACTACCCAGTGGGCCACTGTGGATCAGCAATTCTCAGACTGCCGTCTTGGGACCCCTCACCACTTGTAAAAATGGTTGAGGACACTGGAGGACCTTGGCAGGGTTCCCACTCTCAATATCGACACCAGCTGCCAGAATACCATCAGACAGTTGGAAAGTATGTATTCCTTTCAAAACAGCAATAAACCCATTACATGTTCACATCAGTAAGAAGTGTGTGAAAATGTGTTTTCTGAAACAACAAGTTTTTTACAAGAAATGTGGCATTGTTTCCCATTTCTGCCAGCTGGAGTCCCCTCGACACCTATGCTCTGTCTGCTGTCAAGTGAAAATCAGACCAGAAAATAAGGCCTCACACCATGGGTACCTGGAAAAGAAAGGGGCATTTTAACCACTTTACCAAAACACAGGGAGAGGGCACTGGGGGTTTTTTGTCTCGTCTTTGTTCGTTTTGCAGAGCTGGGGATAGAACCCAGGGCCTCATGCATGTTTGGCAAGCACTGTGTCACTGAGCCACACCCTTTTTGGAAGGCAGTTGTGATGTGGAGTCTGATCATAGCAGTGACCTTCCCTCTGTCTTCCAGTAGAATCCATCTGTCTGTCTGGCTTCAGGGGCTCTTTATCCATCTGTGCTTTTGCTTCATCGCCGATGGACATTTAGAAAATGTTTCACCAAGTGGCATGGCTTCCCATCCCTGACACAGTTCACTGTCAGTGTCAGATCAAAGCCGTCACCATCAGTTTCAGCAGGGAAGGGGGATGTTGCCGGGCTCAAGTTTTCCAAAATTCTGACTTTTGCGTGCAAGTTTGAATTGTATCATAGGTAACACTGCCAATTGACTTCCTTGGAAGACAAGCTCCCTTCATTCATTTTCAAGAAGAAAATGAGTCAGTCTTACCAGCCTGACATTTAGGCCCAGGACAGAAGCACTTGGTGACTTCTTTCCATTTGGTCACCTGGAACATCAGAGAGACATGGTCTCCAGGGTTGAGATTTAAGGCACTCGATCACACTTACCATCTCATCAAGGACAGTCCTAAGGGAACACAGTTTTCTTGGCAGCCTAGTGGATGAGCCAGGACAACTGCCAGATGAGTCCAGGTTCCTGCTGAGGACCCACCATGGCTCCTGTGCGGTCAAGCAGATGTCACACAGTGAAGATCCCAAGATGATTATTTCAGATTATTGTGGAAATAGGGGTCGACAGGCCATGATCTGGAAAAGCATGAGCATGTGGGTAGGACGATCTAAGCAAGAGTCCACCTTGCAGCCCTTCTGGAGCTGTCCACAGTGGTGGAGCACCACGCAAGCCCCCTCCACAGTGCAAAACTGACAGCTCCATGAATCAAGGTGACCCTATTTTCTCCCATCCCATAAGGATTTGATGGCTGGCTCCCCTGCCATGTCCTAGGCACTGGGTACATAGTAATAAAAAGCAGATAAAATCCTGTCCTCACAGAGTTTGCAGCCAGGGTGGGCTCCACAGACAGTAGACAAAGTCAGTAAATTATTTCCTGTGTTAGAAGAGAAGTGCTTTGGCATGAGAGAGCAGGGTAGGAGATGGGAGTCCTAGAGGGTGTATTTTGAAATGCAATGACAGAAGCAGCCTCACTCACATATCCTCTGAGCAAACTGGAGAAGAGGGGATCTCAGCACTGTGAACTACAAGGTAGGAACCAGCGTTGTCCTCCCCACCAGGGAAGCAGATGGGAGGCACACTTTGACATGAGCACCCTGGTTCTTACAGGGCATAGAGGCCCTGTGACACCATGGAGCCCCAGGTGACCACGGCTTCCTCAGGAGTCATCAGCCTGAGTGAAGAGAAGGGCTCACACCACAGTGCTCAGTGCTGGTGGGATGGAGAAGCACCCAAGTCCTGGGTGCTAGCCTGAGCTCACACTGGTCACCTGACTCAGGACAGCAGATATTCTGTGCCAGTTGGGCCCTCTGGAGTCAGCTGCCAAGCCAGGACACAGGCATCTTACCATGGAAATGGCCATTTGGAAGCCCTGACACTGCCTTGCCTTTCCAGATAGATAAGCCCAACAACGCCTCGTCTGAGCAGTGTGGCCATCAAAGCCTGAAC